ATGGACCCATACTTACCCAAACATGGATTAATAGGTTCTACACATGACTATGAGGACAAACATGAGTGAAACGGTCTCAATCCAAGGGAGGAACATCAAATGGACCTAATTTGGGAACCGGAAGAGGTAAGGAGTCCGAAATGTACCTCTGTGACTCCACATTGTGGAAACTCACTTGTAGTGTATAAGATGAACTAGATGGACCCATACTTACCCAAACATGGATTAATAGGTTCTACACATGACTATGAGGACAAACATGAGTGAAACGGTCTCAATCCAAGGGAGGAACATCAAATGGACCTAATTTGGGAACCGGAAGAGGTAAGGAGTCCGAAATGTACCTCTGTGACTCCACATTGTGGAAACTCACTTGTAGTGTATAAGATGAACTAGATGGACCCATACTTACCCAAACATGGATTAATAGGTTCTACACATGACTATGAGGACAAACATGAGTGAAACGGTCTCAATCCAAGGGAGGAACATCAAATGGACCTAATTTGGGAACCGGAAGAGGTAAGGAGTCCGAAATGTACCTCTGTGACTCCACATTGTGGAAACTCACTTGTAGTGTATAAGATGAACTAGATGGACCCATACTTACCCAAACATGGATTAATAGGTTCTACACATGACTATGAGGACAAACATGAGTGAAACGGTCTCAATCCAAGGGAGGAACATCAAATGGACCTAATTTGGGAACCGGAAGAGGTAAGGAGTCCGAAATGTACCTCTGTGACTCCACATTGTGGAAACTCACTTGTAGTGTATAAGATGAACTAGATGGACCCATACTTACCCAAACATGGATTAATAGGTTCTACACATGACTATGAGGACAAACATGAGTGAAACGGTCTCAATCCAAGGGAGGAACATCAAATGGACCTAATTTGGGAACCGGAAGAGGTAAGGAGTCCGAAATGTACCTCTGTGACTCCACATTGTGGAAACTCACTTGTAGTGTATAAGATGAACTAGATGGACCCATACTTACCCAAACATGGATTAATAGGTTCTACACATGACTATGAGGACAAACATGAGTGAAACGGTCTCAATCCAAGGGAGGAACATCAAATGGACCTAATTTGGGAACCGGAAGAGGTAAGGAGTCCGAAATGTACCTCTGTGACTCCACATTGTGGAAACTCACTTGTAGTGTATAAGATGAACTAGATGGACCCATACTTACCCAAACATGGATTAATAGGTTCTACACATGACTATGAGGACAAACATGAGTGAAACGGTCTCAATCCAAGGGAGGAACATCAAATGGACCTAATTTGGGAACCGGAAGAGGTAAGGAGTCCGAAATGTACCTCTGTGACTCCACATTGTGGAAACTCACTTGTAGTGTATAAGATGAACTAGATGGACCCATACTTACCCAAACATGGATTAATAGGTTCTACACATGACTATGAGGACAAACATGAGTGAAACGGTCTCAATCCAAGGGAGGAACATCAAATGGACCTAATTTGGGAACCGGAAGAGGTAAGGAGTCCGAAATGTACCTCTGTGACTCCACATTGTGGAAACTCACTTGTAGTGTATAAGATGAACTAGATGGACCCATACTTACCCAAACATGGATTAATAGGTTCTACACATGACTATGAGGACAAACATGAGTGAAACGGTCTCAATCCAAGGGAGGAACATCAAATGGACCTAATTTGGGAACCGGAAGAGGTAAGGAGTCCGAAATGTACCTCTGTGACTCCACATTGTGGAAACTCACTTGTAGTGTATAAGATGAACTAGATGGACCCATACTTACCCAAACATGGATTAATAGGTTCTACACATGACTATGAGGACAAACATGAGTGAAACGGTCTCAATCCAAGGGAGGAACATCAAATGGACCTAATTTGGGAACCGGAAGAGGTAAGGAGTCCGAAATGTACCTCTGTGACTCCACATTGTGGAAACTCACTTGTAGTGTATAAGATGAACTAGATGGACCCATACTTACCCAAACATGGATTAATAGGTTCTACACATGACTATGAGGACAAACATGAGTGAAACGGTCTCAATCCAAGGGAGGAACATCAAATGGACCTAATTTGGGAACCGGAAGAGGTAAGGAGTCCGAAATGTACCTCTGTGACTCCACATTGTGGAAACTCACTTGTAGTGTATAAGATGAACTAGATGGACCCATACTTACCCAAACATGGATTAATAGGTTCTACACATGACTATGAGGACAAACATGAGTGAAACGGTCTCAATCCAAGGGAGGAACATCAAATGGACCTAATTTGGGAACCGGAAGAGGTAAGGAGTCCGAAATGTACCTCTGTGACTCCACATTGTGGAAACTCACTTGTAGTGTATAAGATGAACTAGATGGACCCATACTTACCCAAACATGGATTAATAGGTTCTACACATGACTATGAGGACAAACATGAGTGAAACGGTCTCAATCCAAGGGAGGAACATCAAATGGACCTAATTTGGGAACCGGAAGAGGTAAGGAGTCCGAAATGTACCTCTGTGACTCCACATTGTGGAAACTCACTTGTAGTGTATAAGATGAACTAGATGGACCCATACTTACCCAAACATGGATTAATAGGTTCTACACATGACTATGAGGACAAACATGAGTGAAACGGTCTCAATCCAAGGGAGGAACATCAAATGGACCTAATTTGGGAACCGGAAGAGGTAAGGAGTCCGAAATGTACCTCTGTGACTCCACATTGTGGAAACTCACTTGTAGTGTATAAGATGAACTAGATGGACCCATACTTACCCAAACATGGATTAATAGGTTCTACACATGACTATGAGGACAAACATGAGTGAAACGGTCTCAATCCAAGGGAGGAACATCAAATGGACCTAATTTGGGAACCGGAAGAGGTAAGGAGTCCGAAATGTACCTCTGTGACTCCACATTGTGGAAACTCACTTGTAGTGTATAAGATGAACTAGATGGACCCATACTTACCCAAACATGGATTAATAGGTTCTACACATGACTATGAGGACAAACATGAGTGAAACGGTCTCAATCCAAGGGAGGAACATCAAATGGACCTAATTTGGGAACCGGAAGAGGTAAGGAGTCCGAAATGTACCTCTGTGACTCCACATTGTGGAAACTCACTTGTAGTGTATAAGATGAACTAGATGGACCCATACTTACCCAAACATGGATTAATAGGTTCTACACATGACTATGAGGACAAACATGAGTGAAACGGTCTCAATCCAAGGGAGGAACATCAAATGGACCTAATTTGGGAACCGGAAGAGGTAAGGAGTCCGAAATGTACCTCTGTGACTCCACATTGTGGAAACTCACTTGTAGTGTATAAGATGAACTAGATGGACCCATACTTACCCAAACATGGATTAATAGGTTCTACACATGACTATGAGGACAAACATGAGTGAAACGGTCTCAATCCAAGGGAGGAACATCAAATGGACCTAATTTGGGAACCGGAAGAGGTAAGGAGTCCGAAATGTACCTCTGTGACTCCACATTGTGGAAACTCACTTGTAGTGTATAAGATGAACTAGATGGACCCATACTTACCCAAACATGGATTAATAGGTTCTACACATGACTATGAGGACAAACATGAGTGAAACGGTCTCAATCCAAGGGAGGAACATCAAATGGACCTAATTTGGGAACCGGAAGAGGTAAGGAGTCCGAAATGTACCTCTGTGACTCCACATTGTGGAAACTCACTTGTAGTGTATAAGATGAACTAGATGGACCCATACTTACCCAAACATGGATTAATAGGTTCTACACATGACTATGAGGACAAACATGAGTGAAACGGTCTCAATCCAAGGGAGGAACATCAAATGGACCTAATTTGGGAACCGGAAGAGGTAAGGAGTCCGAAATGTACCTCTGTGACTCCACATTGTGGAAACTCACTTGTAGTGTATAAGATGAACTAGATGGACCCATACTTACCCAAACATGGATTAATAGGTTCTACACATGACTATGAGGACAAACATGAGTGAAACGGTCTCAATCCAAGGGAGGAACATCAAATGGACCTAATTTGGGAACCGGAAGAGGTAAGGAGTCCGAAATGTACCTCTGTGACTCCACATTGTGGAAACTCACTTGTAGTGTATAAGATGAACTAGATGGACCCATACTTACCCAAACATGGATTAATAGGTTCTACACATGACTATGAGGACAAACATGAGTGAAACGGTCTCAATCCAAGGGAGGAACATCAAATGGACCTAATTTGGGAACCGGAAGAGGTAAGGAGTCCGAAATGTACCTCTGTGACTCCACATTGTGGAAACTCACTTGTAGTGTATAAGATGAACTAGATGGACCCATACTTACCCAAACATGGATTAATAGGTTCTACACATGACTATGAGGACAAACATGAGTGAAACGGTCTCAATCCAAGGGAGGAACATCAAATGGACCTAATTTGGGAACCGGAAGAGGTAAGGAGTCCGAAATGTACCTCTGTGACTCCACATTGTGGAAACTCACTTGTAGTGTATAAGATGAACTAGATGGACCCATACTTACCCAAACATGGATTAATAGGTTCTACACATGACTATGAGGACAAACATGAGTGAAACGGTCTCAATCCAAGGGAGGAACATCAAATGGACCTAATTTGGGAACCGGAAGAGGTAAGGAGTCCGAAATGTACCTCTGTGACTCCACATTGTGGAAACTCACTTGTAGTGTATAAGATGAACTAGATGGACCCATACTTACCCAAACATGGATTAATAGGTTCTACACATGACTATGAGGACAAACATGAGTGAAACGGTCTCAATCCAAGGGAGGAACATCAAATGGACCTAATTTGGGAACCGGAAGAGGTAAGGAGTCCGAAATGTACCTCTGTGACTCCACATTGTGGAAACTCACTTGTAGTGTATAAGATGAACTAGATGGACCCATACTTATCCAAACATGGATTAATAGGTTCTACACATGACTTATGGTGGCCAAATGCAAAGTCGCTGGATGCGCATGGAGGCTTAGAGCGGCCGTAAAGAACGAACCCTCCACGTTTTGGGTGACAAAGTACGTGAAGTCGCATACATGTTCTGTTTCTGATCGAGTACGTAAGCATAAACGTTGTACAACGAAGTATATTGGAAAGCTTTTTCTTGATCGGACAGGGCTCATTGAAGGAATTGTGCCGCAACACATAAGAGACTCTATGAGGAGGATGTTTGGAATGAAGCTCGACTATACGGCTTCATATAGAGCTTTGAAACATGCCCAAGACTTGGTGTGGGGAACAGTAGAAGAAGGATACGCGAATCTGCCTTCTTACTTGCAAAGTATCAAGGAAGCAAATCCGGGAAGTGTGACTGACCTTGTCTGCGACTCACAGGATCGTTTTAAGTACTGCTTTCTATCACTCGCAGTTCTATATCTGGTTTTCAGTATTTGAGGAGAGTGATTGTGGTTGATGGGACTCATCTTACTGGGAAATACGGAGGAGCTCTACTCGTGGCTGCCGGACAAGACGCCAACTTTCAAATATTCCCGCTAGCTTTCGCAGTGGTCGATGGTGAGGATAATGAATCATGGGAATGGTTTTTCAACAAACTTAGAGATTGTTTCAGGCAACTTCCGCCAATGGCGATAGTCTCTGACCGTGCCGCTGCCATAGCTAGAGCATTGGAATCGTTATGCCCTGGGCATCAAGAGGAATATGTTACTATCACCTCCAAGGTAATATAGTGAAGGACTTCCACGCAAAGGAGATAATGTATATGGTTAAAGGTGCAGCCTACGCCCATACGGTTCCTGAATAACCGTTACATGGACCTCATAAGAGCTGCGAACCCTGCTCTAGCTGCTTACTTAGAAAGCAGATCCGAAGTTATGGTCGAGAGTTCATTTTGAAGGTGATAGATACAATATAAAGACGAGCAACATCGCAGAATCTATTAATTCGGCTGTCAAGAAAGCAAAAGGATTACCTATTCCTCGTCTTTTGGAGTTTATTAGGGAGAAGCTCGGGAGATGGTTTAGCAAGAGGCGGGAGGATGCACTGAGTCTCACAACCATCCACAGCAGAGGTGTGGAGTACATATTGGCCATACGGTCTTACTATGCTGGAAGTATGATCGTAGATCGCATAGACACTTGGCGCTTTCATGTTAAAGGCGGGAACGAGATTGTAATGTCGACTTGGAGAATCGAACATGCTCGTGCGGTGTGTATAACGTTGAAAAAATCCCTTGCTCTCATGTTATTGCAGCTGCAGCCGAAGCTAACGTCGACATGTCCTATTACGTATGCGCCACTCATTCGAAGCCTTCCTTGTTCTCAACATATGCACATCCGCTATACCCCAAAGCGGGAACTGACTCCCACGTGAAGCCTGTTCGTTGTTTGCCTCCAGGGGAGAGTGTCCCTCGTGGAAGGCCGAAGAAGTCGAGGTGGCAAACTTGGCTAGAGCTGTCTAGGAAGAAAAACAATAAACCGAGGAAAATGCATAAGAAATACAGCTGCTCTAAGTGCAAGGAACCTGGTCATACTCGCCCCAATTGTGTAAGTTTAACAAAATGTCCCTTCATGCTTTGCATCCACATTGAGAGGAGCTGACATCTTTCACTTTCTTCACTACACAGGTCGCTGAAGACTGACTTGTGTTTTTAGTTGTTTGAAGTCTGACGATGAAGTCTATCTATGAAGTTTACTTTGTGGTCCATTTTGTATGTGTTGTTCGTGTTTTAGGTGGATGAAACGGAGGAAAACACGGGTTTTTTGTTTTTCATGAAGTCTGACCCAGAAGTCTAATTAGGAAGTCTATCTATGAAGTTTACTTTGTGGCCATTTTGTATGTTTTGTTCGTGTTTTAGGCGGATGAAACGGAGAAAAACAGTGTTTTATATTTTTCGTGAAGTCTGACCAGAAGTCTACTTAGGAAGTCTACCTATGAAGTTTACTTTGTGGCCATTTTGTATGTTTTGTTCGTGTTTTAGGCGGATGAAACGGAGGAAAACACTGTTTTATATTTTTCGTGAAGTCTGACCAGAAGTCTACTTAGAAGTCTACCTATGAAGTTTACTTTGTGGCCATTTTGTATGTTTTGTTCGTGTTTTAGGTGGATGAAACGGAGGAAAACACTGTTTTATATTTTTCGTGAAGTCTGACCCAGAAGTCTATGAAAGTCTACTTGAAGTTACTTTGTGGCCATTTGAGGTGTACGAAACAAAAAACTTACGAATACGATCTTCTGAAATAAATAGACTTAAATATACCAAGTGCACAATATACCAAAACAATAGACTTCTGAAATGTGAAGGCCGATCAGCGATAGATTACAAAAGAATAATTAGCCTACACCTATCATCGGGTTCAAAAGAGCATTAGTTTATGAGATTACACCCACACCTTTCATAATCTCTCGTCATACAAATCAACATTGGCCCAATCATCTGGGTCCTCGACCGGTCCACGGCAGTTGATCTCACTAAACAGATCAGACGCAATCTGCTCCCTAAACATGCTGATGTTTTTCTGGCACAACGTCTTCGGAAATGCGGCATATCCGACTGCCAGACACTCGAGGTACTTCAGGACAAACACGCCACAATCTCCAGACCCGACTTGCTGTGGCACATCCTTACTCGGACGGCTGTGCGTGTACTTCGCATCGAAGTATACGCATTTGTCCTCGTCCTTAGCCGCGCATAAGGGTTCCATCCAACAAGTCCATTTCCGCATCATCGAGCCAGTCCACATACTGTCGTAGATGGTAATGTGCCTTTTGGGTATGGAGACATGCAGCGCGACCCAATGCTTATTTTTGATATTCAATGGAATGAATAAATCATCAACATCATAACCCCATCGCTTCCCGGTGGGTTGCCTCTTCGGGAGTTACACCAAAGTACCAGTCCAGCGAATTAGGAGGCAGCATTTGACATCTCTTAAACTTGGGCCAGTCCCTTTCCCAAAATTGAGTGATGTTACTGTCAAGGAAGCAGATCCTATCATTTTTAAACAACTCTGGTCGCGTTGCTAGGCGTTGAGTCATCATGGTGGCCCAGGACTTCATATGCTGCAATGGAAACAAAGAATTCGAGTATGAGGACTAAATATGAAGTCTATGTCATAAGTCTAACAGTGAAGTCTACTTGTGAAGTATATTTACGAAGTCTAACAATCAGATAGCCATTGAAACCCCGTGAGCAAAGTAAACCACCAGTGCCATTCCGGGTAATCGAACTTGTCCGGCTCCGGCTCTGTAGCTGCAGAATAACCCCTGAAACATTGGTAAATTCTCGTAAGCCTCTATAATTTGGTCAAACAACGAAGAGACAAAAGAGTTTAGAGGCTCACGGTAATCCGGAGACGAATGCCCGCATTGGTGTTATCCTTTCCTCGAGAGGTCGAGCAAATGGATTATACCCTAGAGGTTCATTGCCACCGGTTGCTTTCTTAGGTTCAGGTGCTTTCTTAGGTTCAGGTGCTTTCTTCGGATTAGCTGCTTTCTTCGGAGGAGGTGATTTCTTCGGATCTGCTTTCTTCGGATTAGCTGCTTTCCTCGGTTTAGAGATGATCTTAAGTGATTTCGGTGGGGAATTGGGTATCTCCGGGGGGTTGTTTAGGATGATCCTTCTAGCGGTGCTGTTTCCTTGGAACTCACCTTTCTGAGTAAACGCCAGCTTCCTTACTCTCTCACTTTTCCCTCTTGCCATAACATTAGCCGCCTTGATCTGCTCTTCTGTTGCCTTTTCTCTTCGGCTTCCTCAGAATCAGTTGGAATATGTGTCCGGAGCCAAGTGCAATCCGTATCTTCCTGTTAACATTGCTCAAACACAAGAGAGATAGAGAGAGACAAAACAGATAATGAGTCACTAGAAATTTGAACTTTTATTTAAACAGGAGGGAAAGTGTACAACGCAACGCAACACACTACAAACAGAAACATACACACATCACTTGTTCTTTTTCACAGCGACCCTATGACTCCTACGCACATATCTCTTTTCAACTACTTTATCAGAGTTTTTAGATCTACGTGGAGAATGAACGGTACTAACCGTTCCACCAGGCGGAGCCGTCTTCCCTTCACCGGCATCGGACTTATCCGGCTCCTCATCGGACTTCTCCTCATTCTTCTTCTCCAGCTCCTCATTCTTCTTCTCCAGCTCTTCATTGGCCTTCGCAGAATCCTCATTGGACTTCGCAGTATCCTCACTGGACTTCACAGAATCCTGAGCCTGAGGATGCGAAAGCTTCTTGACAATCCTCCCTACCACAGCGACTTGAGCGGTGAGGACCTGAATCTTTTCCTGGGTCTTACTCATCTCCTCGAAGTGTTTTTTGGTGAAGTCTTTAAAAAGCTCCTCAATCTTCGCCTCAAGACCTTTCCAGCCAGCACCAGAGGCCTCCGCAGGTGAACCATCTGAGGTCCGAGCTCTTTTGACACTTATCGCTTCATCATCATCAGCCTCATCAGAGAGACTCCTCTTGCCATGAGACTTCTCTGACTTCACAGCTTCTCGAACTTCACCTTCTTCTCGGACTTCACCTTCTTAACCGCCAATATCCCTTCTCTAACCCAGTCAGCTGGTTTCCACACCCATCCTCCACCAAATTCCCCAAGCAAGGCCTTGATGATGTTGTCCACCTTCTCGTCATCTATTTCCTTGTCCCAACGTGGGTACACGTCTGCCTTGTCCACCATTACCATGTGATTGAAAAGCACCTGCAAAACCGTTATCAGAAAAGTCAAGAATTTTGGATATGATTAATATGCGGAGAGTACAAGGCAAATGAATTACCTGCTTCTTCATGGTTCCGATAACATATCTCTTCCCTCTGATTCCATTGAATGCTAGCAGCGGTGGCTCAGGATTATTTGGCCTCGGATCACCGTTTTCTTCTCCGAACCTCGGCATAGCATAGTACGCCCACACTTGCACGACTTCAGCAAAGCCTTCGAGGCTGAATGGCTTGGACACGTCTGCTTTCTTTATGGACTTGATGAGGGTCTTGAAAGCTACTCGCCCCCAGGGATAGTTTTCAAACTTCTCCAAGTCCATAACTTGACTAGCCAGTGCTACTCGTGTATGAGTGGAACTTTTGCGAGCATCAATGAAGCCAGCGTATACGGCCAAAAAACCAAGTCTCAGCCTATCCTCTCTGCTCCACTCTCCGGCCCACTGGCACGCTGCTAAGAGTTCGTCAACGCTCGGACCAAGCTTCTCATTCACACCAAGCTTCCGCCAGAACTCTTTCATCTCGTCTGTGTTAACAGTCTCTGGCTTCGTCACGCTTCTTTATACTCGCAGTTAAGCCCGGTGATGTGTTCAAACTCGTTCAGAGAAAATCGCACTGGCTGTACACCCACGGCACTCCATATCTCATACTTCTTCTTGCATGCTACTTGCATAGTGAGCATAGTCTGTGCCACCTTCGATGCCCAATTAAACTCGAGCTTCGTGAACCTGAAGAGGGGTCCCAGCTTAGAATTCTCAAGCTCATCCCATTCATCTTCAAGTGTGGTGTGCATTTGAGACCACAGCGCAGTGTTCTTGCTATAGTAGACAACACTGCGATCATAATCCGGTTCTTCTCCTTCTGTGAACAACCTCCTAGGAAATGTCACGGCGTCCATACTGAAAACACATTGAAAATATGAGAAATTAGGAGTCTACAATTTTACACGGCACAAATAAAGTCTAAATATGAAGTCTATAAATAAAGATGTCTAAGTATGATGTCAACTACGAAGTCCTAATTTGAAGTCTATCTATGAAGTCAACTATGAAGTCTATCAATTCTAAAGGTGAAGTCTGTACTTTAAGTCTGCTCTACTCTAGCCAACCGCCGCTAAAGAGCGGCTAACTAAACCCTAACAATAGACTTTTACCTTATTCTTTGCGGTTATGAGGGCCAGCAACGGCGGCGGATACTACTAAGAAGCGCAACGGCGGCGGATACTACTATCCGGCAACGGAGACCTGCGACAGATCTACAATCGATTAGTCCACGGTTTGAAGGGGTAAGCAGAGAGAAAAAAGTGAAAGGGAGATAACTAACCGGCGGTGAGATAATAGGTCGTTCGATTCCACAGCGGCAACACGGACAACGGCAACACGGCGGCAACCACGGTGGCGGAAGGGTTCAAATGAAGATTCCACTGTGAGTATAACGACAGTAGAGGGAAACAGACACAGACACGTATATCACTGATATATGAATATGACTTACAGAAGTATACTTCGGAGGAGGAAGGGGAAAAGGCGGCGGCGACGATAGTGGGTCTGTCTTTCTTCTTCGACGGCGACGGTGGGCGGAGAGAACATGCAATCGCCTATCCGACAAAGAGAGAGAACGGAACGGACTTGGGTTTGCGAAAGTGAAATGTGAAAGTGAAACCCTGATTTTGGGTTTCTCACTTTCGATTATGGCCGGTTAACTTTGGTTAAACCCAATTACAACAAACATTATAATTTCCTCGACCGGTTCTAAGCAAAAACCGGAATTGATGTACAAAGTCTACTCGTGAAGTCTACAAATTGAACTTTTAATGAGAAATTTATTCGCCCAAAATATTTCGTTTCCCGCCCTAAAATTTCGTTTCCCACTCGTTTTTTGAATAAAAGACTTCATAGCAAAGTCTAACTATGAAGTCTACCGATGAAGTCTGACTTACCCTAAACCCTAAATCGAATTTTTGAGATCAAAGCTATAGAAAACATCAATTATGTATATAATCACAATTTACATTATAAACTATAAATTCATTAGCTTTAAATCGTTAAACAAACCGCAAACAATTTTTTATGTCAAAATTCTCTAAACCCTAACAATCATACTCATAAACCCTATACATTGTACCTCAAACACTAAGCTTGATGATTGGTTTACTCATGAAACTTATAAACTGATTAATTTCCATGAAAATTTTATTTTACATAGATAGGATTTGTCTTCATTTAGATTATTTATAATTTTTTTAAGCCTAAATATTTTTTATAGATTTTAAACTTTAAATTTAAGATTTTGTTATTTGGTAGACTTCTTCAGTAGACTTCACACAATATTTTTTGGATTATACCATAATTTGTATTACCGATTTTAAATTGATCAATTTATATGCAAATTTATTTTTCATGGATAGTACTTGTCTTTGTTTAAATTATGTGTAAATACCTTCATCAAAATATTTTTAAAGATTTCAAACTTTAAATTTACGATTTTGCTATATATTAGACTTCGGGAATAGACTTCACGCAGTTTATAGGTTACAAACATAATTTCTCTTACTTGAGTTAAATGGAGTCATTTTTATGCAAGTTTATTTTTCTTGGATGCCAAATGTTCTAATCTTGTTTATGTATAATTTTTTTGATCAAAACAATTTCCTATAATTTTATAAATTAAATTTGAGTTGTGTTAGGAATTAGACTTCATGAATAGACTAACATGCCGTAGACTTCATGAATAGACTTTAAACAGGGTAAAACAGACATTGTGACTAGCGTTTTTTTCTTTGTTCATAAGGGCTTGGTTTGTAATTCTACATGCCCAGAAGACTAGTTTTGCTCTAAATGCAATATAGGGTCTAGTTTTGCATTTCAAATCAAATTGTGCACTATATTTGGCAATTCCCCCATTAGATAGTGTATGTTATTTTTACTTTCAAAATAATTTTACACTATTGAGTTACATTATATATGATTCATCAGGATTATTTTTAGTGTGAAGATAATCTTCTAGATGTTCCACTTTCTAGTGATTGAGGGATTTATTCATTCTCCCCCTCGAGATGATGTCACTTCATGTTCATCAATCTCGAATGGAATCCTAATATAAAATCAATAATATATCCAACTTGAATCATGTTTTATATCTTTGATTCTTTAAACTTTTTATATTTCTATTATGTGTTTGATTCTTTTCACTTCTGGGATTTCAAAGATATAATGCATCAAAAAAGAATTTACTATAAACAAATATAAATTTATATATACTCTTCTGGAGATGTGTATCTTTTATTTGCTGCCATCTTTATTTTCTCACTTCTTGTGAGAATTTGAGTTCTTGAAATAAAACTCTTTGGTTTTGACCTTAACATGAACTATAAAAGATTCATATTAATGTTTATAATCATATTTTTAATCATTCATATCACATTCACTTCAGGTAATGGATCAAAACCAATTAGATAAGATTCAAGATTTTCATTAGTAACTCATTATTTTATCAAAATAATTTTTTAAACTTTGTTTAATAATATTTTGTCAACTGGACAATATTATGTATCTAAGATGTTTATCATCATTGGTATATATTATCTTCTAGTTAAAATCATTTATAGACTTCAAGTCTTGTAATTATAGATGCAAATAAAAGATATTCATATAAAAGATAGTAGAAAAATAAATAAATATTATCAAAAAAATATATAAACAAAATATAATAATATAATTATAATTAAATAAATAATTAATATAAATAACATTATCTTTTTATTATCACTTCAAGTGACAAATATAATTTTAAGAATTTCTTTGCTATTGTGTCTACTGGACAACAATATTTTTAAAATATTCTTTAAATATATTTATGCTATTGTGTCTGCAGGACAACAATATTTTCATAATTTCTTCTTGTACATTTTTATTAGTAATATATTTTTACTTATAAACTTCAAGTGTATATGGTCTGAGATTCAGTAATTATCTTTAGATAGTTCTATTAGATCATATCATTTCAGATGATTGTTCATTTTCTTTAGATTGCTATATTAGATCACTTCTAGTGATCATGCCTTTCTTTTTACTCTATGGTAAAATTTATTACATTTTAAGGTCATTAGAGATTTTATAATAGATAAATACTCATAAATATTAGACAAAATATTCTGTATATAATCTACACATGAACAATGATAATATTAATTACTCAATCAATCACCAATTAGATTATTTCCATCATACCATTAGGTTCTCAATTAAAGCATGTGATTAACAATCAATTAGAACATGAGACAAAAAATGTATAAATACAAAACCAATTTAATTAACAAATCAAATTTATTAATAGGACTAATCATATTTTAAACAAATAGCCAAAAAGAAACCGAAGAAACTGATTTCTATTTAAAACAACCTCTTATCAATTCAAAATAATTTAGTGGATTCAATTAAACCAATATAAACACATTAGTCAATATAATCATCAAATCAGATTAATTCAGTCAATAGTAATTTAAGACAAAAATTTAAAGCATGGTCTTATTTGATCAAATGGTCAAATTAACAATTTAATATGGTCAAATATTGCAATAATATTTCAAATTAATGGTCAAATTAATTCAAACTATGAATTTCTTCTAGATAATTTTCAAAAAAAAATATTCTATTTTGCAAATTTAATAAATTACGAAAATAGTTTAAGGAAATACATATCATATGAAAAGCAAATAAAAATAACTAAGAACAATAAATGTATATGCAAATAAAATAATAACCAATAGATATAAAATCCTTTTGGGATATAAATAAGATATAAATCCTGCAGGGATATATATAAAATAAATAAAATATAAATCCTTTAGGGATATAAATAAAAATAAAATATAAATAGAATATAAATCCTTCAAGGATAAATATAATTGAAATATATAATTTCTTCAACGAAAAATAATATATGAATTCTTCAGATATATATATATATATGTTTATAATCTTAATCCTTCAGGGATATAATTTTACCAGAGAAAAAAAAATTATAGCAATTGGATATATAATTACGAAAATAAAATAAATATATATAAAGCATGTGTTTGCTAAATCCAAATATTATCAATAAGTAATATAAATTAAGTATTGATAGAAATGGATTTAAGTAGAATAAACACAAATCAACAAAGTAATAGAGATTACTCATTGAATTTGTGAATTTACTATAAGAACTATTATTAGAACTTTTGATAAAGAAAGAAATAGAAAGCTAAGAGGTAGAGACTCGTACTGATAACGTGTTGTGAGAAAGAGAGAATGAAGGTTGTGTTATTACATGAGTGAAGAGCTCTTTATATAGAGTACATAGTAGGGTTCCAAAGGGAAATCAACATTGGGGAGAAGTGGGCCTAATGGGAATCCACCTATGGACCTACTGGGCATCCACTTATCCATAACATTTTTGTTATATCTCTATTAGCAAACGGATAAAGGGTACCTAACAGTGTCAATCTACTGAAGTGGGTGGAATCTTATATATAATTAGTGAGTTGCTCTCTCCATCTAAAGTGTCCACATCAGTACAAAAATTTTAAATTATATTTAACTTATTTATTAAATATATGACTATTCATATTTCTTTGCATTTATTCATATTTAATAAAAATACACAAATAAATTAATTAATTAATAGAAAGTATGTGATAATTTGATGTCAAAAGTTATCAAAAATTTGAAATATAAAATAGAAATGAAGTAAAGAAATATTTAACTTCAAATAGTATATATTTACCTTTTTATTTAAAGGATTATCCTATTTAAAGATGTTATAATTTGTTTACAAGTTAAAAAGTTAAATATAAATTAATTAAGATAATAGAAATCTCATGAAAAACTAGAGTTAGTGTTTGTTTTTCTAAACAAAAAGAAATGAAATTTTATATGTAAAGTTAATTATAGTGATAAACAAGAATTTGTTTACAAATTTTAACCTTCAGTCAAATGCATATACATATTTACAAATTTTAACCTTCAATCAAATACATATACATGTTTACAGTCTAATAGAAAAAAAAGTAAACAAACATAATAATTATAACATGATAAATTTTAAAAATAGAAAACTCGAGATAAAGCAGGATGTTAATATCCTAATAAATTTTTAAAAAAAATTATCCATTTTTTGAGTTAACTCAAAACATAACAAAAAGATGAAATTTAACACAAAACAATCATAATTCAAATCAAATAGTATAAATAAAATTAAATAGAAAAACTATCACAAATAATGAGGTATGCGTGGGAGAGGCAGAAACAATGAAGCATTAAATGCAAATTTTATTGCTCTTTGTTCTTAGTTATCAGGTTATCACCATCTCCATTTTTCTCGTTTTCAATTGTGGCTTTTCTTAATCTTCTTTTCTTCAAATTATTAATTTTTCAATCAACATTAAAATAAAACGAAGATAACAAAGTACATTTTCCAAAAAAATATAATATGTTCTCATAACTAAATATACAATAATCTAGATAACCATACCATCATAATATATTGAGACATAAATATATATTAACAACAAAATACATTACCTTATAAAATATTTAAATAAATACATATTTTTAATATAGAGAACCATAAAAAAAGTATCAAGATATTTACTATATTCACAACAAAAAATATATATATATAGATATACACCCAACCATACTATAATATACCCATCTATATTATAATATATATATATATATACACCCAACCATACTATAATATACCCATCTATATTATAATATACCAAATCATAAAATATATGAACGAGAATATACATTATTATATAAATTTATAAAAATATATGGAAAACCATATAAAAATATAGACAACTATATTAACAAATAGAAAAATCTATATATATAGCAAGGGGTAAATACATTGTTACATATAAATGTAGACAATCATATAAAATTATATCAAACCATAAACATCTGTATACAGTTGAACACATTACCACACCATACAACATATAGACAACCATATATATTACACGATTTGTAAATAATAAGTTATGAGAATATATAATGTGTTAGTTAACCAATATAATATATATATATATATATATTAACTCTCAAAATAATTCGGATGTTAACCAATCAAATTAAAGGAAAGTTAATCAGAAGAATGTTAATTATCATAACATTTATATGCAAGGTGAGTGTATTCATTATAGATAATCAAAGTCATATTGGTCGACAGGTCATTTATTGCTACTGTGTTGACTAACTCGCCTGGGGTTAAAATGGGCTAATTAAGTGTCGAATTATTTTCGTTGTTCAAGAGCATGTTTATCGCACAGGTTTGGACCGTTTTTTTAGCCCAAAAATAAAAACAAATGCCCAAAATATATGATATGGCAAGCCCAAGTCTGAGAGTCGTCTCTCGGGGAACAAGCGTAGAACCGTTTCTTCCGGCCACGTGTCGCACACAAAACGAGCTGCGTTTGTTGATTTCGTCAGTGTTCCGACAAATTTTTTTTCTTCATTTCACTTTGCCTCTTCGCTTTCTCCGCTTCTCGTCGAGCTGAAACTCGGCAGACGAGATTTCCGACTCCGATACCCCGTTCTTCTTTGTTCTTCTTCTCCTTCGTCCAGTTCTTCCTCTCCTTCGTCTAGATCTTCTTCTCCTTCTTCGTCGTTTCGCAGTTGTCGCTTTTTCGTTCGATCTCCGATTTCCGGCGAGTTTTTAGAATTTCGGCGAGGTTCTCAGGTATGGGCCTTTACTCTAGTTTGGTGAGATGATTATTTCTGGTAAGTAGTTTGAATCGTGCAATGTATATGAAATCCAACTTTCCTGAAACGTAAATCGGATTTGTGAATTGGGAAATTGAGTTTGGTGAAAATGGTTAATTAATTGATTTGCCATGTGTGGTTGTCTGATTTAATCTGAATTGAATCGAATTGGGTGAATCTGATTATAGTATATGTTTTGTCTGAAACGTGATTGTAATCTCCTGGAAATGGTTTGCGAGCTCATATTGAATCGTTTTTGTTGTGTCATGTCGGTTCAATGCTTTGTGCGTAACATTGTTTCTTAAAACTGGTGTCTCTTGTCTTTTATTATTCATAAAAATCAACGAACTAGAAAGCACTCTTTATGCTTTGAATGCTCTTTTCTTTTAACTAACATGTATTCTTTCTTCTTTTTCCTCATGTCTCGAGATGGCATCGAAGAAGACAGCTGGTGGAGATGATGGCAACTCAAATCAGCTCGAGAAAGTACAGGTTAGGTTTCCGCCTTTGTGTGATAGATTAGCTTGCGGCTGTAGTTATTGATTGCGGTTTAGGTAGAGAGGTGTAAATGGTTGCGGTTGTTGTTTGCTTTTAATTGGTTCATAGGTCTGATTTAGGTTGTGAGCGATTAGGAATTTTGCTTGTATGTGCTTTATGTTGAGTTAAATGCAATGTCAACCACTAAAAGTGTAGAGTTAAATGAGTAAAAAACTTTCATAAACGGTTTCATGTCTTGTCGCTTTTATTAACACCCAAATTTTGCCTATAAAGACACAACTTTTGAGCTTCTTCTTCACTCATCTCACTAACCCTAGAACAAACCTCTAGGTTACAAAACTTTAAGTCAACTAAAAATCATTTTCTGTTTACGAAATGGGTTCCAATAGTCCCTCGAGTTACACTAGATCCTTCACATACCTCATGAACCAAACTGATACACCTCAAACACCTTCGTTTTCTACCCAATCACCTTCGTTTAGCACCCAAACACCTCTCTTTGGTACCCAAACTCCTCTGTTTAGTACCCAGACACCTCTCTTCGGTGACCAAACTCCTCTCTTTAGTAGCCAAACTAGCTCCACAGCAGATGAAGCTGATGGTGTAGATGAGAGCTCACCATTGTTCACGGGAAGCGAGAAGACGATGGTCAAACGCAGAAGATGGGGCGCTGGTTACTGCGTGGTTAAACACCAGCAAAGATGGCGTCATTGCAAATGAACAGAGAGCTTCTGCGTTTTGGAAAAGGGTTTGCAACTACTACCATGGGTGTACTGCGGTGAAGGATTTACCGCCACGCGAGTGGAATTCTTGCAAGCAGAGATGGACGAAAATAAACAAGGAAGTGCAGAAGTTTTGCGGATGCTTTGACCAGGCGAGGCGTCAAGCTACAAGCGGCCAATCCGATGATGATGTGTACCAGATGGCTTACAAGTTCTATAACCAGGATATGAAGACCAACTTCATCTTAGAGCATGCGTGGAGAGCTCTTAGAAACGATCAGAAGTGGTGTTCTCTTTATAGAGATAAAGGCAAAACTCAGACCAAAAGATCACAGCCAGCTGGTTCCGTAGACGGCGGTGCCATGGAGGAACAAGTTGAAGAGAGACCAATTGGTGTGAAGGCAGTAAAGGCTGCAAAGTTCAAAGCAACTAAGACCGTGAAGAGAACCACCGAAGACAGGAGGCTGCTATGACTAACCTCCAATCCGTAGCTGCTCTAAGTTACAAGCAGTTCGCTAACAAGCACACATTAGCGGATAAACAGTCCTAGCTAATCTCTTAGGAAGAACGAACCACTAAACGAACATAGAGAAAGCGCTCAAGGATAAGCTAATTAGTCAGATATATCAGTAGGTTTCAGTTAAGTGAAATGTCCTGATGCCTTGCCTTTAGACTTGTTTTATCGTTTCCCGGTTTCAGACTTGTTTTCCTGTTTGTTTTAATTTTATGTCTGTATGTCTTTATGTCTTCAGACTTGTTTTAATTTTATCCGTGATGTTGTTTATGTTTCAAGCTTAGAGGATTGATGAATTGTATTCTGAACCATGTTCTTCTTTTAATGAGACAATCTGATTATAGTATTGATGAATTTTGAATCTTACGATATTCTCTTGTTCTTTAATAAGACCGTCTCTAATCGGATTATAGTATCTGCTTATTGTTCTGTTAAACATAATCACTTTATAATCTGCTTAGTTGATGTTTGTGTTTTGGTTTTGATGACATAATCTGATTATAGTATCTGCGTATCTGACATAATCTCTTGTGCTTTCTCATCTGCTTACATTGTCTTGAGTTTTGCTTAGTTAATGTTTGCGGTGTTTGAAAAGATACTCTGGTGGACATATAGTTGATGTTTAACAATCCACTTCCTTGTTTTTTATTCTTGCAGGACCTACTTGAGGTGTACAACTCGGAGAAGCGCCGGTTAGACTTGCTCAAACTCAAACACAACCATGTTCAGAAGGCATTCATGGTATCTTACGGTTTAGGGCTCTTCATCGTCACACAATCCAGCTGAAGGAAGATATGGCCGCCTGTGAGAGGGAATTGATGGATGCAGAGCAAGGTTCCTTGGACTGTGGAACAGCTTCCCGTGAGTCCGATAGAGTGATGGCGGAATATAATGTATAGAGCGTCTTAAAGAAACCTCTGCAAAGATGGGAGAGAAGTGGGAAGTGGTGAAGGAATCCTTGTACTTAGGTAATCTCCATGTTTGCTTTGATTTGTTTTTAATTATATGGTTTAGCTATCTGTGTTGATGGTAACTAATCATGGTGTTTGCATGTATTAAGACTAAAAGGAATGAGACAGCGAGGAGCAAGATAAGAGCAAGAGATTGTAGCCGTCTGCCGACCTGATTTACTTGTGTGGGACTCTGTTTTTGTCAAGTTGTGTGATACTCTGTTTTTTTTTTTTGAAACTTGTATTTTAGTTGTGTCGGCCACAAGAAACCAAACAACTCTCGGCCATAAGAAACCAAAGGACAATTATGTTTCATCAAGTCTGTTTTGAGTCAACAAACAACTCTAGGCCACAAACTTTTCAATGTATAATTGTCTTGGCTGCATATGAAAATTAGCTATCCTTCACTATAAAACCTACTCTTCTTTCAATATCTTTGCATATCTCTCATCACAAACTCTCCTCCTCAAACACTCTCTTCAAATTCTCCATTACACCTCTCTTTAAATTCTCCATTGTACCTCTCTTCAAACTTCTCATTTCCTTCATTAAAACACCAAATAATCTTATCAAAATTACAAAGGAAAACAAAAATGGCATCATCTTCCTACAATCCTTTTTCATTCGATGATGGGTTTGAACAAGCCTTAGATGATTAGTTTGAAAGCTGCATGGAAGAGTGTTTAGATGATATAAATGAAGTTCTTGAGCCACAGAAGAGAAGAAAGAAACGAGCGGTCATTGATCGGAGAAGTGAAGAAGGAAACATCCGCTTGTTCAATGATTATTTCAGTGAGAATGCTATATATCCCGAGGCCATATTCCGACGTCGCTTTCGGATGAACCGACCATTGTTCATGCGCATAGTTAACAAGCTATCCGAGTTACATTACTTTACGCACTTACCGGATGGTACGGGAAGATGGGTCTGATCGGCTTACAAAAGTGCACGGCCGCTATTCGTATGCTGGCATATGGCAATGCAGCTGATGCAGTCGATGAATACCTCAGACTAGGAGCGAGCACTGCGCTAAAATGCTTGCATAAATTTGTCAACGCAATCATCTTATTTTACGAGAAGGACTTACCTCAGAAGGCCTACACCAGCAGATCTCAAACGATTACTCAAGGTCGGAGAGAGGTGGATTTCCCGGCTCAATAGGAAGCATTGGACTGTATGCATTGGGAGTGGAAAAATTGTCCCACGGAATGGAAAGGACAATATGCACGGGGCATGGAAAACCAACAATCGTTTTAGAGGCGTGGCGTCGTATGATCTGTGGATTTGGCACGCATTTTTCGGACCTCCAGGTACTTTAAATGACATTAATGTTCTCCACCGCTCACCCGTGTTTCATGATATATTAGAAGGTCGAGCTCCTAAGGTGTCGTTCTCTGTTAATGGACACCGATACAAGATGGCTTACTATCTCACAGATGGTATATATCCGGAATGGTCGACTTTCGTCAAACCAATTCCTCAGCCAGGAGAACCGAAAGCAAAATTATTTTGTGCCCATCAATCGTTTGCCCGAAAAGAAGTTGAGCGTGCTTTTGGAGTCTTGGAGTCTTAGGACACATGCATCGCAGAGACCCATAGGGGTTCTAGAAAACAAATAAAAAAACAAATTATTTAATGATGTGGCAGTCCATGTGGCGAGATTCTCCCAGAACCGTCTCTCTGTGCAGAGACTGCAGAGTCGTCTCTCTGACATATCTCTACACGTGGCGTGATCTGATTGGATCGTTCTTTATTTTATTTTATTTTTTATTTATTTTTTCGAAAATTATTTTTTTTTTAGTTATTTTAAACTTTTAAAGAGCTCATATCCAATATGTGCAATGCATGCGCTCTTACAAGCTCGGTTTGCAATTGTTGAAAACCCGTCTCTTACAATGAATAAGCAGAAGATAGGGAATATAATGAAGGCATGTATCATATTACACAATATGATTGTGGAACATGAAAGAAGCATTGAAACTCAGTATAACCAAACAGAATTTCAACCAGGAGGAGCAGACGGAAGCGGGTCTTCACAAGTACATCCCATGAACGCTTGCCGTCGAATGTCCACAATATTATGGTTAATCGAGCTGACATTCGTGATCAACAAAAGCATCACCAATTGAAAGCTGATTTGGTTGAACATATTTGGAACAATTTGGTTCTTAATCATGTTTTCATATGGTTTACAACATATATGTTTATTTTTATTTTATCTCTCTATGCGGTTTTGTCCCCATTTTATATGTAATAAATGTTGTATTTGTCTTTTTAATAATATATGAATAATATTGTTTTCCTCAATTTTTGAAGTACTTTCAAAAAAAAAAAAAAATTAAAGAAACTCATATGAAATGTATAATATTGTGGCATAATTATCAAGTTTCTTCCCAAATTTCTTTAACTAAAATAATAATTTTTTTAATATATTAAATTTGGGAAGAAACTCATATGGATATATGCAATGCACTTCCTCTATAAGGTGGGTATACCCTCTCACCTAAATACATCCGAAAAATATGTCCTCTAGTGTAAAATACTCTTGGTATTGAGCAATATCAACCAAAAAAGAAAAGAAAAATCGCAATCGTGAGCATTATTGTCTCAAGGAAATAATCTGAGACAGAGACACGATGACAGGCCACGTGTCCTCAAAACTTAAAATCCTCAACAACGGCCATTTGCTAAAATTACACAGAACAGAACACATGCATTGCTTCTTGCATCTTCATCTATGGCGTCTCCAATTTCTCATCTCCTCAAGAAACTCAAAACCTTCTTTCTAATTATTTTGCTAACCACCACTGTCGTAGTAAGCTCAGAACAACAACAGTGTCGGAATTTCCAATCGATTATCAGTTTCGGAGATTCCATTGCCGACACCGGAAACTTGCTCGGTCTCTCCAACCCTAACGATCTTCCTCTTGCCGCATTTCCGCCGTACGGAGAAACTTTCTTCCACAGCCCCACCGGGCGTTTCTCCGATGGCCGCCTCATCATTGACTTCATCGGTAAATCTCATTTTATCTCTCTAATTAATTGTCTTCAAGATTTTCCGATTCTTTTCTATATTCGGAACTCTTTTCTTGAGAAAACAGACCTGCAACTTTTCTGGAGTATTATCTTCTTCGTACTTTGTCTTTTTTTTTTTTTTTTTTTTAAATGATTGTTTTTATTATTGGTTTCTGTATGATGCAGCTGAATTTTTGGTGCTTCCTTATGTGCCACCTTACTATGGATCTAAAAATGGAAACTTTGAGAAAGGAGTGAATTTCGCTGTAGCCGGAGCAACCGCATTGGAACAAGACGCTCTTGAGAGCAGAGGAATTCATACTACTTACACCAATGTTAGTTTACAAGTTCAGCTTAAGAGCTTCAAGGAAAGTTTACCAAATCTATGTGCGTCCCCTTCAGGTAAAGTAAAATGAAGATCAACACTGGATTGGTTTGTAATGGTCTCTTTCTTGTTATGTAATTTTTAGTTTTTATAATAGATTGCACAGAAATGATTGGCAATGCTTTGGTTATCGTTGGAGAGATCGGAGGGAATGATATTAACAACGGCCTCATAGCTGGAAAAAGCCTCGATGAGATCAAACAGCTGGTTCCGCTAGTGATCACTACTGTTTCTTCTGTAATTACGGTAAACATTCTCTTCTTGATCCAGTTTCTTGATCTTGCATAATCAGAATCTTGAAACGCGTACTATTATACAAATACAATAGGAGTTGATCAATATGGGAGCAAGAACGATCATGGTGCCTGGGGACTTCCCAATCGGATGCTGGACAGTGTTTTTGACGCTGTATAAGACATCAACTAAAGAAGAGTACGATCCTTTAACAGGATGTTTGAAATGGCCTAACGATTTTGTACAACAACGCAACGAGGAGCTTCAGAAAGAACTCAACAGGCTTCGGAAACTTCACCCTCACGTTACAATCCTATATGCTGATTACTATAACACTGTGTTACGTATTTTCCAAGAACCGGCCAAATTCGGTTAAGATCAGTTTACCAACTCTTTTTTTCCTTCGGTTAAATTTATAAATAACTAACCAAGTTTTTCTAAATTGATTCTTCTTGTGATTGTGAATCAGGGTTCATGGACCGACCCTTCTCAGCTTGTTGTGGAACCGGAGGTCCGTACAACTACAATAGTGTTACTCTGTGTGGGTCTAAAGGAGTGGATTGTTGTGTTGATCCGACTAAGTATGTGCATTGGGATGGTGTTCATTTGACCGAGTCTGCGTACCGATGGATCGCCACGGGTTTACTTGAGGGGCCTTACACGGTTCCTGCTTTCGACTGGTCATGCCTCGGCTCTGATATCAAGAAGGGATCATCAGGCAAACAATTTTCTTCTAGCAGTATGTGATGCGAGTTGTCCTCAAAGCCTTTGTTAGAGAAGAAGAAAGTTACTGCAGAGTGAAGAGTTGTATTGTGTATTATATCATATTTCTCTTCATGTTTTTCATGGTTATACAAATTCAAAAACACATTAAAAATGATGTAATATTAATATATGCAACTAGGAGAGCACCCGCGCAATGCGCGGGTTTTTGTTTCAATTTTTTTTATTTATTCTTGATATTATTTTGTTTTGTTTATATATTTTGTATAAGTACAAAAGTCTCTTAATATTATGGGTAAAATTTCTCTAAATATTTAACAAATGGAACACTATTTTTGTTATTTATTTTCCTTTTTTAGTTTGTAATATTATTGTTTTGTTAGAATTTCATGTTAACCAAAAGTGAAATATAATTGTAGTATTTGTAACGAATAAGATATAATGCTTAGTTTGTTCTCTCTTTTAGTTGAGTGCTTATTTTAGATATGTTCCTCTCGAGGCACATATGATGTGCTTATTTCTCTTTTAGTATTTGTAATATTCGTATATGATGTTTTATATAATAGTTAAGTGAGTTGAAAGTATGTTTAGCACTAAAAGTGTATTACAGCGTTCATAATATGATTAATTCTTATATATTTGTGATTTATATGTGAAATTGTAAACGAACTTTGATAGTGTTGTAAATTGCTTCTCGTAATGTTTTTTTTTTCGAGGAAGCTCGCCATATTTGCTAGATCTCATCTTTATATATAATCAGTGATCATACGTATTATATGTTAGTCTAATAATTATTTTTGGTGTTTAATTGATAATGAGAAACAACAACCAATAATGCCACTTGTAGTATGACGCGCGATCACAACAAATGAATTCAAAAACATATTACCTACATGAAGACGTGTACATTAACGTTATACGGCGTCTTTGCGGTAGTAGATCGTTTTTTTTTTTTTTTTTTGTCGGTCTATCTATGTAATCTATTTCTACAAGCAACAATGTTATATTTTGGAAAGACATGAAAATTTATTATACATTGCAACCTACAGATTTCCACATTCCATCATTAGCTATATTTGTTTTCAGCATTACATAGTTGTATTTTTAAAGATTCCTGTCTGCTGCAAGGTTATGGCGTTGTAAAACAGGATGAATACAGCAGCGCTTGTCCACATCTCGCAAAATTCTGCATAATCAAGAGTCAAAAAGTTTTAGCGAGAGAATAATATTTGATCTCCAACACTGGGTCAGAAGCGAAGCTCAACCCCATGAAGAGTCAATCTTAAATCTGGGAATTTGTCGGAAAAGCAAATATAAACCATGCTCCAAAAAAGCAGCATACCAGACTCCTTTTTGTATCTACGACTTCGTAAAATTTTCGACGACCACCTCGACTGCAACGGATTTGGTAAATCAGGGGACTGGACTTGAGAAAAAAATGGGTACCGATGATTATGGAGATAAGGACATATTTAGATTTAGTTATATCTACAATATATATTCTAGTATATCTCTATGTGGATTATGATTTACATATTTATATAAATATTCTACTATGTAAACCCATTCAGACAACTTAATACAATACACTTTCATAAGTTATATCATGGTATCAGAGCAGGTTGATTCTTAGGATCAAAACTAGTGCTTCCGCATTAAGAGGAGACCATGGTGGTCGTTGAAGAAGAAGATGGTGATGATCCGAACGATGTCATAGTTCGTGTCTACGTTGAGTTACAAAAGTTTTATTAAATTCCCTTTCTCTTAAGTTGGGTTTCTGGATTTCTATCTTATTTTATTAGTTATATGTTTAGGTTTTGATTAGTTTATTTCAAGCTAAGATTTGATTTTTGTGGTCTACCGAGAGTGTTTTGATATTTAAAAGTTTGTGAGTGTTTACTTTGGGTTTACGTTATCTCCGCCACTTCTCGATGTTCATGATCATCATTGTCCCTACTCAAGGCTCCGTTCATGATCTCTTGCTACTTACTACCGCTGCCACTTCTGTTCAAGTTGTTGCTGCTGCTTCCGTGATGACATCACGTTACTTTCAACTACTACTACTACTTCTACATTAAACATGGCGGATGATTCTACGAATACCTCTATCTCCTTCTATTACTACACTACTCACTACGTCTATGGCTGAGTCTACTACTACTATTATATGTAAGATTTGGCACCAGATACTACTTCTATTACTGAAAGTGAGCAACCTCCATCTCCTTCTGATGAAAACAGAATTACAGAAGAGGTTGAAGCTACTTCTCCGGGCATTCCCGAGTTACTACTACTACTACTACTCTGGTTACTGACCAATCTCTCTTACGGTTCAATTTTAGCCATATATACTTATGAAGAACTCATCTCTCATAGTAAGTTCGATGTTTCTTCTTCCAAAGAGGTCTCAGCATCTACACAACTACAAAGGAACAACCTTTGCGATCTACTCTCCAAGTTGGAAGTTCAAGATTTCTCACCTCCAACTTGAGGGAGGGTATGGAGGTATGGAGATAAGGACATATTTAGATTTAGTTATATCTACAATATATATTCTAGTATATCTCTATGTGGATTAGGATTTACATATTCATATAAATATTCTACTATGTAAACCCATTCAAGACAACTTAATACAATACACTTTCATAAGTTATATTAATGATGGAGTTAATATAAAAGCAAGGTTCCAAAGACAATGTATCTACTTGTGACGATAGTTTGCTCCCCATTTTTCTCACTCTCACATCGTCACAATCCAAGGTGACATTTCCAGCAGGATCCTATCGCTTCACTACGATCACGGTGGGGGAAGAACGGAACTCTTCGAGAGATGGCGCAGCTGCTGTCTTCACCTCGAACGTTCTGTTTCTTCTTCTTTCTGCATCATACATCTCTTTTTTTAGCTACGTTCAGCAAAGATCTGTTTTAAAAAGTTTTAAAGTTCAAACTCTGGATTATTACAACATCTTATAAGTATATTATTATTCTTTATATAAATACAATTTACATTTCAACAAAGTAAACAAGAAAAAGTTCAGATGCATATAAGATTAGGTGAGATTAAACCCGTAAGAGTGGAAGACCTTCAGACTTACAGATCGCCGGTTTTAGCTATCATCTCGATACAAATGGAAAATGCGAGAGAGGCAATCACATTTGGTCCTCCTAAGGCTAGCTATCGTCGTGAGAAATGCCATCACTATTGTCAGCACCGAAACTAACAAAGTTAATCTTATTGCCTAAAACCCATAACCAAAATCTAATGAGAACAAAACACTTTTCCATTCTTCGAGTTACAAAGTATAATGACATTACCTTCCAAGTAACTTTTTAATTCCTGAACAAATACTCCAAAACACCAATCTGCGATTCCATTCTCAAGACTGAAGCAAGGATAACACAACTTGAAATTATTAACAAAAACAGAGTTTCTTAAGTTTTCTGTCTAAAGTGAGGAAGGCAATTTGAACAACAGATTGGCTGCTGGTACGAAGCTCCTTAGCTCCATATGATCAGTTTTTTTTGTCTCCTAGCCATCAAAAGAGCAACATATAAAATGACGGACAGAGTAAAAAAAAATCATGGTTCTAAAACAAAGTGAGAATGAGATGGTCAAAATTCGGAATGGGAAGAGGAGAGGGATATTACACACGTATTTCCAAGGCTGCAGAGATTGTTATTTTGGCAGTGGAAATAGAGTTTGAGATTGGTATGAACTCATTTCCAATGAGACATATAGTATTGGATTGGGACTTCGGGACTGTGAAGTTAAGAGCCAATCTTCTTTATATCTAAAAAAAAACAAAAGATGACGTAACAATTAGTTTCCCATCTCCAAGCAAAACAGACCACATGGAAAATACTGTTATCTGCGTATTTCATGCAAAAAACTCCACCACCATTCTTCGCCACTTTAAAGGGGATGCTTTGGTCGACCACATCAAACGACCCTCCCTTGGGTGCCAAGTCTGAAGCTATTGTCCTTGGAAGGTATGCTTCTACGATGGAGTCCTGAAACACACCATATCGGAGGGAGTTAAATCTAGATATTCGAGCAGAGGATGATTGATTACCTTTTCTTTTCTTTTTTTTTTTTTTTTTTTAAAACATACTTTATTTATCTTCCCAACAGGGATACCATTTGAAGTACAAATGGGAAATAAGAACAGAAAAGAGACCACCGAACATAAAAGACTACATCCGATAAAAGAACTATTGATGAAAAAATTCGAACCAAGAATGGATGTAGCCATTAGTGGATCCGACACCATGAGGGGAATGAGCTAAAGCCTGCAGCGTACTCTGATGATCTAACCCCGCCAACTTGGCCCGCATAATAAGTTGAATATCTTTTATCAACACATGGTAAGTCTTTGGAGAAGCACCATGAAGTCTGGAATTTCTTTCTTTCCATAGAAAATAGACCACCGCCTGAAGAAGAAGTTTACAGATGACTCTGTTTTTATCTCGCAAGGAACTAGACCTGATCCACGTGACTATGTCCTGGAACGAAACTGGTGGCTGGATTGAATGACGGGTGAAAAAAGATTTCCAGACAATGGAAGAAAGACTACAAGAGAAGAAAAGATGATCTCTAGATTCTGCTTCTCTTCCACATAACAAACAGAGATGAGAGACTTCCATACCCCAGCTTCGAAGTCTATCCCGCGTTGGTAAGCGATTTTGAATGGTAATCCAAAACATAAAAGAATGCTTCGGAATATGTTTGGAAAACCATACAGATTTGTGCCACGGCACTTCAGGTGGATTAGGATGGAGAGAGATCCAAGTTTTCGACGTAGAGAAACGAGCCGGGGCTGAGGTCGGACTCGTTTTCCAAAGAAAGTAATCATCTTCCGAGGCATAAAGCAAAGGAGGAGAGGGTAGGAAATTTCTCAGAAGGATAATGATTGGGTGCCTACCTCGGGGCAACAACCAAGATCCATTCCTCACAACTTGATTCACTGTTGCATTTCGAGAGATACCAGAAACTCTCGGACCATTTGCACCCGTAATCTCTATAAGAGGTCCTAGGGAAGTCCAGTTGTCGTGCCAGAAAAAGGCAGTTTTCCCTGACCCGAGATTTCAATGGAGATATTGTCTTGCAAGACTCCTTAGTTTCATCAACCTTCTCCACAACCAACTCCCTGTCGTAGAGAAATCGCAAGTCCAGAAGATTTTGTCCTTGATGAGATTCCTTTTCACCCAAGCCACCCAAAGGGAGCCTTGTTCCGCGAAAAGTAACCAAATAAGTTTCAACCCAAAGACTTGATTCAAATCCGCTAATCGTCGCAACCCTAAGCCTCCGGCTGATTTAGGTAAACAGACGGTTTCCCAAGAAACTTTGGCTCCTTTTGCCGAGTTCGGTGCACCACTCCAGAGAAAGGCGTTTAGGATCTTTTCAATGGTTTCTAAACAGGTTTTCGGAAGAGGAAAGATAGAACTCCAGAAGCTCACCGTTCCATATAAAACCGAATGAATTAGTTGAAGTCTGCCCGCAAAACACAACCTCCTCACTGTCCAGGAACCAATACGCGATTTGACTTTGTCTATCAAGGGCTGATAGTCCTGAGGTCTCAGCTTATGAGGCATAAGAGGTACACCAAGATACCTTACCGGAAAAGCTCCGTTAATGAGACCAAATCTGCGAGCTAAAACTTCCGACGCTTGACCATTATCTCCATCAAGGAATAAGCAAGCTTTCCTCAGACTTAACGCTAGACCCGAAGCGATTTCAAATTCCTTCAAAATGTTGAGAATTCCATCTAGAGACTCTTCCTTCCCATCAAAGAAGACTAATAAATCATCTGCAAAGCTTAGATGAGTCACTAGAGGATCCACGGCTAGAGGAAGTGGAGAGAATCTGTTCTGAGCCACTCCCAAATCTAATAACTTTGACAGAACGTCCATAGCCAGAACAAATAAAGACGACGAAATGGGGTCCCCTTGTCTCAGCCCTTTCTTCCCCGGAAAAAATCCCACTAGCTCTCCGTTCAGAGATACTGAATAATGAGGAGAAGAGAAGCAGATAGTGATCCACGATATGAACAAGGGAGGCAAATCCAGAGTTTCCAGAATATTGACCAAGAACTTCCAATCGACGTTGTCATAAGCCTTGGTGATGTCAATCTGTAAACATCCTCTCGTGATTGATTACCTTCTGATCAAGCAAAAGTGTGACAATCCCAGTTTTGGTTGAATTCCCGTGACCCAATAAACGTAGGAGGCGAGCTGTGATAGTCTCCAATAGTAGGTCGTCGAAATTGACAGAGGAGGGAAGCTGAGAAAATGGATAACGGTGAACCATGGCAAGGGGCGGCGAGAGACAGGCAAGTGTGTTTGTGAGGAGAGAGGACGGTATTGAGTTCGATCTTACTTTATATCTCTCTCTCCGGTTCTCTCTTTTAAATCAGATTAATTGACTTGGTTGGATCCAAACGGTTAAGAGGCTATTGGATTGGTCTGTGATTTCAATAGCTGCTTGGCTGGTTATCTGGTTTAGTCCGGTTGTGAGCCCTTGGTTTATAAGGGGGCAAACCGAGTCAATTAGATCTGAGATTCATTCTTCATCTTCTTCGTTCTCAGTTAGAATTAGGAGAGAGAGAGAGAGAAGATCGCTTCTAACGAGCTTCTCGGATTTGAGAACTCGGATTCTTCGTTCTAGAGGAGTTGCTGGACCGAGTCTGGCCCCAGTGAGTAGCGACCCATCCCGGGAAGTGAACACTGGGTAAACAATTGTGTGTTCTTACTATCTTGCTTTACTTTCTTAATCCTTGAATCGCGACGAGTGATTGAGAGAGACGTGAGAGGTATTGGCGCAATTAGGGTTACGATTAGGTCATTATCTTCAACACGTGGTATCAGAGCCATGTTCCGGCTAAATCAAGATGACGACGACTCGGCAAGAAGTGGTGTGTTTCGATGGATCCGGCGATTTCTGGATGTGGACCACTCGGATGATGGCGCACTTCGGAGTAGCGGGTTTGAAGGATGTAATCCACAGCGACGACTTTGAGATCGAGGTTCCGCTATCCCCGGCGGTTCCGGCTCAAATGATTCCCGGAGCTGATGGGAATGATGCTCAGGTAGTTCCGGCACAACCAGCCACGACCCAGAGGATTTTGGATCCGGTGAAGCTGGAGAAGGACGAAAGAGCAAAGGATATGATCGTCGTGAATATCGGAGATTTTGTTCTGAGGAAGATCAAGCATTGCACTACGGCTGCATCGATGTGGGCACTGCTTGATAGGCTTTACATGTCAAGATCGTTGCCGAATAGGATCTTTGTGCAATCGCAATTTTACACATTCAAGTGTAATTCAGCGAAGACGATCGACATCAACGTTGACGAATTTCTCAAGATTGTGGCAAAGATGAATAGTTTGAATGTAAACGTCTCAAATGAGATTAAAGCTATTTTCTTCTTAAATTCTCTCCCAGCTGCGTAGGATCAACTGAAGCATACTTTGAAGTATGGAAAGGAGTCGATTTCACTGGAAGAGGTGATCTCAACTGCAAGGTCTAAGCAAAGGGAAGTCTCAGAGAGTACAAAATTGGATTCTGGATCTGCAATTGTGCTGTACACAAATGATAGAGGGAGGTCTAACAAGAGGGATTCTTAAGGACTCAAGGCAAAAGAAGAACAGTCGCAGTAGATCTAAAGGCAAGAAGGTTACATGTTGGTACTGCAAAAAGGAAGGCCACGTGAAGAAGTATTGTTTCCTCCGGAAGAAGCGTATGGAGAGTGATGATGACGCTGAAGCAGCTGTGGCTATGGACGCTCTCAACGTTCAAGTGGATGACTCAAAGGAAAGTTGGGTTATAGACTCAGACTGCACACATCACATGACGTTTCGGAGAGATTGGTTTGTGGATTTCTCGGAGGAAGGCTCTAGCAAGATTCTGCTTGGAGACTATCATACTGTAGAGACACTTGGCATTGGGTCTATCCGAGTAAATACTCACAGAGGTTCGGTAAAGGTAATGCACAATGTAAAATATGTTCCTACACTTCGTAGAAATCTAATCTCTACAGGTACACTGGACAAATTGGGATTCAAACATTCTGGTGGAGGCGGAGAGATCATCTTTCGAAAGGGAGAAAAATTTGCATTAAAGGGAGTGTTGAAAGGAGGCTTGTACATTCTCGATGGTGAGACCATCACAGATGAAGTGTGCCAAGCCGAGACACCTTCCACCACGATCACACACCCCTCTGGCACAACCATCTCGGTCACATGAGCCAAACGAATATGCAGGTTCTGGTAAGGAACGGTATTCTGAGTAAGAAAGATATTGGTAAAGATTTCTTTTGTGAGCATTGTGTAGTTGGAAAATCAAAGAAAGTAAGTTTTGGAATTGGGAAATATACTACTAACAATGTTCTTGAGTACTTATATGCAGACCTCTGGGGCTCTCCGAATGTTCATCCATCCCACTTAGGTAGTCAATACTTTCTGTCAATCATTGATGATTACTCCAGGAAGATATGGATCTGTTTACTGAAAACTAAGGATGAAACCTTTCTTAAGAATTTGTGAATGGAAGGTACTTGTGGAAAATCAGGTTGACAAAAAGGTTAAGGCTCTTAGAACTGATAACGGGTTAGAGTTTTGCAACCATGCATTTGATGAGTTTTGCAGGAAATTCGGAATCAAAAGGCACAGGACATGTACCTACACACCTCAACAGAACGGTGTGGCAGAACGCATGAACCGAACGATCATGGAGAAGGTCAGATGTTTGTTGAATGAGTCTGGTCTGAGTGAAGCGTTCTGGGCAGAAGCAGCAATGACTTCAGTTTACGTGATCAACTGTTCTCCTTCGTCTACCATTGAGTTCAAGACGCCTGAAGAAGTTTGGCTTGGAAGAAAACCAGGTTATGGTCACATGAGGAAGTTTGGAGCGGTGGCATACGTTCACCATGACCGAGGGAAGCTACAGCCAAGAGCTGTGAAAGGCGTGTTCATAGGTTATCCACCTGGAACCAAGGGTTACAAGATTTGGTTATTGGAAGAACAGAAATGTGTGATCAGCCGAAACGTGAAGTTTAATGAAGCTCAAGTCTACAAGGATACTGTGGGAGAGACTTCAGGGAGCATTGGAGACACTCAGATCAACAAAGTGTCAGAGATCGACGAACAAGAGACTTCTGAGACACCTCCATCATCAGCAGATCATGGTGGAGTAACACCGGATCAAGAGTTAGGTGGAGCCAGTGATGATCAGTTTGATGAAGAGGATCACCAGGGAAGTTCTCCAGAGCCATCTCCATCCCCGGCGAATGATGAAGGGTCCAGTCTGAAAAACTATCAAGTTACTCGGGACAGAAAACGGCGAAATATTGTTCCACCGGTGAGATGGAACGACTATGACTTGTCAGAAGTTGCGTTTGCACTTTCGTGTGCAGAGCTCATGTACGTGGAAGAAGAACCAGGCAGTTACAGTGAAGCAACGAAGAGCAGAGATTGGAAGAAGTGGAATGCTGCGGGAGATGATGAGATGGAATCATTGATGAAAAACGGGACTTGGATTTAGGTGGAGAAGCCAAAAGACAGGAAGATTATCAGTAATAAGTGGATTTACACAATCAAGCCTGGAATTGAAGGTTTTGCAGCAAAACGGCACAAGGCTAGATTGGTTGCGAGGGGTTTCACACAGAAGGAAGGCATAGATTACCAGGAAATGTTCTCACCGGTTGTGAAACCTGTCTCGATCAGATCACTTCTATCTATAGTTGTGAATTTGAATTTGGAGCTTGAGCAGATGGATGTCAAGACAGCGTTCTTACATGGAAACTTAGAGGAGGACTTGTACATGGAACAACCCGAAGGCTATGTAGACAAGTCAAAGCCAAACCATGTGTGTTTACTAAAGAAAGCGTTATATGGACTGAAGCAGTCCCCAAGGCAATGGAACAGAAGGTTTGATGAGTTCATGGTCTCTCAGGAGTACAAACGGAGTGATCATGATGTGTGTGTACATCATGGAAGTCTCAGCAGACGTGTTCGTTTATCTGTTGTTATACGTGGATGACATGTTGATAGCATCTAAGAAGATGTCAGAGATCAAGAGCCTGAAAGAGCAGTTAAGTTCTACGTTCGAAATGAAAGACTTGGGAGCTGCTCGAAGGATTTTAGGAATGGACATCATTCGTGACAGGGAAAAAGGTATCCTGCGTCTATCACAGTCTGAATATTTGAAGAAGGTGATTAGGAATTTCAGGATGGAAGAGGCTAAGATTGCTCATACTCCGATTGGTGCTCATTTCAAGTTAGCAACTGTTCATGATATCAGTGAGTGTGTTGACACAGAGGTCACTCCATACTGTTCTGCCGTTGGAAGCATCATGCAATGGTGGGCTCGAGACCAGATTTGGCGTATGGGATTGGTTTAGTGAGCAGATTCATGAGTAAGCCTGGCCAGATTCACTGGGAAGCGGTGAAGTGGCTGTTGCGATACATCAAAGGAGCTATTGACATTCAGCTGGTTTACTCAAAGGATGAGGATTTGTCAGTTCAAGGTTTTTGCGACTCTGATTATGCTGCAGATTTGGATAGGAGCAGATCCATTTCAGGTTATAAGTTTACAGTTGGTGGAAACGTTGTGAGTTGGAAGTCTCAACTTCAGTCAGTTGTAGCGTTGTCAACAACGGAAGCAGAGTACATTGCTTTGACATAAGCAATCAAGGAAGCAATTTGGCTAAAAGGTTTGCTTGAAGATTTTGGGTTCAAGCAAGGAGCTGTAAAGGTGTGGTGCCATTTTCAGAGTGCAATATGTTTGTCTAAGAACAGAGTGTTTCACGAGCGTACGAAGCACATGGCGGTGAAGTACAATTTCATCAGAGACATCATTGAAGAAGGCACGGTTGAAGTAGTGAAGATACACACTAGCCGGAATCCAGCTGATATTTTGACGAAAGTGGTTCCGGTGAGTAAGTTCAGGGAAGCTTTGGACTTACTCAGAGTCAGAGCCTGAGAGCTTTGACTTGTGCCAGACGGTCTACGTCCAGAAGTGACTCCACGGAAGCTGACGAAGGATTGTGACGAAGTAAAAAGGAAGCGGATCAAAGATAAGCTCAAGGTGGAGTTTATTGAGTTTGATCTTACTTTGTATATCTCTCTCTCTCCGGTTCTCTCTTTTAAATCAGATTAATTGATTTGGTTGGACCCAGACGGTTAAGAGGCTATTGAATCGGTCTGTGATTTCAATAGCTGCTTGGCTGGTTATCTGGTTTAGTCCGGTTGTAAGCCCTTGGTTTATAAGGGGGCAAACCGAGTCAATTAGATATGAGATTCATTCTTCATCTTCTTCGTTCTCAGTTAGAATTAGGAGAGAGAGAAGATCACTTCTAATTGGGAAGAAACTCATATAGGTATGTGCAATGCACTTGCTCTAAGGTGGTATACCCTCTCACCTAAATACAACCGAAAAATATGTCCTCTAGTGCAAATACTCTTGGTATTGAGAAATATCACCCAAAAAAGAAAAGAAAAATCGCAATCGTGAGCATTATTATCTCAAGGAAATAATCTGAGACAGAGACACGATGACAGGCCACGTGTCCTCAAAACTTAAAATCCTCAACAACGGCCATTTGCTAAAATTACACAGAACAGAACACATGCATTGCTTCTTGCATCTTCATCTATGGCGTCTCCAATTTCTCATCTCCTCAAGAAACTCAAAACCTTCTTTCTAATTATTTTGCTAACCACCACTGTCGTAGTAAGCTCAGAACAACAACAGTGTCGGAATTTCCAATCGATTATCAGTTTCGGAGATTCCATTGCCGACACCGGAAACTTGCTCGGTCTCTCCAACCCTAACGATCTTCCTCTTGCCGCATTTCCGCCGTACGGAGAAACTTTCTTCCACAGCCCCACCGGGCGTTTCTCCGATGGCCGCCTCATCATTGACTTCATCGGTAAATCTCATTTTATCTCTCTAATTAATTGTCTTTTTTTTTTTTTAATGATTGTTTTTATTATTGGTTTCTGTATGCAGCTGAATTTTTGGGGCTTCCTTATGTTCCACCTTACTATGGATCTAAAAATGGAAGCTTTGAGAAAGGAGCTAATTTCGCTGTAGCTGGAGCAACCGCATTGGAACAAGACGCTCTTGAGAGCAGAGGAATTCATACTACTTACACCAATGTGAGTTTACAAGTTCAGCTTAAGAGCTTGAAAGAAAGTTTACCAAATCTATGTGCTTCACCTTCAGGTAAAGTAAAATGAAGATCAACATTGGATTGGTTTTGTATTTTGTAATGGTCTCTTTCTTGTTATGTAGTAATTTTTAGTTTTTTTTTAATAGATTGCAGAGAAATGATTGGAAATGCTTTGGTTATCGTCGGAGAAATCGGAGGGAATGATATTCACAACGGCCTCATAGCTGGAAAAAGCCTCCACGAGATCAAACAACAGCTGGTTCCGCTAGTGATCAACACTGTTTCTTCCGTAATTACGGTAAACATTCTCTCTATAATCCAGTTTCTTGCTCTGCACAATTATAACTGTGAGACTGAAAATCTTGAAACGCGTTACTATCAACAATAGGAGTTGATCAGTATGGGAGCAAGAACGATCATGGTGCCTGGGAGCTTCCCAATCGGATGCTGGACAGCGGTTTTGACGCTGTATAAGACATCAACTAAAGAAGAGTACGATCCTTTGACAGGATGTTTGAAATGGCCTAACGATTTTGTACAACAACGCAACGAGAAGCTTCAGGAAGAACTCAACAGGCTTCGGAAACGTCACCCTCACGTTACAATCTTATACGCTGATTACTACAACACCGGCTTACGAATTTTCCAAGAACCGGCCAGATTCGGTTAAGATCAATTTACCAACTCTTTTTTTTTTCCTTCGGTTAAATTTATAAATAACTAACCAAGTGAATGTGAATCAGGGTTCATGGACCGACCCTTCTCAGCTTGTTGTGGAACAGGAGGTCCGTACAACTACAATAGTGCTAGTCTGTGTGGGACTAAAGGTGTGGATTGTTGTGTTGATCCGAGTAAGTATGTGAATTGGGATGGTATTCATTTGACCGAGTCTGCGTACCGATGGATCGCCACCGGTTTACTTGAGGGGCCTTATACGGTTCCTGCTTTCGACTGGTCGTGCCTAGGTTCTGAAATCAAGAACGCATCATCAGGCAAACAATTTTCTTCTAGCAGTAGGTGATGCGAGTTGTCCTCAAAGCCTTTGTGAGAGAAGAAGAAGAAGAAAGTTGCTGCAGAGTGAAGAGTTGTATTGTGTATTGTATCATATTTCTCTTCATGTTTTTTTTTATGGTTATACAATTTCAAAAACACATTAAAAATGATGTAATATATGCGATTTAGAGCATTAAAATTATAATATAACAAAGTGAATTCATAACACTAACAGAATAAAGATCAATTTTCTAGAGTGCGTTTACATTCCAAGTTATGTAACCTCACCTAGACATGGCTTGAAGAATGCTTCTTCGAAACATCAAAGAGCTGAATCACATGTTCACGAGCGCTTTTGTAGAGCTACAAAGGACAAGAGAAAAAAAGATGAAGCGAAAATTACAAGAAGAAAAGGAATATTAGAGTTGGTGAGAATTAGAAGGTTACCCAGTAAACTCCAGGATCCTCTTTGCAATTTGAAAGAAGAAACCTGAGAACATCAAGGGCGTTTTCCTGAACAAGATTTGGGTCAAAGGCAGGTGGTGCATCCCCAGGGAAGCCATATGGTTGATAAATATCCTCTGTCTTGGTAAGCTCATACCCTTTTACATGACCCACTTGATGATAGCAACCTGCTAGCTCCGGCACATTGGCCATTACATTATCAAGCCAAGCTTCAAGCCTGGTTAAAGGTTGAACCTGTGTGAAAGAGAAAACACTTAAATACATAAAAAAAGATGAAAAACAACAAGCTCTTAGGGTAAAAGTAATAACCTCCTGTAGATGATCCCACAAGTGCAAACTTACAGCCTCATTCTTTTCATTCCTGAACAAAACCATATCACTGCCCAAACGCATGCGGAACTCACCAAATTGACAATCTACAAGTCTTGAAAACTCATTGGTCACACTTGTTGTGTGTTTCTCACAATCTACTAAAGGCTCCAACTTTTCATTGACTTGCACTGGAAGGCAACTACACCCGTGGTGTGTCCTCACTGAATGCATAACAAAGTTTGGAAAAAATTCATCCACTGGTTGACTGTTTTGCTCTTTTGCATCAAATCTGCATCAGAGAAGACAGTTCATAACTCACTGAAAACAAATTAAAAAAATGATGGATAAGATGAAAACAAAACGCACCCAGGTCTCAAGACAAGAGTCTGTCCAACCACCTGAATTGCTATAGAGACTGGAGAATATAAGGAGTAAGGTGTCCTAAATATTTGCTTAAGAATCTCAACTGGAGCAATCACATGTACACCACCTTCCACTAAACCAGACGAAGCCAGAGATTCACACTTCTCTCTAAAATTAGAATTAGAATCAACCCCTGTCATCAGATAAGAACAATGCTAATATATCTTTCAATAGTGTTAAAAATATTGAAGTTAATCTACTGGAAACTTGGAAAAAGGAGAAACATACCTCTGGTGATTCTAGAGATCCATCCTTGGAATATCATCCGGTGGTGGTGGAGATTTAAGATCTGTTCCGGTCCCAAGCATCCGATATTTAGGATCATTCAACGCACTTGTTTTCTGAGGTGAATTGAAATCGGAAAACAAGTTCTGGGCCGGAACACCGAACACCGGCCAGTCGCCGACCGTTTTCAACTTCATCTTCTCGATGAATCGAAAGTCTCGTTCCATGAAGCTCATCGACGTCGGTTAATTTCGTCAATAGTGTTTTTTTTCTTCTGTTTAGGGGTTTATTATAAAAAAGAATAGATTTCTATGGTTTTGTTAAGGGTTTTTGTGCACACAAAATTAGGCCGGAAACTTTTACCCAAAACTCGAACCGAACCGAAAATTAAAAAAAAAACTCTTAACGGTTTTTACATCTACACTCGACACTTGAAAAACCCGCATTGGAACATGAATCTCTTGATAGCAGAGCCAGAGGAAATCATTATGCTCACACCAATGTTAGTATACAAGTTCAGCTTAAGAGCTTCAAGAAGATTTTACCAAATCTATGTGCTTCACGCCTTCACCTTCAGATTAATGAAGATTAACACCGGATTGGTTTGTAATGGTTTCTTTCTTGTTATGTAATCTAGTTGTAATAGTTTTTTAATAGATTGCAAAAATATGATTGGCGATGCATGCTTTGATTATCGTCGGAGAAATCGGAGTTAATGATATTAACTACAGGCTTCGGAAACTTCACCCTCACGTTACAATCCTATACGCTGATTACTACAACGCCGTGTTACGTATTTTCCAAGAACCGGCCAGATTCGGTTAAGATCAATTTACCAACCTTTTTTTTTCCTTCCATTAATTTATAACTAACTAACTAACCAAGTTTTTCTTGTTGTGAATCAGGAGGTCCGTACAATTACAATATTGTTACTCAGTGTGGGACTAAAGGAGTGGATTGTTGTCACTACAACATAGACTGCATGTTACGTCGTTTATAATGCACATTAGCGTCACTTTAAAAGTGACACAAAGATAATAACGTTTTAGAAAAGCGTCGTAATAACGTGTGACGCTAAAGTATTTGGCATCACTTACAAAAGTAACGTGTACTTTCACGTCACAATATTTACGTCACTTACACAAAGTTTCCCAACACTTTATCATGTGACACAAAATACTTGTGTTATTTAACAACCGACGCAAGTTATATCATTAGTTAAAAAAAAATGATGCTAATTAATTACTGTATATTTGTATTATATTATAGAAATGATAATCCAAATACAAATTGTGATCACCAAAATATATCTGTATTACAAATTAATATAAGATATTGTTATGAATCTGCATATATATGTAATATACTTTTTGTATTATGTTTCCACCAATTGTACGTTCTTCATCCAGATTCAATAGTTTCCTCCTTTTACCTATCATCAACACAAACCAAATCAGAACTAAGCACAACATATTTCGTCATTTTCTCAAAGAACAAAACCAATCTAAGCAAATCTATCATGTGCTACTTATGTTCTCAGACCTATTGTGTTCTCAAATCTACCATGCATTACTTTCTTCTCAGACCAATCAAATATACCATTTCTCAAACAGAACAAAACCAATCATACCTTGGAATTGGATATTATGAACAATCTGGGATCTCATGACTCCATCTCTTGGTTTTCTATCTGTTTTACAAGTAAATAGAAAGCATTGTAAGAATGTTACCTTAGATATTGCTTTTGTTTAAGAATGTTACCTTAGATATTGCTTGTTTAAGAATGTTAACCATTGCGTCTCTATCTGTCTCATTCACCTGCATAAAGTAACAACTTCGTGATTAAAGCAATGGATTGATCCAAAAGTATCAAATAAACCATTCATTACCTTGAATTGGCTGCATGTGGATCCAATATAAGCTTGAAAGAGCGCTAGCAACAATATCAACTTTATCTGCCAGATTCTTCACTGTTGACTTGATCTCAACTAATTCTACATTAATTGATGATGTAGAGTCCAAACTTGAGAAGTATTCAGATGGGGTCACACCACGACCTAAGAAACGAACTCGTCCTGAATGCTCTGGACCAAAAACTTGAGCAACAACATCATTCTTCAAGGATGTTTCGCCTGGAAGTTTATGATTCATAACTTCCTTAAGTTTGTCCTGTAAAAATCAGTTCTACGTAAACAAAGCAAATCAAATGTAAAAAGCAAATTTAAAAGTAGAGATGTACTAACCACACATATTCTTGCTTCCTCACAAACCATACTGCCATCTTTCCTCGTACGTGATGCAATAAAGAGTTCTGCTCGACTTGGTTCAAGACCACTTTCTTCTTCCTGAAACATATGTAACAGTTCAAGATTGACAAAAGCTTACCATATACTAACTAAACTTATTATATACTAACTAAACTTACCATCTCATAACCTCTTCTTGCCAAACTCTTTTTCCCAAGTACATGTGGTACTTTTAAATGGCTTCTACTTTTCGTATTACCTCTCTAAGTTTCTACAGTTATGGGAAACAAAAATTCAGAACATGTTCTAGAAATGTTTATTTAAAAGAATTAAAAGAATCAGTGAATGGAGAATGTTCTAGACAATACCTTGGCTTTATCTGTGAACCGAGAATGAACAAAATCTATCCATTGATCTTCCGGAATCAATGTTGGTCGAGCTTCAATTGATTCTCTTGGAGTATTTCTTTTATGAATTTTCCAAAAGCGTTGCTTTAAGTCCCTGCATCTGACTCCTAAAGTAGACATCACATACTTTTTCCTCTTCATTGGATCATCGAACCAAAATTTTTTCTGTATTCAGATAAAAACCATGAGTTAATCTAAAAGACTGATAAGAGATAAATCTAACCATGAGTTAAAGTAGATACCTGAATAACTGCCCATGCCATCTCCTTCCTATAGTTAGGAACTTTCCTCCAATCAGTGTAGTTAATAGGAAGAATATTAAGATCGTAGCTCAAACTACCTAACCAAGAACCTAATAATCCTCCTGAATCTTTTATTGGTTGTCCCCTCCTATTAAAATTTACAATAACTCGACGTTTCTGCATGCTCCAGACTTGCTTCCCAGTTACCTTTTCTAAAGTAATATTTCCATCATCATCTAAAGACATAAGGAAACAATACCAAATCAATATTGATCATCAAGAGAAACATCACAAATAAGAAAAAATTAAACAGTTAACAGATTTACCTATAACTTGAACGTTCCATTTTCCATTAAACAGTTCCGGTCCAAGAGGAGGTGGAGCAGAGAAGTCTTCATTCATACTCGTCTTATTTATACCTGTCCAAGATACCTTTATAAACTCAACAGTTTATCTAATAGATAATACAAACAGTTTATAGCAAAAAAATGTAACAGATAAGTGTATATAGATAGAAAACTATTTACGTCTATAACATGAAGTCTCATAAAAAAGACGCTGATGTTTCTGCTCCTTAACATGAAATCTCAATCTCAGGTGCAACTAGCAACAATACAAACCCTTAATTATGTTCATTTGAACAAATCAACAGTTTCTATCAACTTCAAACGAACAAAGCAATATCACTTATTCAATGTCTCTAGCTAATGAGAATTCAGATAAACAGAAAAATTAAGTAGAGCAAACTGGGATTTCAATTACTAGCTAATCTCAAGTACAATCAAAATTTGTAGATACAAAACACAAGATTTCACAAGCACAAAGCATTACGTATTGCTAAAACTTCAATCACAAACAGAATTTGTAGATACAAAACATATACAAATGGAGATGGATGAAATATACCTGGAAAATTCGATTTCCGGTGATGGAGCGATTTCCGGGTGATGAGTGACTGCTTTGTGCCTTGAAAAATGACTCAGAAATGGAGAATTAAATTAAGATTAGAAGAGAGCTTAGCAAAAAAACGCCAATGTATAAGAAGAGATTATAAATGCAAATCAACAAAACTTAGATTTGAGCAAGCTTAAAGCAAATCTTACCGAAGATGGTACAAATCTCCTCTTGTGACTTGAGCAAGCTTAGATACGAAGATATCTCTGCACTTCGATGAGTTCGTATAGCTCAATTTAAGTGAAATCGAAGAATTTGCGATCTGGAGATGATGGTGTGATTGGAGAGAAAGGATGGTGTGATCGAAGAGAAATAGGATCGATGAGAGGAGATATGTGCACTTTAATTAGTTGGGTTTGCTCAATTTAAGTCTCGAAATCGAAGAATTTGTGATCGGAGAACATACATGGTGTGATCGGAGAGAAAGGGGGATCGACGGAGAACAGAGAGAGAGGAGATCGAAGAATCCAGAAATTGAAAAAGAAATAAAATAAAATCTTTTAAAAAATATTATTTTCAATTTTAATATTTGGGCTCTAATTTTAGTTAGTTTTGGGCTGTTATGGGTTTAAGTAAAATGTTTCTGACCCTAAAATTTAACGTGAGTTTTGAAACTGACGTTAAAAGCCTTCCTTTTAAAAAACTTAACATCACTTATGTAAATGACATAAACAAAATGACGTTACTTGCCTGATTTCTTGTAGTGTGTGTTGATCCGACTAAGTATGTGCTCTGGGATGGTTTTCATTTGACCGAGTCTGCGTACCGATGGATCGCCAAGGGACCACTTGAGGGGCCTTACACGGTTCCTGCTTTCGACTGGTCATGCCTCGGCTCTGATATCAAGAACGCATCATCAGGCAAACAATTTTCTTCTAGCAGTAAGTGATGCAAAGCCTTTTTGAGCGAAGAAAAGTTGCTGAACAAATTGAGTATACTGTGTATTTCATCAGTCTATTGTGTGTTATAGAATTTTCAATTTTGTATTGTTTATAACACTATCACATTTCTATTTTAATGTTTTCATGGTAATACAAGTTATAGCATAGTGTCATATAACAGAATAAAAAACAATTTCCTCTTTAGTACATTCCAAGATCCAAGTCTTTTCGGTTTGATGATTAATCGACAAGTAAGGCGAATAATCGAATTAACTACCGGTTAAATAATTAAACCGGGTTTTTATACCGCTTGTGATAAACTTTCTCTAAACTTCTGTACCAAAGGAGTTCAAAATCTTCGTCTTCTTCAGAGGCTTCTTTCTGTGCGAGGAAATCTGCAGCACAATTCGCAAATTGCAATTCTCTCTACCTTCTCAAATTTCCTTCAATTGGCTGCAATTCTATAAACCCTATATTAGTATCTGGGTAAACTCCATTATAATTTCTCAAAAAAGGAGTGTGTCGTGATTTCAAAAATCCAAACCTAAAATCTCAATCCTCTGAGAATCCCATCAATCGAATTCTCTTTGTCGACGCGACGTCTAACGGATTCTTCTGCGTACACAAAAACTGTAGACTTTTTGGTGAAAAAACAAACCTTGACGAAGAATAATATGAACAGCGAAAGCAGTGAACAGAGCGAGAGCAGTGAACAAATCGCTACTTCAGGGATACCAAGAGGAGGCCCGATTTATCTGCCAAACATGGTGGGGCATCTTTCTACTGTTGACGAGTTCCAGACTTCTTTTCTCAATCTACTCCAGGATTTGGATACCCACTTGTCTCTGGAATCTCCTTCCTCTTCTCAGCAATTTGATATCTCGTACGTAATCAATCACACATCAATTGGCTCTTCTTCTTCTTTTTTCATCCGTTAAAAAACCTGTTAATCATGAATGTAACTGGGAATTTTGATGCAGAACTGACACCCCGAAGATTTACACGGAGGAGGAGCTCACAGATATGGCTATGAAGGAAGCTTTTCAGGTACACAGCCAAATAGCTTTATTGGTTTATTTTATTATTCATAAGAATATAAGAACTTGGGTCTTGATGATGTTGGTTCTTATTTCAATCACAGGAAGATGACCTTTCTCAAAATGAGCTCGAAAAATCTCTGGATGCTTCTCAAACGTAAGTTGGACATTGTTGTGTTCTAGATATAATGCTCCTTCATGTGTGAATCCTTGGTAAAAAGGAATTGGGATGTAGCTTTCTATTAGTGTGCTTTCAAGTGTTGGTTAAGTTTTTGTTCACAGGCTCAATATACTTCTCAAGTCCTGTTTCAGGCTTTGTTATCTTGCAATTATAAGAGTATAAGGTTGTGGTTAATGGTGATGGTCAGAGAATTTCTAGAGACAAAAGTAAGGTTGGCTTAGAAAATTGTAGAACTGTAACGAACGGTTTTGCCTATGTATCTTGCAGAGAAGATCCATCAGTTGGGAAGGGAGGAACGGCTAAAAGGAAGAGAGCAGTAAAGAAGACGGTAAAGAAGACAGTAAAGAAGACTGAGGTGAATTTATGTAACCTCACTTAGGATATCTTGATGATTCCAAAAGTTACATGGATTTTAATAATAGTACTGACTTGGTTCAAACGAGTTGGAGTAGTTGAGTTGATGGCTTTGTTGCATCTTTTGTGAATGATATGATCGTTTTGTTTTTGTTTTCAGGATGCTTATATTGCCAAAGTAGAGGAGCTTGCTAAACTCAAACAAAAGCAGGATGAGGATAAAGAAGCTGTTAGGCTACACTGCTTCAGGTCTGTGATTACTACCGCATAGTCTGGTTTGCTGATGTATCTTACATGTTTTGTGCTGATGTTTTCATTTTTAACTTCCGTTCAGCAAAACCTGTGAAAACGGTGAAGATGTAAGTACATCTCCAGAAGGTCTTGAGCAGATGCAGTCTCTTAGGTCCATAGATAACTATGCGGCAAGTGATTTTCCCTTACAGTTTCTATTTGAATTTGCTACTCACTTCTCATGCATCCTGCTAAATATTATCATCATCCTCCTGTTTAGAACAGTCGGTGAAGCCAACAGAGATTCAAGGGACGGTGGATATGCTATTTCCTGAAGTCATTCTGTGTGTTGAGATTTATAACCTTCGCAAAGTAAAGGTGCTGCATTGCTCTGTAACTCTTTAATGCACTATGCAGATACAGAAGTCTTATTTAACCGATATAGAAGATTAGAGATAGAGGTAACAATATATTCAGCTCTACTAACAATAGTACCTGTGTGAAATTTGGTGCAGTCCCAAGAGTTTTTGGTTCTAGGACGTCAAATGTTGACTGAATTAAGGGACAAGATACACTGTCTTACAGACCATGTGATGGAAAAGGCTGGAACGTATGATCCCTCTGGATACTTCCTCATAGAAGTAAGAATTTCATCTGTTAATTAATTCTCTTTTCTTTTGACGACTAAGCAAGTCTTGTTATTTTCTCTTCTGTGGTTTGATCAAATGTTTTTTTTGCTTGTTAAAGGATGTTTTTCACAATGATTTAAGGAACCCCTCGGCGACAGATTACAGCAGACCTATATTAGAGTGGCTTTGGAACTCAAATGATGAAGCTCTCAAAAAATGGGAATGCATTTTAACCGGAGATTCACTGCAGAAGCAGAAAGCTGTTCTAGGTGAAGCGAAACCCAAGGATCTTCCTCGTTTTGTATCTGCAGACATGCATAGTACACGCTTCTGTGATTTAAGATTCAGACTCGGAGCTAGTTACCTTTATTGTCATCAGGTAAAAACCCCTTTCTTTGTTTCTTTAATATGAAAACATTTTGCACGTACTGATAAATCTGAGAACAGGGAGCTTGCAAGCACATGATAGTGATACGGGACATGAGGCTGGCTCATCCAGAGGATCTTCAGAACAGAGCGGCTTACCCGAGAGTCGTGTATCAAACGAAACCGAGGGTTCATAAATGCTGCGTTTGCAAGATATATAGAGCTACGAAGTTTGTTTTGGATGACAAATGGGCAAAAGAGAGTCATTCCTATTTCTGTGCTACTTGTTTTGCTCTTCTACACTACGACGGAGGCTCTCTTAGTTGTGACTTCCCAGTCTATGATTATGTGTATGAGTAAAGAATATCTTTCTTGTTACCGAAATGATTAGATTATAATGTATAAATATGGTTAGTAAACTCTCATTTACACGATGGAAAATTAGAAATGTTTATGTTTAGCATAACCAATCATTAATATAACAAAAGGAAAAAAGTAGAGGAGAGTCCTTGAATTTCTGGTTCCTCTCGCTGTCTTCCCAAATTCAAAACTCAAATTGGTGTTCTCTCTAAAATAGAAAACGTTAAAAACTAGAGAAACACAGAAAATAAAACTAATTATTGTAGAACAAGAAAACAATTCGCATTTGGGAATTGTGTATCGTCATTCCAAGTTCTTGGAACAGCCAAATACTTTCTCTTTGTTGAACATTATTGTCTCAAGAACAACCTTATAAAGACATAATATGGGAGCATATAGAGCAGAAGACGATTATGATTACCTCTTCAAGGTGGTCTTAACCGGAGACTCCGGCGTCGGAAAATCTAACCTGTTGTCTCGTTTCACACGAAATGACTTCAGCCACGACTCACGTGCGACCATCGGTGTCGAATTCGCCACACGTAGCATCCAATGCGACGACAAGATCGTCAAGGCTCAAATCTGGGATACCGCCGGCCAAGAAAGGTATACAACAAAAGAATAACAAAAAAATTTAGGACTAGTAAACGTATGAATAATTTACAAAATGACATTACACAAGAAGTTTTGCTTACGAAAAAATGATGAATAAGTTTTTGACATGAAATTTATCGCGTGATTTTATTGACGTAGCTTTATAAGTGTTTTACTCCGATGCAATTTTCTTGATTAAACCAAATATAAAACTTAGGTATCGAGCCATCACAAGCGCATATTACCGAGGAGCCGTTGGTGCGTTGCTTGTTTACGATGTGACACGCCACGTGACGTTCGAGAACGTGGAGAGATGGCTAAAGGAGCTAAGAGACCACACGGACGCGAACATTGTGATCATGCTCGTTGGTAACAAAGCTGATCTCCGTCATCTTCGAGCCATCTCAACCGAAGAAGCCAAGGCCTTTGCAGAGAGAGAGAACACTTTTTTCATGGAGACTTCTGCGCTTGAAGCGGTGAATGTTGACAATGCTTTCACCGAAGTTCTCACTCAGATTTACAGAGTCGTTAGCAAGAAGGCTCTTGAAGCCGGAGATGATCCAACCACTGCTTTGCCTAAAGGACATATGATTAACGTCGGAAGCAGAGATGACATCTCCGCCGTTAAAAAACCTGGTTGCTGCTCTGCTTAATAGACACACTTATCTCTCTCTTTCTCTCTTTCTTTCTTGTATTTTTAACATTCAGCATCAACATTTTTTCATTAATTTCCTGCAAATATGTATACATTCTTGGAATTATCAGACAAAACAAAGTTAAGTTAACACACAAGTCTCTCTGTTTTTTTTGCTTTTACTTTACAATCGCTTGTTTCTTGCTCTCTCTTCTCTGCTTGTAACGATCGATGCCTTTTGTACTGTACATGAAGATGTGTGCCATTGTTGATGCACAATCTCGCGTCTCTTGCTGCTTTTCCCCATCTGCAAAACAGAGTTAAAAAAACAAAATTATCAGTTTATAGCATTTTAGCGTGAAACCCTGAAAAATTGTGCTTCGAATGTTTCTTTCGATTTGCAAGCTTTGTGTGGTAATGACAAAAGATAAAGACAGCAAAAAAAGAAGAAGAAACTTTGCAGATCTTGAGTGCAACACAAACTCGGGAACATCCTAAATGTTCGGCATCTTCACTTTTTCTGTTATAATTGCATATAAACCTGAAGAATATGGAACTAACTAACAAGTACTTAGTCTGGATTCTAAAGAGGTGAGTTTGAAAAGATCATAAATCATCTCCCTTTTATCCAATAACCGGCAAAAAAGTTGGATGAACTTATCATACAATTCCTTATCAGCTCAAAGAAAGCTTTAAAAACTCTGAACTTGTCATCTATAAGCAGTAAGCAACAGAAGAGAGTCCATATAGATATCAATCTCGTTGGATCAAGCAAAGCGTAGTTTAATAGAACTAAAGGATCTATCTGAGCTATAACAGTTAGACTATCAATGGCATTACACTCGACCAAATTAAGCAACTTTATCAATATCAATCTACACTAGAACAAATTTGAAGATTTAGGTTGATTTTTGGATTAATCCTAAACCCATAATCAACAAGCAATACTGAATTTAGGATTCGAGACACTCAATTGAGCAAGAGGAATCTCACCAGGAAGCGGAATCATTTTTCTTCATCGGGTTTAGGATGCTTAGAGCCCGATTGAAGTGAAGGAAGAGGATTAGAGCCTTTGATGATCCAACCGAGTCCGAAAAAGACGCCGCCGGCGAGAATCGCAGTTCCCCAAGCGTGTGAGTACCACTTGCTGTACTGCCGGATTGCGAACTTCCATTGCTCCCTCAGCGTCGCCTGATCCGGATTCACCGACTCTGGCCGGTTAGGATACGTCCTCCTCTGACCCGAGTAACTCGAACCGGATCCGATCTCCGGCGCCGGTTTCTTCGCCGACGAAGACGTGTTGTTGTTATCGGGAATTTGGCTCTTCTCAGACATTGTCGTCTTCGTCTTTCTTCTTCTTCAGATGCTGAAATGTTTTTAACCTGCATCTATAGTCACTGACACGTGTCCGATAATGCCACGTGGCAGTCTGTACGAGCTCACTTGTACCAAACGGTGTCGTTGTGGTTGTTTCGTCTACCTTCAGAAAAAACCCCTTTAGGGTTTATGAGACTGTGATTTTATCAGTCCGTCAATGGCTTCTGTGTCTACTGCTTCTTCTCTTCTCTTCCCTTCTCGAAATTTCATTTCTATTCCATTAATTCCACTCCGGAGAAGCTCCGTGTCTTATATACGCTCTTGTTCGAGGAATCCTTCTGCATCCATCACCAACGAGGAAGACATTCTCCGTTTCGTGGCGAATTCCGACGGAAAGGCACTTCCATGCGTGCGGACGTACGAGAACGATTCAGCTCGGCTCAGCCTCGTCGGTACAGTATCGTTTGATCAGGCTCTGACCGCGGCTGCTGCCGACGGTGGTGAAGCCGCCGATGAACACATCCGTGAAAACTTCCCTGTCATGGCGGTCGAGACTGTTTTCCCTGGAGGCTCCGATCCTAAGGCTACTGTATCAACCAGATTGGTCAGCTTAGACAATCATTAGCATGTTTACTTTTAAGTGATCCACATTTGATTCTGCAATTTCAACAATTGAAACTCTTTTTTTTTTTTTTGCGCAGTTCTTGCCTACGAAGAAAGTTAAAGAGCGAGCTAGAAGGCTCCGGAAGTCTCTCTCGGAGGATCTTTCCACCGGAGATTTGTCCAAGAACATACTTGCGATGACATTTAGGCAAGTTGTTCTGCGGCAGCTCTCGAATTTTCAGCTGGTGTTATTTGGACCTGGAGCTGAAAGAGAAATGGGAGATCTTGAAAAGCCTCGAGAGGTTTAACTTTGCTGCTTTGATGTCATGTTTCTACTGTGTGTGATAGTGGCCTGCAAGTAGGGAATTGATACTGTTATTGTTCATTTATGTATCAGCAGGATTCTACATCGTTCACTCTTAGCTCATCCGATGAACGGGTTATATCTGTTATTGCAGAAGTTCTATGCATCTCCGCTCTTCAAAGCACTGAGAAGCGTTTCCTTGATGATTATCTCGGAAAAGCCAAGTTTCCCTTTTTCAAGTGGTTAAAGAGACGCAAGAGGATTGCTTCAAGGGACTGCTCGGTTGTCCTGCATAAGGTGTTTGATGATGAGCTAAACGAGAATAGCCGCAGCCAGTTGCTTGAGTATTTCCAATCAAGGAAGGAAAAGTTTGAAATTGCAGACACCAGGAGGCGAAGAAGTCGGTGGTGGAACTTGTCTGCCGATTCTGAGTTGGAAAAAATTGGTGGACCTGGGTTTAGTAACTGGGCAAGTGAGTATCTACCTGCATATCGACTAGAAATTGATACTGCAATACTTGGGGACCTGAAGCTTGAAGGCTGGAGAAAGTCCAGCGAGAATAAGTGGGAGGTTCTTTTAACACACTCCCAAATGGTATAGAATTTTTTCTCTGTCTTTGTATCCCCCACTCATCTAGGCTTTTGTTCTTGATGCTTTGTATAGGTCTCTCCCTTGATATATATGTCTGACTAGCATCTCTCATCGTTTGGAAATACATTCTGAAGTTCTAGGTTATCATTTTCTATTCTTCTTGGTTGTTCACAGTTGTATGATAATTTGGAGCCTTGTTAAATTGTTAATTCAAATAGAGTTCAACACTGAATGAGAGGTCATCATAGACAGTGTCGAATCCCTCATAAGAGTAGTCATTCCTTTTTCCCTGTGCACATAACAAGGAGATGCCGATAGATAGCGTGGGAATTAGAGGTAGCAAGATGAAAGATATTATCAGTCATGGGATCGGATGCAATATTATGTGATCAGTGGTGACTAAGGTGTTTGTTTCCTCACTTGTTATGAAGTCCCCTACATTCCTGACACTTGTATAAACTCTTTAGGTTGGATTGGCTGAAGCATTGGATATTTACTTTGAAGATATATATTCCCTGCCCAAGAAACAGCTACCATGTGATGTTTCCGGAAATTATGCAAACTTACCCAACGAAAAGGTATTGACTATTGGACTGGGACAATTTAGCCATGTGAAAGTCCTAGATAATTCACTGTTTGTATTAATTTGTAGTCTCCATGATGAAGCACTTGCTCTATTTCATTGGTCTGGTCTGCTTCATTTCAGTTACCTGCTGAGATATGCATTCGCTCTGCACAATATATTTATGTTTACTGTTAGAGTTATAGCATCAGGTTGGAGAAATGTGATGAGTTAATAAGATTGGCTTATGTTTGGTAGCTTTGCCTGTGAAACTTCTGTTAACTTTTCTGTTTGATTATTCACTATTGACAGAGAGGATTGTCTTTGTTGAAAATGATATCTGTCACCATGGCCAGTGGAATCCTTCTTCTTGCTGTGAGTGCTGCGGCTCAATTCTGTATTCCTCAGAAAGCTGAGAGAAAGTATCCTGGAAAACACCAAGAGAGTTTATGGGCAGAGACTGAATTGTTATCTCATCAATCTTCTGATTCCTCTAAGGTATGGATCACCAAAACACTTGTATTCAGATAGATGCGTAGGCCAGCAGATGCATTTAGACGTTTAGAGCTTTTCCAGGACAGCTTTAATTCATTTGATCACATGGTTTGCATTTTTTATTTTGTAAATCCTTTGACATAAATAAGTTAACCATCCAGAGAAATACAAAAACTCAAAAAGACATATTTCTGTGTGAGTATGGACTCTCTTTATTGTTATTATTATTCATCGTCTTTTTGTGGCTCTTTTTTCATTAAAGTTTGAAACTTCAAATGAGTAGTTGGATTCATTCTGCGGATTAGTCGTCAACAAGCTAAAGGATGCGTACAGTTGGGAAGGAGAGTTAACTGTAGAAAGCAGCTTAGGTGCTTGGATTGGGGAAGTACCTGATTACTTGAAAGAAACCAGCAGAGCTAAATCCGCTGAAGATCACATGGTTACAAGCTCTTCTCTTCTTGAGAAGCTCAATGAAGACGCCAAGGCATCTGCGCAAGATATCGCTACTTACCAGGTAATATTCCTTTTGAACTGTGTCATCATATAAATCGTCATGTTATGTTGATTTCTTCGTCTGTTTCTTGAATGGAAACAGGTAGTGTTATCATCTGAAGGTAAAATCATAGGGTTCCAACCCACGAGCGGGGTGGCTGTGAACCACTGGGCTGCTAATCCTTTCGCTAAAGAACTTTATGGACGAAAAAAACTCTCGCCTGGTAACTCCGTGACTCTCTTCTTTCGATTCCTCAATTTCAATGCCATAACTCATATGTTTGTCTGATGATGATGATGTGTCATTTACTTCTGTTGCGCAGGGCTAATTGAGCCTGGTCTCAAGAGTCGGCCTCCAACAAAAGTAGTTGTGTTGGAGTTGTTAATGTCTGTGAATTCAGATCGTCCTTTTGCATTGGTGAGACCATTATTGCCACAATAACCCCATAATCTAGCTCATGTCTCTTTAGATGATTGATTTTGTTTATAACATTTGGTGTCAATGAAATACAAAAACCTTCAGCTTACTCTTCCCGGTAAAGATCAATGAGAACGTGATAACACTACCCTTGAAAACATCCTAAAGATTTTAAGCTTTTTGGAGAATACAAAACCAATAATCCCAAGACCAGAAATATATAGACTAAGAGAGCAAGATCGGTAATCTCATTCAACAAAGGTTTTCAAGGTTCCAGTTGTATAAGAACAATAACGACGACAATCAAACCGTATTCTCCATCGGTTACATAATTCATCATCTGCATTATAACGCAGAAGAGAGTCGAAAATGCATCAAAAACACATAAACCAGAATGTCAGTAAATACGTCTTCTTCACCTCCATAGACTGAATCTTTAAAAAAAAGCAGTCTCCTTCTCAACTGTACTTTTCCTGAAGCTCTCAAGTCTTCTGCATCCCCTTCTTTGTTATATATACATCATCTCCATAGAGTAGAGAGAATTATACCAATAATTTAAAAAGAAAATATATTACTTGCCCTACAAGATGTAGAAGCTTCTTTCTCTGCTGCTGCCAGATTAAATGGCAAGCAACAGCTTTTTCCATTTCTCAGGCTATATAATAGTCGGTTAGATTTCCAACCAAGTAGTTAAACTCTTCACCTACTCCATAGTCATTGGCCTGCTCTACTGTGTTCTGAACATTCTCCGTTGTAGCTTTAGCGTTCACTTTCGGTCTTCCTTTGATGCAGCGTTTGTTGTTGTTGTTGATCGTTTCTTGAGGGAACTCAGCAGTGAGTCTCCCCATCTGCTTCTGCAGGTCAGCCACAGACTCGGTTGATACTCTGCTCTTGGAATTCTTCTTCCCATCAACGAGCTTGAGCTCGAGCCTGTACAAGGCACAAGCATCGCACTTGTTGATCTCGTATTCGTAAAGATGCCATTCGAAATGGTGCAGAGGCTGTGGATCCATGTAGTAAGACCTCTTCAGCCCACCAAACTCGTTCATGATCTGCTTACGCGACTCATGCCAACCGCGTCCGTTGTAATCTGGTAAAGATCTCTGCTTCCTGTTCCCACTCTCAAAAGCCCTCCTTGGCTTGTCAAAGAATAGCCACTCCCTTAGTGTCTCGCTCTCAAGAACCGTCAAATCAAAGAGCTCTACAGTCACAAGATTTGAGTATGATCAGCACAAGAAGGTGATATGTATATTCAATGAAATCGAACATAGCAAAGCCTACCTGGAGCATTCCATGGAGATTTAGCAGTTGCAGCTCCTTCACATTCGGGAATGCCAACATCTTTCCCTCCAGCTTTTGCACTAAGAGCAGCAAAGAGCAGACCATCTTTTAAACCAATCCCTCCAGGACGCACAACTGGATTCATACCAGGTGGTCCTTCATTGAAAGCAAGTGCAGCGTGGAAGCTGCTGCAGTAATCCTGGAACCAGTCAAATCCTTGAGCAGGCCTAGGGCAGTCCCAAAGCGCACATTTCGGTCCCAAGAACGCAGATGGTGGAGGACAGATGGTCGGCATAAAGGTAGAGATGTGCAAAGGACCCTCTCCAACATAACCGTTGAAACCACCATTGAAGTTTGGCTCAAACTCATACTGATTGTACTCCAAATGAGCGGTTCCATCTAACAAGGACGGATCTTTGCAATGATCAGCCAATGGGAATCCGATTTCTGACTTCCCCTGGACCAAATTGTATCCCTGTCAATTATTCAAAATATGATCAAACATGGACTTCATAAACAGAGAAAAAAATCGATTTAAAGAGCAAGCAAATCACCCTTTGGAGATTCTGATCAGTAGGCTCGGGCTTGGGAGCAGCTAGTTTGCTGGTTGCATCATCTTCCTCATCACAGAGCTGAAGCAGACGGCAAATGTCTGATGAGAAAGACCCCAAAGTACCACCCTGTGATTTTGCAAATCAAAGTAAGTTTCCACAAGTTAAAACAATCAAAAAGAAGCAAAATTTCCATACTTGTTGCAAGGATGATGCAGGAGAAGGCTCGTTGAGCTCTGATTTCCACTCACGGAGCATCTGATTCACTTGCTCCTCAAGAAGTGTCACATCGGTGCCTCTGCTCTCTTTCCTGGCAAACTGGAGATCCAAGAGCATCCCTTGGAGATCATCAACACGGTTCTTGGCCTTGTCCTTGAACAGCTTGTGAGAAGCAGATCTGCAATTAGTCTTGGATCGCTTCCCCGTCATAAGAAACTCCCTCCCTCAACACAGATTCTCTACAACGCAATCAAAACCATAAAACAAATCAAATACTAGCAAACATGATCACTCTACAAAGCTACATGCTTTGATTAAACTGACAAACCAAAAATTACAGTAAACTAATTTCAAAATCGAATTGGAAACAAGATGAACAACCAAAATCGAATAAAGATAAACAAAATTCGAAGTAGCTTTTGGGGTTTTTTACTTAGCTAACCGATGATCAGGCCTGACAAAATAAAAAAACGAGCAAGGATCACAACTATTAGGATCAACCAATGAAAAAAAAAAACAGCTTACGAAAACGAAATGAATCATGCAAAGAGTTAAAAGGAAGAAGAGATCGAGCTAAGCAGAAAAACAAGATGATCATGAAGGCCAAAGCAAAAGACGAGAGATTTTTGGAGAAACCCAGGAGATCACCTTACTGTAGCTGCAGCAAATGAGCAGCAACCAGAGAAAATCGTTGAATCGGAGTGGAAAAATAAATTAAAAAGCCACACAAAGGAATTAGAGAAAACGTTGGTGGCTTCTCTTCTTCTCTTAGCCCTCCACTTTTCTTTTTTTCCGCTTTTATGAGCAAAATTCGATGAATTGAAGAAAAGACCATCTTGTACACTTGGAGTAAAACATACCAGTTGTAGTGTGCAACTGTTACCAAATTAATCAATTTTGGGTAAAATTTAAGATTTTACCCATCACTTTGGAAAATCAAATCTAAATATATAAGTGGTATTTGGATTCTATTTTCTTTCTTTTATTGCTCATGTCATCATCTTTATGCTGTTTTTATTAAGAAAATTATAGAAGAGATATTAAATATGCATTTGAAAGAAAAAGAAAAAAAAAATCATGTCTTAGTAAAAAAAAATTGCTAACTTTGATTTTTTTAAAATTTATAGTTAAATCATGTATTTTTTTTAACGTTCACATGATTTTTTACAAATTTGGAAAAAAAAAACAAAAACAAAAATCTTCAAACTTGATTTAAGAAAAAAACTTTACCGTAGTGTGATATTTGTTTTGGTTTAGTTTAATCTAATCAATCTAGAATATATACTTTTGAATATTCTTCTTTTAAATAGATATTAAAAACATTGGTTAGTGTGATATACACATGGTAATTAATTTGCATGGGCTTGCATTAGTCATTACTAATGGAATCTTTGGTATGGAACTGCAAAATGACAAATTGGAAAAGTGTGTGAATACTAAAAATATAATCTATCTTGTGTTTTGCAAGTGAGAAGAAAATTCGATGTGAAAACTGAAAAGCGAAAAGAGATGGAGATATTGGCAAGGAAGGAATAAAAAGCTTTTCTCCACTACGTTCCTCCATATATTCCTATTTTGTGATGCTCATTTCTTTCCATCATGCCATTTATTTTACTTTCGGTTTCATCAATGGTCATATTCTTTCTTTCTTTATTCTCATTCTCAACAGCACAATGGTCCTCGTATAAACTCCAAACCAAATAACTCGCCAATCCATCTTACAAATAATTGACTAAACACGATTGTATTTTAAGTCACACTCGAACTACTTTAGTGTTTTTTACATCTCCCGTTTACTAATTAGAAAGCTACATTTTCCAAACCTTTTCTTTTAATGTATACATGCATGAAAAATGATGTGGTCCTTACACCAAATTTATCCTAGTTGGATTGGATCACTACTTCACTTTAACTTAGACAAGAACCAAATTAATGCGGTGGACGGTTGTTTTTAATTAAAAAAAAAACAAATTCCCTATAAGTTCTTTTCATTCATTTTGTATGATTGTTCACCAGAATAGTCAATAGATTTCATTTATATAACACAAGCGAAAACGTCCACCTCATAGACAAAAAGAGGGAGAAGCGTGGTTCCACTACCATGATGCTTAAGCATGGGGTATAATTTTCCACAACGAAACTCAACTTTCGCATGAAAAACGGTGTTTTATCAAATTATCACACTATAGCTAATGAATTATCCATGCATGAGATAGCAGGTTCTTTAGATTTGAGGTTCAACATTTGTTTCGATCTATCGTATTTGATTGTCGCGTTTAACTTTGACTTTAGGTTTTGATCATCAGTAAAATTCTACGTTGTTATCATTTACATGAACGTGTGTCGTATTTGAATTTGATTTAGATGTTCTAGGTTGTATTGTATGTTAAACATTATTTTCGTTTGATTTTGTTTTTAAGGTTTTTCATGATGTATTAAGCATTTCATTATCGGTTAATAATGATGTTAAAACTGACCGTCCAAATTACCAATACTGTACATCCTAACTGGTTGCTCGAGAGATCTTTGCATTATATAGCTAGGCTTAGACCATTTAGTAAAGGAGGTTCTTTGCCTCTAGGATTATGGGTTTATAATTATATCATACAACATGCACAACTTGAGATTAGCTCATTACAAACCTAACAAAAAGCACCAGTGGTCTAGTGGTAGAATAGTACCCTGCCACGGTACAGTCCCGGGTTCGATTCCCGGCTGGTGCAATGAGCCGTGATGAATTTTTGGACGTATATGGACGTGTTTTGCATTGCAGATACGTCCAAATATTTGCAGGTACATTTTGCCAAAACGACAACTAATTTGAAACGGAGGGAGTAATACATAATAGAGATAGTACAAAATAATAGTACGTAACTAAATTCCGATTGGTAACAATATTTAAAAATTACCAATATTGGTAACATTACAAATATAATATTTTGTTATAAATGTTAGAAATATTTAAAAATAGATATATTAATTGACAAAAAAATAAAAAATAACTTAAATATTGATATTCAAATATAGTCTAAAAATATAATATAAAATATTTTATTTTTTTTTGTTTACCAACACATTTACTTTGTAAAATACTAGAAAATATTAGTTACAAGTTTTTTTTTAAGAAAAAAATATTTTATATTTGAAGGAAAGTTTTATAATTTGTATTGTTTGGAAACTTTTTTACTTTCTTATTTACTTATCAAGAGATAAATGATTGATTTGCTTTCATATTTATGACATTTTTTTTCTTGCACTGTAGTTACAATTGTTCACAGTTCATTTACATGCCCAAAATCATAAACTAGACCTACACATTATTAAAAGGAAATAAATAAATTAAAATTAATTTGCTATGTTAAATATAAAACGAATCATAAAAATGCATGCATGTATTAATAGAAGTTTCTATATTAAGTGTGGATAATTTCATCCATTCTACATTAATGCACAAAAAATCACATTAATCCACAAAAGTTGCTATACAAAGTCACATTAATGGACGAGAAATCACCTCACAAAAAAAAAATGTTTTGTACCACCCTTATTTCTTGTAACACCACATAAAAGTAGCTTTACATTTGAACCATTGTTTTGTCATTTGTAACATCACTATTTTGTTGTAATGCTACTTTTTTTGTAAAATGCTTTTTGAACTATCACATATGTAATACTCTTTTGATTGGTAACATAACAAGCATTACAAGTTCTACTACCTCCATTTATGGTTACCAATCAAAGCCAATATATTTATTCATTCGTGAAGCTGATCACTTTTCAGTAAATATTTCTACCTCCCTCACTGTTTTTGAATTTGTAAACTGAAAGCACATCTGGGTTGGGTTGATGATAAAACCCAAGAAAAGTTAGAATATTTAAAATAACGGGATTCAACCGTTAAATAAGAGTAAGAAAAAAAAATCGGTTAAATATAATTTTATAAGATGGTTGACTACCAGGTGATCAAGATCAGTTAATTAGAGTCTATGTTTCATTTTTAAGATTATGTTGCGTTGGTATATTTTCTAGCAATTTTTCAATAAATGCTTTCGACAAAATGACCGGATTATGAGAACGATGGAAACATCGCGGCGGTGGGATGGTTCTGTATAATATACTGTACTCACAATATTTGAGTTTATTTAAATAAAAGTTGTGTTCAAAATGTGAAACATGTGTTTGAGAAAATGTAGGTTCACAAAGAGTAAGCGTTCGCAAGCCGGTTTGCTTTCTCCAGTGGGATGGTTCTGGATATTTTGGTGACACACCATCACTACCTCCTCAAGAATCTCAACCCGCACCAGGAGATGTTGAAAATATTTCTACTGGAGCTATTGTTGCGACTGTTGTTTATGCGGTTATATTTGTGGTTCTGCTGATAAACCCTCTTCATATGGCTTTGCAATATCCATTATTATTCTGATTATAGAGAAATCGGAATATGGTGGGAAAACTTAATCTTTGTAATTCATAAATAACCATCAAATATATCAAACAACCCAAATAACGCATAAATATATCTTACATTGTAAGAAAACTGCATCAGGAGTTAACTTCGATGATAAAAATTTACTCTGGCAATAATATAAATCAGATAAAAAACTATTAAAAAACACCAAAAAACAAGAGAAATAAAACGACAAACACACAAGATAAGAGCATGTTTAATGGGGGAAACTTAAGAGGGTGCTTAAAAGATTTTTTAATATTAAAAGTGTTTTAGCACATGTGTTAAGAATTCTCTGTTTTTTTCATGTTTAATGGGAGTAGCTTAATTTGGGGTGCTTAAGAAAAAAAATTAACTTTAATTTTATTAGTGAACAAAACATAAAATACATTGCATAAATTAAAATTTGAAACATACTTGATTTACAAACATTTGAAACATAAAATTCAAGAACATAAACATAAATAAAAACTTAGCCAGCACGTTAAGTATCTCCAACAATATGTGGATAAAGATGTCCAAATGTTTCCCATATATTCTCAAACAAATCATTTTTCAATTGCTGATGCATTTGTTCATCACGAATACTTACTCTCACACTCATCTCCAATTGACTCTTCTCTGAATCGCAATATGATGCTCCTCACATCAAGTTTATGTAAACATGCAGAAAGACAAAATGCAGAGCTTGTTAATCGTTGTACAAATAATAAAATGCAAACATGAAACTCGCTGGATCCATCAAAAATTAGAGTGAACAAAAGTATATATATCGCGTCGCTTTTACTCAATCACCATTACATAAAGATTCAAGTAATATACTGTTTAGCTGATAAAAAGATTTAAGTAATATAAGTTTGGTTATGGCTTTTAGAGATAATGTTATGGTTTTGTAAGATTAAAACTTATGTACAACAATCACTAGTCAAACCAAAGATTCAACTAGGAACTATTGAAACAAAACAAAAGAGTAGAAGATGAAATCTTGAAACAACTAACGAGAGAAACAGAGAATCACAAGAAAGAGATGGATCCAAGATGTTTCCAAAAGAGGGTTTAGTGTGTTCTGATTGTTATTACACGACACCACTTATCATCATAATTCACCAAAGTTTTCATAGAAAAAAAGAAACATATCACAGATAACAAACATAAGCTCCCTTTCCCAGCTGCTTCCACAACCTAAATCTGTTAATCAGAGAGGATTAACACCTAATTGTCTTCTTCTACCTCCAATCTCACACTATTCTCCAAATCCAAATGGAAATCATTCAAGTTTTAAATACAGTTGCATCTAAAAGCATTAAATTTTAAGTTTCTACTTGAGAATTTTGCCCAAATCAAGCACAAAAACACTAAAACATTGAGTAACACATGATCTCCTTATGTTTTCATTTTCTTATCATTAAGCGAAAAACAAAATTTCTCACCTTTTACAAAATTATTAAAATAAACAATTTTAATTACTAACGTACTTACATCCACATAAAAAATTTATAGAAGAAAATATAAATAACTTTCATAAATGCTTATAAAAACAAAAACAAACATTTCTGGGTAGTTTCAATTTTTGAAAAAGAAACAAAATACCGAACGGAACGAGAAATAAAATATAGAAATAGTAGAAACATTTCTCGAAAATTTCGATTTAGAAAAAAAAAAGAAAAAACAAAACACAGAACGGGAAACAAAATATAAAAATATAGAAATAAAACAAAATATTATAGAAAAAAACCATGCGTGACGTGGAGAATTCACTAATATGAATAAAATTACTGAATTTACAGGGAGGAGTATTTCACCAACTCACAATAATTACTGAGCATGAATGCTAAATTATCACTTGTAACTGACCAAGTTTTATCTCCATATCAAAGTTATATATCTAGTCACGATCCTCTCCTCCATAGCTCATACTCTTTAAAAATCATGTCTTTACCGGTGAGTTCAACCTCTAGTGCACAACCAAAATCCAAAACTACATCCTCTTCTCTCCCGATCCAAGATGAACTCATTGTGAGCTGTTTCGCAAAGGTTCCAAGATGTGACTACCCTTCACTGTCTCTCGTCTCCAAACCTTTCAGTCGTCTCATTGCCTCCCCCGAGATGAATCTTGTACGTTCACTCTCTCAATCCACTGAAAATGTACTTTACGTTGCCTTGGGAAGCAATCGTGAACAAAACCTTGTTTGGTATACTCTCAACCAAATACCTCACAGAGAAGGATCTAATTCTCTTAACCACAAGTTGATTCCAGTTCCCTCTTTCCCTTCTCTCCCTTCTTGGGGAGCTTCTCTTATTGTTATACGCAACGAGATTTATGTTTTCGGTGGATGCATCAATGGTGAACTCACCTCTAAAGTGTTTGTTATCGACTCCCGATTTGGCACGTATCGGTTTCTTCCTAGCATGCGTGTGGCTCGTGGTTATGCTGCGCTGGGTGTTGTAGATGGGAAGATTTACGTAATCGGAGGGTGTAAAAAGGTGGATTCGTTGGATATAGAGGTTTTCGATGTCAAGACGGAAACATGGGAGTGTTTTTCGGGTTTGTGTAATGAAGAAGTGTTTGAGGTCACAATCAAGAGTTTTGTGATGAATGAGAAGATCTACATAATGGATCCTAAACAAATCTTTGTTTACGATCCTAAGACAGGTAAGTGGGTTGAGGACAACTTGCTGAATGCAGAATGGAAAATGGGTTCGTGCGTTATTGATAATATGTTGTACACTTTTGATAGTTCTTGGAGTAAGATAAAGATCTATGATCCAAAAGCTGAGTCTTGGATATTCATGAAGGGTGTTGAAGATCTACCTGAGATGATGAGTTATTATTATGGATCCATAATGGCGAATCATGGCGGAAAACTTGCGATTTTGTATTATAACTATAATGTCAATGGAAAAACAGGGGTTTGGTATACAGAGATTGCATTGGAAAAGCGAGAAGGAAAAGAGATTTGGGGGAAAATCTTGTGGTCTAATCTTTTGATTACTTTGAACTATTACCCAACAATTGCTCAATGTTTAGATGTAATAATTTGATAAAGCATAAATAGGCTGATAATCATATGTATTATTTCTTTAATACATATGAGAGTTTTTTGTTCTTTGCTAATTTTTTTTTAGTCAAGATTTTGTTTGTTAATTCAAGAACTTAAATTAAAGAAAATATAATCGAAGCTGATAATTTTCTGGTTACAATTTTGTTACAATTTTTTTTAGATGCTCAAATGTTGTTTACTTATTTATGATATAATTAGTAGATAGTATGTGATTGTTCTCACTAACCATTTTGAAAATAACTTTAAGAAGAATTTGTATACTAACAATCCAACTCTTTTTCACTAATCGTGTACTTGAATTTGTACGAATGTGTATATTATTGTATACAATCTAATTTGTGAATTTTGTTTTTTGTATTGTGCGACATCAACTTATTTAACAGTACATATACTAATATACATACTGTATATACAATGTTAGCATGTTAACATATACAGCGCCATCGAGGCCAAATAATAAGTCTATCATTGTATGGAAAGAAACAATCAATATTTCTTAGCCTATCTGTAATTTTGTTCTGAGTTTCTTTCTTTTTTCTTACAAGATTGGTCATATACTCATATATCCGAAAGGAAACGCAAAAGACGAAGGGAGTGGATTTATTTCAATGTGTGTAGAATTAAATAGCACAAACCTCGTGACCACACCACTAACTCAGGTGTATGCATATCTCATATTCTTTGTCTACAACAAGAAAAAAGACAAATACTTTAGCATCAAAGGTTTGTATATATTTCCCATTAATCACATTCTTGTTCAAAGTATTTATTTTTTAATACTTTTATTTATTTTTTAATACAAGTTACATTCCTTTCTTTCAAAGATTTTTATTGGTATTGATTGACATATATATATGGCTTAATATGATTATGTGGATCGAACCTTTGTTACATATCAGAGAAGTTTGATTTTTTAATATCTTACGAATTAAAACCTTAATTATATAGTCTTGTTTAAAAAAAAAAAAAAAAAAAAAAAAAAGAAACAGGAGATTAGTTATATATCCAAGAGGGAATGAAAGGACAACGGAAGTGGATTTATTTCTATGTAGATTGAATTAGACAGCGCAGTCGAGGTGTTTGCATATCTCTCCTTCTCTGTCTATAACAATTAACAAGAAGTTAAACAAATACTTTTGTATTCAAGGTATGTACCTACATTTCTTACTCTATATAGCATCGAGTATATATACATATCATTTTGTTTAGTATCACTTTTCTTGCTCAATAACTTGCTATAGATAGGTACATGTTCTTAAATCTTGATAAAAATACACATACCTTCCCACAGATACAGAAGTGAGTAGGGGTGTCAAAATGAGTTGAATTTTTAATGGTTTGGGTTGAATTTTTTTACCTATATAAATAAATTGATTTTAGTAGGTTTGACCCTAATAGTTTATGGTTCTAATGGGTAAACCCATTAAAGTTATCGGTTACCAATAATTTATCACAAAAAGAAAAATTATAAATATATAAAATATTCATAAATTTATGGTTATATTTTATGATTTTATGTTATATTTTATTTTATTATGAGTATTTTATTTTCTTTTACTATACAAATATTATTATGAATTTATTATTTGGAAGTTTTAGTTGAATTTTTAATAATACTCATTTGTTGTCCAAAAAAGTATATTCATTACTCATTCTTTATATATATGGGTACCCTATATAACCCATTTAACCCATGAGTATTAACATAATTGAGTTTAAGTTATAAATTACAGTCCACAAAATAAATGGGTTAGGATCGGGTCGTATATATTACCCTATAACTTTCAAAATAATAGTTACCCCCACAAAATAATAGTTACCCTATAACTTTCAAACTCGTATGGGTTAGGGTCGGGTCGAATCGGGTTACCCATTTTAACACCTTAGTGAGGCGGTTTAATGCATTAAAGAAGGTGTGGGGATTATCACAAATGCTTCCGGTTGAGATATTCAATGATCCTCAAAATAGCTATATATTTGAAGGAGATGAATACGAGTTTGGTGTTGATGTGATGATTGATACAACTCTTCACCAGTGGGAGGTCGACTCTTTTAGTGATAAGTTCCATTTACCCAAATTATCTTGGATAATTTTGTATGTCTACACGACAAATACATTTTCAGTTGGAGGAAAGGAATAGTAAGTTTATAAATATCTATGGATGTGTGTGTATGTGTGTGTGTGTGCCCGAACGTGTATATGAGTGTAGTAACATATGCATACTATTGTTCTCTAGGGAACTGGAGTTGTATCCTACATCCTACGTCAAATGGGTCTCCATTTTTCTGCATCTAGCCAATTATGAAAGGTTAGTAGCGGATGAGAGGATTTACACTCGTGGTCTTAGTTTAAAAAAGCGTGCTCCAGGTGCACCTAGGCGCAAGGAACACGTGGTCAAGGGGTCCAACGCCTCAATGCCTCAAGACTCATGGACATCTATAAGGTGTGCGCCTTTGTGAGCTTTCTGCTCAATATATTGTTCTTCGTACCATTTAGCGTCGACGAAATCTTAAATGGATTTGGTTTCTGTTGATCTTTTCTCCTAATATTACTGAGTATTCCCTCTACTAACTGAGTCAATATGCCAATCTGTCCTCCAACGAAAGCTTGAAGCGAAGGAGACGAGAGCTTTATGGACTGAGCAAGTGACGACATGTTTTTTGTTTAAATTTGGTTTATAAAACATGATTCATTGATGTATGAGACATGATTGGTTTATATATATGACATGATTGGTTTATTTGATGAATATTATCAATTAAATGTGATAGGGCTGTAAATGTGCCATGGCTTCATCACCCACGTTTTCAAAATAAGACGGCTTTCTCTCTTGTCCAGTTTGCACTACATTCAGAAAAAATAAAGGTTATTCACAACTGAAGAAGAAAGGTTACTCTCTCTTCTTCTCTACTATCTCACCTTCCTCTTCTCCTTTATTTTCAGATCATGTTTTAGTTATTTTTATAAACAATCACTTTTTGTATTTTTGTACAGATCATGCTATCTCTTCTTCTTTTCAATCTCACCATGTCTGATTCTGAAATTAATGATCCTGGGAAACGGTTCGTGAGCCCGATAGCAAAAATCAATTGGCGGTGTAGCTTTTGTCCTAAAGTAAAAGAGGGAGAAATTTTTCGTTTCAAGCAACATCTGGTTGGAGATTTTAGGAACACAACTAAATGTCCTAGAGCTCCACAACACGTAAGAGCTGAAGTCAAGAGTTTCATGATGAGAAAAACTGAACTAAAAGCTGTTAGTCAAATGAAGGTACCACTTCCTCAAGACAAGCATTGATGGTTACGATGGTGAGGAATATATGGATGGTGAACCAAGTCAAGTAAATCAGCCTAAGACACAAAGGTCCAATGGACAAGTTTGTTACTTCTGCTCCTCCAAATGTATTGCAAGGAAGAAAGGATCGTAAGGGAATATTTTGAGTTTGTGATAAGGAATTAAGAGATAGGGCTTTTGGAGCGATTGCTAGGTGGATCTATGATGCTGGTCTTTGTTGGAACAGAGACACTACGTTGTAACACCAAGACTGAGTAATGAGACCGTAAACTTGTTATGTTCTTATTCATGCGATGGCTTTATATAGCCTTGATTACACAACTAGTGCCTCCTACATTCTCGGAGGACTTTAACAACGTGAAACAAATCAACTAAGCCACTATCTTAACTAAGATCCTACAATTTATGAACCTCAATCTAAACAACGACTAAGTCTAAATGACTAAGTCCAAATAAACCTAACATATCCTTCCCTAAACTGATAATCTATTGAATATCAGTTTACTTTGGAACTCCCACGAGACCCAACATCTTCTCCAGAGTTTGGAGCAATCGTGTTTTCTGCTTCAGGTGTTGCAGCAACAGATTCAGGTGTTGGAACATCAGATTCAGGTGTTGGACCATCATCTGCACTTTTCCTTCCCCAATCCCAACTCGCAGCTTCTTCAAAGACCACATCTCTACTCACCATAATCTTTGGTAGATCTCTCGGTTCTATTGCCGCCGCTGGAGATTCTTCTTCCTCCATCGCCACCACCGAAGACCCTTCCACTTCCATCGCCACCGTAGGTGACGAACTGTCGATCGTCATCTCAACATGAGCCATTAAGACAAGTACCTCTTCTTCATCAAACTCAACGTAGTTTGCTTGCTTCTCCCAATCAGGACATTCATACTGAAAATGTCCAAATTTGTGACATTTGTAGCATTCCACCAACTCCTTGTTGACCGTTCCTCTGCCACCACGTCCTCTGACTGAACCTCCTCTTCCTCTTCCTCTTGTTGCATTCAGTTGACTGACTCCATATGTCACTTGCAGAACTTGCTCATCGTGCCTTGCTCCCTTAGCATGCCTTTGGATCTTCTGCTCATGAAGCAAAAGCGAGCTTTGGAGAGCATCCACCGTGAGGCTGTCTATGTCTTTAGACTCCTCGAGTGAGCACACGATGTAAGTGAATCTCTCAGAGAGAGTTCTCAAGATCTTCTCCACGATCTTAGTATCCTCCATATCTTCTCCAAGGTTCCGCATATCTGTTGCAGTTAGCAACACTCTTGAGAAGTACTCGGTGATGCTCTTTGTTTCCTTCATCTCCAAGATCTCAAACTCCCTCCTCAAGCGTTGAAGTTGTGCTCGCTTCACACGCTCGTTTCCCTGGTACTTGATCTTCAACGAATCCCACAGTTGTTTGGCTGTGTCTTTCTGAATTACCGTCTTCAGAATGGATTTGTCAATCGCCTGAAACAAGTAGTTCTTCACCTTCAGGTCTTTTAGCTTCTTCTCAGCTAACTCCTGCCTCTGCTGTCCAGTGAGGATATCTCCACGACCAGGCTCAACATAGCCTGTCTCTACCAGACTCCACCACTCCTTGGATCTCAGCAGATTTTCCATGAGCATGCTCCAATGCTCAAAGTCACCATCTAACTTCGGAATCACCATCATGTGTCCCTCTCCTGACATTTTCTCTCACTCTTTTCTTTGCCTTTGCTTTGTGATTTCTCTCACTCTTTTCTTTACCTTTGCTTTGTGAAATTCTCACCACTCAGTCGTAGGCTCTGATACCAATTGTTGGAACAGAGACACTACGTTGTAACACCAAGAACCAAGACTGAGTAATGAGACCATAAACTTGTTATGTTTTTATTCATGTGATGGCTTAATATAGCCTTAATTACACAACTAGTGCCTCCTACATTCTCGGAGGACTTTAACAACGTGAAACCAATCAACTAAGCCACTATCTTAACTAAGATCCTACAATTTAGGAACCTCAATCTAAACAACGACTAAGTCTAAATGACTAAGTCCAAATAAACCTAACAGTCTTCCATTTAACGCCATGACTTATGAAAGTTTTGCAGAGATGATCGAAGAAATTGGTCAATATGGTCCGGGCTGAAACCACCAAGCATGTATGAGCTTAGAGTTCATTTTCTAGAGAAAAAAATAGCTATAGCTCAAGTTCAATTTGAGGAGCATAAGAAAGAATGGGCGTCTAAAGGTTGTTCAATAATGTTTGATGGGTGGTGTGATTCAGTTAACTTTCTGGTGAACTCTCGAAGAGGCTCTGTTTTCATGAAATCCAATGACATCTCAGAAGTTGTCAAAGATGTGAATCTGTTATTCAGTATGCTTGATGAGATGGTTGACGAAGCATGAGAACAAAATGTTGTTCAAGTTGTAACAGACCACACATCTAACTATGTAAAAGCTGGTAAGATACAAATTTACATTTTTTTTTTATATAAATTGGATCTAGTTTTTGTTTTCTTGAATATGATTATTAGGGAAATTACTAGAGGCCACAAGACCAAATCTCTATTGGACTCCATGTGCTGCACATTGCATTGATCTGACGTTGGAGGATATTGGAAAACTCGCACAGGTGAGAGTGCATTGAAGAAATGCATTTTCATGAATGGCTACATTTTATGTTCACGTCCCTCTTGTGACTATGATGAGAAAGTTCACAGACAGCAGAAACCTGCATAGGCCAGCAGTTACCAGATTTGCTACATGTTTCATCACTCTTGCGCAATATCACAAGCAGCAAAGTAATTTGAGGAGAATGGTTACTTTTGATGAATGGGACAAATCGAAATGGCCAAAACAAGCAGGAGGAAAGAAACTCAAAACCTATATTCTGCATGAAAGCTTTTGAAAAAATGTTAAGTATGCCTTAACAACTGGACCTATAGCATACTTAACATTTTTCCAAAAGCTTTCCTGCAGAAAATAGGTTTTGAGTTTCTTTCCTCTTGCTTGCTTTGGCCATTTCGATTTGTCCTATTCATCAAAAGTAACCATTCTCCTCAAGTTACTCTGCTGCTTGTGATTTTGCGAAAGAGTGATGAAACATGTAGCAAATCTAGTAACCGTTGGCCTATGCAGGTTTCTTCTGTCTGTGAACTTTCTCAACATAGTCACAAGAGGGACATGAACATAAATGTAGCCATTCATGAAAATGCATTTCTTCAATGCATTCTTCACTTGCACGAGTTTTCCAATATCCTCCAACATCATATCAATGCAATGTGCAGGACATGGAGTCCAATAGAGATTTGTTCTTTTGGCCTCTAGTTATTTCCCTAATAATCATATTCAAGAAAACAAAAATTATATCCAATCTATATAAGAAAAATATATATTGAAATTTGTATCTTACCAGCTTTTACGTAGTTAAATGTGTTGTCTGTCACAACTTGAACAACATTTTGTTCTCTTGCTTCCTTAACCATCTCATCAAGTATGTTGAATAACAGATTCATATCTTTGACAACTTCTGAGACGTCATTGGATTTCATAATAACATAGCCTCTTTGAGAGTTCACCAGAAAGTTAACAAGCTACTTTGAACAACTGAATCACGCCATCCATCAGACATTATTGAACAACCTTTCGACGCCCATTCTTTCTTATGCTCCTCAGCTTGAACCTAAGCTATAGCTATTTCTTTCTCTAGAAAAGGAATTCTAAGCTCATACATGCTTGGTGGTTTCAGCCCCGGACCATATTGACCAATTTCTTCGATCATCTCTGCGAAACTTTCATAAGTCACGGGGTTAATGGAAGACCAACATCATAGAACCACCTAGCAATCACTCCACAAGCCCTATCTCTTAATTCCTAATCACAAACTCCAAATATTCCCTTACGATCCTTTCTTCCTTGCAGTATATCTAGAGGAGCAGAAGTAACAAACTTGTCCATTGGACCTTTGTGTCTTGGTTTCTTAGGCTTCTTTATTTGACTTGGTTCACCATCCATATCTTCCTCACCAGCGTGACATCGAAGTGGTGCCTTCATTTGACTAACAGCTTTTAGTTCAGCTTTTCTCATCATGAAACTCTTGACTTAGACTCTTACGTGTTGTGGGGCTTTGGGACATTTAGTTGTGTTTCTAAAACCTTCAACCATATGTTGCTTGGAACAAAAAATTCCTCCCTTTGTTACTTTAGGACAAAAGCCACACCACCAATAGTTTTTGTTATCTGTCGGGCTCACGTGTTCCGAACCGTTTCCCAGGATCATCAATTTTGGAATCAGACATGGTGAGATTGAAAAGAAGAAGAGATAGCGTGATCTGAACAAAAATACAGAGAGTGATTGTTTATAAAAATAATTAAAACGTGATCTGCAAATAAAGGAGAAGAGGAAGCATGAGATAGTAGAGAAGAAAAAAGAGTAACCGATCTTCTTCAGTTGTGAATAACCTTTCTTTTTCTGTATTTTGAAAACGTGAATGATGAAGTCATGAAGAAAGATCTTTAAATAAGTTGGGGTTTTTTAAGTGCTAAACCAATCACATTTGATTGGTAATACTCATCAAATAAACCAATCATGTCAGATATATATAAACAAATCATGTCTCATACATCAACGAATCATGTTTTATAAACCAAATTCAGCAAAAAACATGTCGTCACTTGCTCAGTCTATAAAGCTCTGGCCTCCTTCGCTTCACGCTTTCGTTGGAGGCGCAGAAAGCTCACAAAGGCGCACGCCTAATGGATGTCCATGAGTCTTGAGGCATTGAGGCGTTGGACCCCTCGACCACGTACGCCTTGTGCCTAGGCGCGCTTTTTTAAACTAGGTACAAACTCTATAGTTATATGTTGTGAATCGGAGATCCACGAGGCAAGCGCCCAAGCGCCTGGGGGCAAGGCGCAAGGCAGAGACAATGGTGCCTCACCTTGCCCAGCGCCATTTTAAACTAAGCTCATGGTCATCTCCGAGTTCTAGATCCACGTGGATCCAATCACATCACAGAGAAATGTATGTGAACCTATTGATTTTTTATCTTAAGTTATACCAATTGTTGTGACAAACAATATCTATATAGACTTTTTTTTGAACAACTGATGGTTTATATTAGATTTAGAACCCGGTTACAAACCAAAAAAGTCGAAAGCTCGATGCGAAGGAGTCCGAACAAGATGCGAAAAGTAAAGTACAAAGCATGCTAAAGATAGATAGAAGGTTAGATTCGTAGAAAATAACCGAGATCCCTTTAGAAAGGGTAAGTTCTTCTGTCGTCAAAGACAAATAAACGAAAATAGCTCGTGATGAGCGTTTGATGACTTTTTCCAAACATGAGAGGAGCGATGTAGATTCGGATACGGCGGTAAGTTGGAACTACTCCAGAATCCAAGTCAACATAATCCGTTGATAACCCGACAATTATGGACTGTTGTCTCTCTATGATGACAAGGGAAGGATCAACACAACATACGCCCAAAGATAGAACGTTGACAAGAGTTCGTATTATGTTGAAGTGATCTTCTGCTGATGCTAATGAATCTTTCCACATTGGGCTTCTTCTTCTTCTTTTGCAGGGAGCAGATGGGATTGATCTCTCCATGAAGGAGGAGGCAGATGGGATTGATCTCTCCGAGGAAGGCTGGAAGCAAAACACGATTAAAAAATAGAGTTGAAAGATGTCGTTTATTGCTGTAAAAGGCTGTTGAGTGGTTTAATGGACTAATCCACAAGGGAAAGCCCATTAATAGAGGTGTATGGCTCAGGTCCAGTTTGGATACTACACCGGAAAGCTGTTGTGGAGGTTGAAACCTCCGATGAGCAAACTTTGACGGAGATTCCATGCTGCGGAAGGTTGAAACAGAGTAGTATAGAGGCTTGCCGTGTGTGGTGGAGGCGCATATCATAGAGTTAAACACAGACACCACAGCGGAAGAGATTTTGTCGCCATCAAAGGTCGATGGAGGAGAAGAAACTATTCTTCGAGATGCTCCTGGAAAGCCGGAGATGTCCGAGCTACGTAGAGCAGTCGGAGGAGGATTGTCGCCGGAAACGTGAGATTTGAAACTATGGTAGGCGGCTACCTCGCACTTTGTGCCATGGGTCAAGAGCAAGGCTGTAGATCTGTAGGTTTTAGTGGAAGTTTCGGCGTCGCCGTAAAGATGTTCACGCTGAATGAGAAGGGCTCGGCGACCAAATGCTGGCTGATCTGGTAAGTTGAAGAAGAGAGGTGAGAGATCCGTCCTCCTCGAGAACTCCACAAATCCCGTCGATTCTGTCACCGGAGAAGGAGCACGACCAATAAGCAAAAAAAGGAAACAAAAAAGGCTAAGAAGCTTCACCGATGAAATGTCACCGTTGGGAGGAGAACCAAGGTCATCAAATGCCAAATCGGAATCCGGGAAAAAGGAAGCCACGTTCCAATTTAGGAGAGGAGCTCCGGTGAAGGAGGTCCATTCCGAAATCGGAGCAAAGCAAGGGTGGAAGAGGGAGGAGGCGGTCTTGGTAAGCGTGCATGGGAGGATATACAATTTCTATATAGACTTAGATATACAATTTGCTTCTTTTCTTGAAATAATCTACTTTTTTTTTGGTTTTTGGTTGCATGCAGTTATCGGCTGGCACGATGCATCATACTCAATTACTCAGGTTGCGGTCACCATAAAATAGTGTCATTGGCTAAGCCTCTGACCAAGAAGATACTTTGAGTGTAGAGAACTAGAGATCGAATTTGAAGTTTTTTCTGCGACCAATCACTCTCCCATCATAAGCATTTGCCCAAATGATTTTTCCCCCTGTTATTCTTTTTATCTACCACGAAATATATTCTCACTTTCGAATACACCATTTTGTTTAATTTCGTATAGTATAAATATATTTCATGAGGTGTAAATTTTCAAAACTACACTTTTTTTTAATTTTAATATATATGTTTGGGTTCACTAATCTTAAACTAGGGTTTAGATTTTGGGGTTTAGGATTATATACCAGGATTTAGTATTCTTTTACTCCATGAAAAAATTGTAGTTTTGAAAATAGACATCGTAGAGGTATATTTTAGAAAATGGCACCTAAAAATATGTAATTTTGAAATTTCCCCCTATATTAGGTAAACCAAAAAGAATAACAGTATAGATGCCAAAACTCTTTTTGGAATAAATATATGATAACGAGTCAATGAAAAAGTAGGTTCTTTTCGTTTCGTCCTTTAAAATGAAAAAAAAAGTTTTAGGAAAAAGACTTTAGTTTTTTTTTGGGTTAAAAACTGATCGCCTTTACGACAAAACCCAAACTAAGCTCAAGTGTCGCTATTGTTCTTTCCATATCTTATCAAATTAATTATTTTCTTATATAGTACATTTTCCTCTCATTTCTTGGTTGGACTAAATTTTATAAAAATAAATAAATTATCACATTAACCATATATTAAAAAATGTACATTTTTTTCCACAAGTTATAGTTTGAAATTTTAAAAACAGATCGATATCAATTACTAAAATGATGAAAATAATAAGTATATCATAAAAGTCCCACATTGGAAATGAAGATATGTAATAGTTCATAAGATTATAAAAAGAACCAAAATGATAAGAAACTATAATACATGAAAGTTTAGTTTAATAAGCATCCAAATTTATTGTATATTTGGTTTCATATGGTTTTTTTTAATAAAACTATATACCTACACCAAATAAAATTTATATTATTATAAATATTTTACTGTGAAAAAAGTTGAAAATATTTCTATCAAAATATTAAAATATTGAAATAGTTTAACTTGGTTAAAAAGTTAAAATATTTAAAATATTTTTTTTATCACAAATTTGAATATTATAAAATTTCAACTTATCTTATTAAATACATGAAACATATATATTTTTAAAGAATAATGTTTTATTCTTTCAGTTTTTTTTTTTTGAACTATCTTATTATATTGTAGTCATTTTAGTTTTATTTTTTCGTTTACCTATCATATTTAATCTGTGGTCAAAATTTTAAAAAAATTTTAAAAATGTTTAATATGCTTAATTTATATACTATAAACGGATAGAAAAACTAAAAAAATCCGTCACAAAAAAAATTAGAGATAATTAAATATAGTTTTGTAATAAAAATACAAATTATTTTTAATTAAATACATATGATGTTGTCAAAAATGTAATATTAAAAATATAGAAATTTAGAAATATCATCCCGTGCAGGGCGCATGTCAAACTCTAGTAGATGACTAAATATGATGTAGAAAATGTAGAATTGTTGCATATAGATGGAGAAAGAGAGACAATTTGGCATCTCTCAATAGTCGCTTTCCTAAAGAATTCGTCATTATACAACATTGCCAAAAAATGAGAGCAAGTTTGGTCTTTTAAGACCATATCATAGCAGACGAATGTTGAAAAGACAAAGGAGCAAGAACAGCAAAACATCAGCATCAAAACTTATTTTATTTGACATCCAGACGATTTGTTAATGGTTGGATAGTGTAGCTCGGATCATCTCCTATATCATGGAAGACTAGAAAGTAAGAAATAGGTTTTTCTTTACTCATCTACAGAAGCATCAAGCTAAACAACCTTGTCATGTTTATCAAAGATCGATCAAAGTTTTGTTTCATTCCACTTATGATTTCATAAATTTAACTAATAATGAAAATGAAAATTTATAATGGTCAGAGGCAAAAACGAAATTGAAAAAGAAACAATACAAATAGAAAACTAACAAAATAATTATTAAGTAACTAAATAATATTGACAAAGAAAATTTTATAATGGACTGATCTTCTAATATTAATTAGTTTAATTTTCCATGTTTGGTTAGGTAAAAAATATTAAAAATAAAGATTTCAGCATGGAATAATCAAAGTTTCATAAAATAATGAGTCGATTAGATTTAGATACATGTAAATCTTTCTATTTCATATCATGAATTCAAAATAAAAATGTAAAAGACTACATATCTTTATTTAGAGATTTGTTATCGGGTTTTTAATATTATTTTCTTATTTTTAAAATTTATCAAATTTTGTTTCATATTCTTCCGTGATTTAAAAAATAAAATAAAAAAAATAAATAAACCCGCGTATACGTGGGGCCTAATCTAGCTCTAGCTTCTTTCTTGCCAACAAGTTTAAGTTTCCCTTACTTTAAATCATATCAATATTTATTTAAAAATTATAAATCTATTCCAATTTCTTCTTGGCATTCTTATTGTTTTAGTTCTTTTTTTTTATGGGGAGATTGCTAAGATAAAATGAAGACTTAATATGTTCTTTTGATCGCGTAAAATGAAATACTGATATTATTACAAAACGTGGACAACAAGATGACATTTCCTAATTCCTTGTCCTAAACCCTATATAATACAAGTCTCATAGTTACGTAGACTAGAGCAAGCATCTTTTTTACCATTTCTTTCATTTTCTGGTCTTCTTTTCAATTAAAAAAACATCTAAATCATGAGTAATCCGGCTCCGGTGATGAACAAACACGTGATTGTTCAGATTCCCTCTTCTCAGTTTCCTGAAACATCAAATCCGGAATTCACCAGTCAAGAAAAGCAGCCAAATTTGTTTATACGTCTTGTGAATTTACTTTTCTTTCGTACAAAAAATCAAAGAAAAATAGATTACTTCGTGTGACTGAGGACGACAAAGACAAATAACTAACTAAAGCCTTTTTTGTGTAGTACGAAATAAACTTTCAACCGAATCAACTCCTAGTAAAAAAATATATTTGTTTTAACTTTCTTATTGTATGATGTTATTGGTTCCTATATGTATTTGTTAATCTAAATGAAAGAAGACATGGCTCGAGAGAGAAATTGGATATCCTTTATATAAATAAAGTTTTATTGACGATTGTATATATTGTGTGCTCTTCTCCTACCAATGATTTTAATGAATATTGCCTGGAGTTTAAATTTCTCCAACACCGAAACATGAGGTGAGAAAGAACCTCATGATCATGTATGAGTTGATATCAAAAGAAGCCATGAATGATCATCGAGCTTCTTTCTCATCTCATGTTTCGGTGGTTGAAAAATGTAAACTCTTAAACAAAGAGTGCAACAAGAGAATCTATGATTCTTCTTTTCTCAAACTCAAACTCCAAAAAAGTGAAAAAACCAATTCACTAAGACACAAAAAAACAAGAAGAAGTGAAGGAAATTGTTGTATGTGTTCGACGATGAAGAGAAGGAGAGTCAAGGCTTTGCTTATAAAGGCCAAGCTTTAAACGTAAACAATAAAGTGGAAGATTTCTCTTTAATGAAAAAATATTCTCTAATAATGATGCGAGCAAAAATGATGTTATAAAATCAAGCATGCATGTAAACTTTCTTTATCAAACCAATTTACGTTACTCTAACGTTACACTACGTAATGAATTAAGTTACTATACAAAATTGATATTTCTCTTATTTGTCAATACCTCCTTACAGTTTCACTATATTGTTGTTTCTTGTTTATGCCTCTAATAATTGTTTCATGATAATAGGGGGATGAATCTCAAGTTTTTAAATCCTACAATCATCCTCTCTAAATCTCTTTCACGTCTCAAGATTCTACGGTTTAAATGAAAACAGACACACCATTTAAACCTAATAACACACAAGCAACAACGCAATAATAACCTGAACAAGTCTTGCCAACTTTCAGTTCTTCTTAAACAGAGAGCAAACACAAAAACTCAAAAGGCTGTTTAAGGTGGGCATGAATGAAACATGAACGGAGCTTATAGTTAAATCTCATTACGCAAACAAGCTTCTTATTCGAACATTACCACTCATTCTTCTTCTTCTTCTTCTTCTTCTTCATCTTCTTCTTCTTCTTCTTCTTCTTCATCCTCATCTCCTTCTTCTTCATCATCTTCTTCTTCTTCTTCAAGATGATCATCCTCAGTCTCTTCCCCTTTTCCTTTTACAAGATAACACAAAGATGGTATCAGACAAATCAAATAAGAGACTGCAATCAACACAATATATCTCCTTTACAACGCTAACACAATATATTTACCTGATGCTTTAGCTGAGGGAGGCTCAATGACCGGAGGAAGCAACCTCGGAACTCCAGTAGCTTCAGGCCAAGCAGATACCTCAGGAACATCATTGAATTTGGCGGCGTAATTTTTGTGATACCGTTCAACAGAGTAACAGTCATCTACATATTGCAAAGGATTGATTTTTAGCTTATCGCAGACAGCTAGAGCGTGCACACATGGAGAGTTGCTCCTTTGAAACTCCCCACAAGTGCATGTTAAGTCATTCAACTGAACAATCTCGCAGCTCGAGTCATCCTCCGACCGATCCACAGAAAGCCCTCTCCTAAAAAGCACTGTCCTCTTCTTTTTCTTCGAGGTCGTTGTGACCTGAAACGCACCATCTCTCTCCAACGGCTTCACAACGCAAGTAACTGAGCCTGTTGTGAACTTTTCAAGCGTGACGAATTCTGTGTACACATGGCCTCGGTTAAGAGAGCAACGGCTTAGGCTAAAAGACTCTTGGAAATTGTCTCTCATCTCACCAAACTGAAGCATCACGCCACATGCCATTCCAACTTTCGGAAACCTCTCACAAACCGCAAAGAGAGCTATAGTGTTGATCGTCATGCTTCCGTATCTCCGACGACTAACGTCATGAGACAGAGCCCACTGCTGCGGAGGAAACTTATCCAACCATTCCCAAGCTTCTTGGTTCTTCTCTTTCATCTCCTTCATGTAAGAATCAAACTCTTCCTTCTTCCACGTGGATCCAGCCTTCTCGACAAGGTTTCTCAGTTTGTTGTCTTTAAAAACGCCATGGAACTGGGAGGACAAATGATCAAGACAGAACACGTGGTAAGCCCAAGGCTCTTGCCACTGAGACTCCGGTTCGTTAACAACAGCGACTATGTCCGGATGGGGACTGGTTCTCAAGCAAAGTCCTTTCCTTTGAGTAACCTTCTCTCTAATTTTACCAAGAAACCAACGCCAACTATCAACAGTCACTTCTTTAGTAACCGCAAACGCAAGCGGCAAGTATTCATTTTACAAACAGTCTAAGTGAAGTGAATATGAAAGATTCAGTGACCCAAACAGATTTACAGTATATCCACTAATACGGTAACGAATATTTGAATATTTCATTCTATCTTCGTAATTCGTCATATATGCAAATGAAATACGGTAATGTCTATTTATGAATTTTGAATCAAAAAAACAATTAATTCGATGAGATTCTTAAATATTTTAAAATATTATCGTTGTTGTTTTCCCCCTCTCTTTAGTTTTAAGGAAATAACTCAAATAAGGAAAAAAAAATTAGAGGAAACTCTTGGAATTGTTAACCAAAATCCTGAAAACAAAAAGGAAATAGGGTTACAAAAATCGTATATATAAATACCTAATTGTTGTCCCAAGTAGCCACCAACACAAACAAACCAATATTCATCTTTTATATTATAGATTGGCACTTCATACACGAACACTTCGTGATTCTCTACTTCTTTCCTTCTTCTTTTTCTCCGACAAGATCATGAGATCTCCGGTGGTAGATCAAGACATGATTCAAGAAATCATCTCTCGTCTTCCAGCTTCGGATGTTGGAAAGTCAAGGCTCCTGAACAAAGAAACCAACGAGAGAAGCTACGAGTCGTGGTTCCTCAACCTAAACCTCCATAGAACCAATTCTATCTCAGGATACTTCGCGCAATACTACGGAGAAGGATACAAATACAAGAACAGATTTATCCATGAGAGGAGAGGTTTCGAGAACAATAAAGTCTCGATCGATTTTCTACCACCAGGAAACGTCAAAATCGAAGCTTGCGACGCAAGTAACGGGATCATGCTGTGTGCTCTTGAAACAGGACCAAGTGCGCCGGAGTTTATAGTCTGCAAACCAACGACAAAGCAGTACCAGATCATACCGGATCCCATAATGCAGAATCTCGCCGTCTCGTTCGGTTTAGCGGTAATCCAATCAAACCCTTTCAGGTACAAAATACTTAGGCTTTCCCCTATGAAATACGTACGGAGATTAAACAACCGGAATCATAGAACCTTCGCTTGCGAAGTGTTCGATTCCGGTTCGTTTTCTTGGAAGAGAATTAAGAATTTGCGTATACCAAGAAACGACGGACTTGGTATTACAAAACCGGTGGAAGCTGCTGGTTTATTCCACTGGTTATCATGGGGGGACAAAGTGATCCGGTTCTGTCTCGAAACCGAGTCTTGGTCTTTCTTTCAAACCCCGAAGTTCGGTGTTTCTCCGAAACTGGTCAGGTACGAGGGGAAGCTAGGTGTTGTTCGTTCGTCGTTTAGGGATTCTGGTGAGAGATTTTACCGGTTGTGGGTTTTAGAGAGAAGTTGTGAAAAGTTGTGGGTGGAAGTGAAAGATGTTAAAAACATGGGGATAGGAGATAATGTTTTGTGGACTCCATGCAACGACGTCGTGACGTTCTCTGCATGTGATCGTCTTTTCTCCTACGACACAAACACTGAGAAGGTGGATATCTTTCACGTGAAGAAGGTTAATTACGTTTGTTTCCCGTTTTGTTCTGACTACGAGAAGGTTGATCTTAATAATCAGAATGTGAAACAAGAGGAAGAGGTGCCAAATGCAATTTAGTCAAAGCCAACGTAATTGGTTATCTCAAAATATATGTCATTTTGTAATCTGTTTGTTGTTTCAATTTACAAGTTTATCTCTAGTGAAAGAAAAAAAAACTTGAATTTCTATGATTTTTTTGTTGAAAGAATGTAAGACTAAGTTCTATCTATATAATTGTTCCACCATATTTTCGTTTTGATATAATGAAGTGAAGAGTGATGATTCAATTCAATGACCACAAACCGATTTTCATTTTCCACTAATGAATATTTTCATTGCATTTGGTTTCTATTATAGAATCTTGGTAATCTATAATATGCTGGTGAAATACGGTTTCTTTAACCCATATTTGTTTCATAATAAAAATGAATATTAAGTTTTTCTGAGTCCTACAATCATCAGTGAGAATAGAGATAACCTTTTTACGGAATCATTACAATGATAGAAGTCCCAAACCATTAAGAAGACAAGATCTTTGAATGGTTATTGATTGGATTGCTTTGGCCCATCAGGCTTCAATTACAAAGTGAGAAAATTAGACTAATGCGATTGAACCTAAAGACCAGTACGATGGAGAGATCACAGTGTATTTGGTCTCATATCGACATCTTCTCTGTCTACAGTTTATCATCCTCAATCGGTTTAGGGTCATTGAAGATTGAGAGAGACCCTAAGAATTGAATGATCATGAGCATAGATATCTTACTGCCTTTATTGGTAAATATCTTTATGTTTTTTTGTGCAAAAATATCTGTATGAAATTTTGCTCTTTCCGTCAAGAAGAATTAGGTTAAAAATCATGTTTGTGTTAGTGTAATTAGGTTAAACATATCTGTATGAAATTTTACTCTTTCCGTCAAGAAGAAGAATTAGGTTAATAATCATGTTTGTGCATTGGCTCTTTTGATATTGCACAACAGAAAACCTTTAAAGCGATATACGATTAGGATAAACATAATTTTAAAGCGATATATTCTGACAAACAAAATTTTATTTATTTCCTAAACAGATGTAAGAATTAGTTCTAATCATTATATGGTTCAAAGAGTCCAAGTGAAGTGAATATGAAAAGGTTCAATGACACAAACAGGTTTAATTTAGGGTATGTCCACTAATACGGTAACGAATTTTTCATTCTATCTTGGTAATTTGTCATATATGCAAATGAAATACGGTAATGACTATTTATGAATTTCGAATCACAAAAATAATTAATTCCATGAGATTCTTAGATATTTTTATATATTAAAAAGACAAATTGGCGGGGTTTCTTTCTCGTTAATTAGTGTTTTTTTCCCTCTCACTTTTGTTGCAAATAAGGAAGAAAAAAAAAAGAGCCTCTTGGAATTGTTACCAAATAGGGTTACAAAAAGTGTATATATAGACCTAATTATTGTCCCAAGTAGCCACCGAACAAACAAACCCATATTCGTCTTTCATTATACATTCTCTCATTAATCTCTTTCTCTAGACGATCATGGCTTCTTTTGAAATCAACGTAGACATGATACTTGAGATTCTTTCTCATTCTCATGTCTCCGTGGTTGAAAAATCTAGACTCTTGAACAAAGAGTTCAACAAGAGAACTTACAGCTCTTCTTTTCTCAAACAAAAACTCCAAAACACCAATTCTGTTTCCGGTTACTTCATTCAGTACAACAAGAGCTTAACTCCTCTATCCACTTTTATCAAAAATGACGGAATCATTCCTCACGGGTCTGAGATCTCTCTGGATTTTCTACCACCAGGAAGAATACACATCAAAGCTTGTGACGCAAGTCATGGGGTTTTATGTGTGTTAATGATCTTCCGGTTAGAGGAAGACATCCCAAGTACATGGTCTGCAAACCAACAACGAAACAGTACCAGATCATACCGAGGCCAAAAACCCGGCATTTCACAATCGCACGGTTTGGTGGTGATGAGAACTGATCCTCTCCGGTATAAAATCATATCAGGCTCTCGCCTTCCAACGAACAGGAGGTACAACTTGAATTTTACTCTCGTTTGTGATGTTTTCGATTCCGATTCGTTTGCATGGAAGCGACTATCAAAGAACGTGGAACTACCGGCAGAAGATATGCCAGGTGTAAGAATGTCTGAACCCGTTGCTGCTTACGAGTTCTTGCATTGGTTAACGGCCAACAACAACGTGTTACGGTTTTGTCTGAAAACCGACACTTGGTCGTTTCTCGCGGTTCCTGAGCATCTAGCGAGCGAGAAGTCTCTGAAACTGGCAAATACGAAGGGAAGCTTGGGTTTTTCAGATCAAGATCGAAGGAAGGAGTGGATTATCAGGAGATATGGGTTTTAGAGAGCAGTTTGAGGAGTTCTTGGGTGAAAGTGAAAGAGATTAAAAGTATGGGGCTCGAACCAGTGGGAATCTTGAGCAACGACGTCGTAACGCTGGTTGACAAGGAAAAGTTCTTGTACAATTGCAATATGAATAACGGCAAGTCACAAAAGTTACAAATTAGGTCTCCAAGATTTTCTCCTTATATGGTTGCGAACTCGAGTTATTTCCATCTCTGTTCTGATTTCAAGAGAGTTGAATTTGGCGGGAGATCCAACGGCTATCAACAAGACAAGTCACTTTAAGTATGAAAAAAAAATTTGATAGTCGTTTGTGATGTTATACATTTTATTAAATTGTTGTTGTTTTTCGCGTTAATTATCACATTTCTCTTGTATCAATATATGATGATTCAGTAAAGTAATCAAGTTTTTTACATTTCCAAATTCACCGAGAATAAAATTAACAAACCGGATTGATTCAATGCAATGTCTAACATGAACCGGTTTGATCCAAAGTCTGGTTTGGTTCGACCAAAATCTATCCAATTTCAAGTTCTTCTTACTAAAAAAAGGGAAACCCAAAACTCAAAGCTCAAGAGGCAGTTTGTTAAAGCCGGCATGAAGAATAATCCTAAGAAGCTTATGATAAATTCATATACAGAACAAACTGCTTGCTTTAAACATTACTACTCCCTCTACTTCTTCATCATCATCATCCTCTTCAGTATGTAATTTTACTCTTTCCGGCAAGAAGAATTAGGTTAAAAATCATGTTTGTGTAGTGTAAATAGGTTAAGGCATTGGCTCTTTTGATATTGTACAACGGAAAACCTTTAAAGCGATATACGATTAGGATTCTAACAAGCATAATTTTATTTATTTCCTAAACATATGCAAGAAGTTCTAATTAATATATGATTCAAACAGTACAAGTGAAGTGAATATGAAAGATTCAATGACACAATGACACAAACAGATTTATACATCCACTAATACGGTAACGAATATTTCATTCTATCTTGGTACGTAATTCGTCATATAAGCAAATGAAATACAGTAATGACTATTTAAGTATTTATAAATTTTGAATCACGAAAATAATTAATTCGATGAGACTCTTAAATATTTTAAAATATAAAAAAGGACAATTTGGCGGGGGTTCTTTCTCGTTAATTAGTGTTTTTTTCCCTCTCACTTTTGTTGCGTTAAGGAAATTTCGCAAATGAGGAAGAAAAAAGAGAGGAGTCTCTTGGAATGATTACCAAATTCGTGAAACAAACCGATTTACATTGTCCACTAATACGGTAACGAATATTTCATTCTATGATTATATCTAGTAATTAGATTTTTTTTTTAAGTTGAATCACAATTTTTTAAAAATTTAATTCAGTGAAATTCTTAAATATTTAAAATAAAAAGACAAATTGGCGGAAGTTTCTTCTCGTTGTTGTTTTCCCTCACTCGTTTGTTATAGTTTAAATTAAGGAAATATCTCAATTAATAAGGAAACTCTTGGAATTAGTCCCAAAATCGTTAAACAAAAAGGAAATAGGGTTACAAAAATCGTATATATAAGAGACCTAATTGTTGTCCCAAGTAGCCACCGAGCAAACAAACCAATATTTGTCTTTCGTTAATACATTCTCTCAATAATCTCTTTCTCTCGACGATCATGGCTTCTTTTGAAATCAACGCAGACATGATAACTGAGATTCTTTCTCATTCTCATGTTTCAGTGGTTGAGAAATCTAGACTCTTGAACAAAGAGTTCAACGAGAGAACTCATAGCTCTTCTTTTCTCAAACTCAAACTCCAAAACACCAATTCTGTCTCCGGTTACTTTCTGGAGTACAACAGACGCTTAAAAGCTCACTCCACTTTTATCAGAAACCAAAAAAACATTCCTCACAAATCCGAGATCTGTCTCGATTTTCTACCACGAGGGAGGAAGAGTAAACATCAAAGCTTGCGACGCAAGTCACGGGATTCTGTTGTGTGTCAATGATTTACCGTTCAGAGGAAGACACCGGAGTACATGATATGCAAACCCACAACAAAGCAGTACTTGGTCATACCAAAACCAAAAACCCGGTATTTCACAATCGCCAGCTGACCCTCTCCGGTATAAAATCATTAGGCTCTCACATTTGCCTTCCAAAGAGAAGAGTAGGTACAACTTCAATTTTACTCTCCTTTGCGAAGTTTTCGATTCGGATTCGTTTGCATGGAAGCGACTATCAAAGAACGTGGAGCTACCGGCAGAAGACATACCAGGTGTAAGAATGTCTGAACCGGTTGCTGCTTACGGGTTCTTGCATTGGTTAACGGCAAACAACAACGTGTTACGGTTTTGTCTGAAAACCGAAACCTGGTCGTTTCTCACGGTTCCTGAGAATCTAGCGAGCGATAGATCTCTGAAACTGACAAGATACGAAGGGAAGCTTGGCGTTTTCAGATCAAGATCGAAGGAAGGAGTGGATTATCAGGAGTTATGGGTTTTAGAGAGCAGTTTGGGGAGTTCTTGGGTGAAAGTGAAAAAGATTGAAAGTATGGGGCTCGAACCTATTGGGTTCTTGAGCAACGACGTCGTAACGCTGGCTGACGTGGATAAAAAGTTCTTGCACAATTACAATATGAACAACGGCAAGTCTCAGAAGTTACAAATTAGGTCTCCAGGATTCTCTCCTAATATGGATGCGAGCTTGAGTTATTTCCATCTCTGTTCTGACTTCAAGAGAGTTGAATTTGAAGTTGGTTTGGTCTTCTCCTTTTCCTTTTACATGGTGACAGAAGAAACAAGGGTATAAGGATTGATTGTTTGTCTTAATGAAGATGTATAGAAATTGACAACGACTAAACCTGGTTTCTCTTTTGATGCAGGTTTTGACTGCTCCTTTGTAGATTTCTCAGTCTTCTTCCTCTTATCAGATGCCTTTGGACTTGTATCACTCTTCTTCCGTGTTCCTAATCACCATTATGTTTATGAATGTTAGGAATATTAGTCATTTAACAACAAATGATATTACAATGCAACTTGGTTTCACTTCAGTTTCCATTCAGATTTTTGGCCTATTAATAAAGTGATGATTGATTTTAACATACAAAAGCAACAACAGAGTAATATTCCACACAAAATCCAAAGTAAAGAGGTACTGCATAATCACCAATCACAAAGAGTAAGCAATATTCCACACAAATCCAAAGTCTCGACCAAAATCCATCTAACTTTCACCTCAGCTTCTTGTTCTAGAGAGTAGTTTTTTGTTTGGACTTACCTGGTACGCTAGTCGAAGGGGGCGGTGGCGGTGTCATAATGACCGGAGGAAACAATGTCGGAATTCCAGAAGTTTCCGGCCAGGCTGATACTTCAGGAACAGGATTAAAAGTAGCGGCGTAAGTTTTGTAAAGCCGTCAGTAGAGTAATAGTCGTCCACATACTGCAAAGGGTTGATATTAAGCTGCTCGCAAACCGCTAGAGCGTGCAGACAAGGGAACTTGAAAGCTTGAAACTCCCCACAAGTGCAGGTTAAGTCATTCAACTGGACGATCCATCCATTTTTTCGTAAAGGTGTTGTGACCTGAAACGCATTATTGTCTAGCGGCATTACAACGTACGTAACGGAAGTTGTCCTGAACTCTTCAAGCGTGTCCATGACAGGTTTGGTGTACATATCTCCGCGTTTAAGCCTACCTAGGCTATCACAAAGAGATTTTTGAAAATCAATTCTCAGCTCATCAAGCTGAAGCAATGCAGCCCCTGTCACTGTCACTGGAAGAGCAAGACCAAGAGACTGAATGCTATCACAAACTGAAAACAGAAGCTCTATATTTGTAATCATGAATCCATATCTCCGACCACCGTCATGAGCAAGAGCCCACTGATGTGGAGGCATTTTGTCTAACCATTCCCAAGCTTCCGAGTTCTCCTTTTTAATAGTGTCCATGTGGGAATCAAATTCGTCCTCCTGAGCCATGGATCCAGCCTCGTCCACAAGGATCTTCAGTTTGTCGTCTTTAAAAATGTTATGGAACTGGGAGCACAGATGATCAAGACAGAACCTGTGATAAGCCCAGGGTTCTTGCCAACGAGACCCGGGTTCGTTAACAACAGCTACTATGTCCGGGTGAGGACTGGAGATGAGGCAAAGGCCTTCCCTTTGTGTTACCTTCTCTCTGATTCTACTGAGAAACCAACGCCAACTATCTATGAAATCAAGCTTGTCATGGAGACCGAATCATTGATTAAAGAGAAAGAAGAGTGTCAAGAGATGGACTCGATTTCACAAACTCATCTTAAGGCGGTTCCAGAAGAAGAATCATTTTCTCAAATTGAAGCGACTGAAACGGGATCATTGATTCAAGAGCGAGATGCTCTTGGTGCAACAAAGTCATTAGTGAAGGAAACGTTTCACTACAAAGAGTCCAGTCTAGAAGAGGAAGCAAATCAGATTGAGGCAATTTCACTTCTTTAGAATGGGAGAAAATAAACGTTTTCAAAGACTTGGCGATTCAAGTTCAAAGATAAAGCAGAGACAGCAGCTTTGCAAACTGTTTTTCATATGTCAATGGGATGCAAGACGCATATACTATGATTGACAAAGGGTTCGTTACAAGGCACATTTACACGAGAGGAAGTTTCTGTGGGAAATGACGGTTTGTAACAACAGAGAGAAAGCAGGGTTAAAGGAAAGGCCTGAAAGTGCGAACGCAGATGCTGCTGAGGTGTTTCAGTTTCTGCAAATCACAAAACCTGTAACTGTTACTTTGGGGTTAGCTCAGGTGAAGGATGTCCATACAGCGATTTGTAGTATTCAGAGGCCATTTCCCTGTGTTAGACTTAGACGTTGGACTATACAAATCGATACTCATTTGTGGCATCGATGGAAGACCAAGATTGGGATATTGCAGATTGTTTCAGAACTGGTGCTGCCGAAAGTGGATATTTTTCAGGTTACAAAGTGGATAGTTTTGCTTAATTCAAGCTTGAGGTCAAGCTTCATTTCAACCGAGGGAGTATACATGAGAATATCTACTTCTCTGTTAATAGTGGAGGTGCTGAATTGGTTGTTATCAACAGCAAGTAAGTTTGATATTTTTGAAAGAAAAGCTTGATTACACATCTACTGCAAAGTCTGATACAACAAGAGAAGAAATGGAAGACGCTTTACAAATCGATGATGTTCAAGTATAAAGGAAGGGTGATTGGATACAAAAGCTCTTCTGCAATCATAGGGACCAAGAGACAGAGCTCAAAACTGTCACTAGCTTTTAAGTGGGAAGAACTGTTAACTCTTGTCTATACAACATAACGTCAATAAAATAAAAATTGATCCAAAAGAAGGTATTAAGATTAGTAAAAGCCTCTCAATGTCATGAAAACAACATGAGTTTGTGTGGAAAGTCAATGCCATTATCATGGATAGTTGGTGAACATAAAATATTCTCATTAAGAAGTAAGTAAATTATATATTTTTTAAGGTCTATATTTGATTATGTAGATAAATAGTTATGAGCATATCTGATTTGCTGTGTTTATCAATTGCTACGAACAGTTTCACAAACCTAATTGAGATTGTAGATGTGGATATGGTTGCAAAAAAAAAAAAAAAAAGATGTGGATATGGAAAAAAATTGCTAGGAGACATGCAAACTGTTGTGGCTGTCATACCGTGCAGTATGCGTGCACTGATGACAAACTGATGTGTTTATATGAATTTTGTTTCATATTGCATATGAAGAAAAAAAAAAAAAAGAATGAGAGATGTTTTTATCAAGATGTCTTTGTCGGCAGCTTGTGCCCATACTCCAGAAAATAGAGTCAAGTATCATGATCTCTACTATGGGAAATCGAAGCAAACTTGGTTAATCATGATGAGATCTGAATCAATTGAAGTACAATCGTCATCTTCAATTAACTTTTCTCAAATAAATAATGGATTTTCTTCTCGGGTCACCATGCCTCCTCAGTCAGTCCTTGATTGGGATGGATTCTACATTTCTCAAACACATATCTACAAATAAATAATGGATTCCCAATCAATAGCAACGAAACAATTAAACAATTCAACCCCAACCGTCTTAAATTTTATAACCTGTGAAAGCTAGCTACTCATGATCCTTAATTTTTTTTATACAAAGCAGAGCGTAATGGGCTTATTTGTTTGATATTTCAGCCCAATGGGCTTATCTCGTTTTAAGATCCGCTTAAAATGAAGAAGAAAGGAGTTGTCAGAGTCAGCTCAGTTTCTTTCACAGCCTATTTTTCAAAAAATTGTTCGTCTTCTACTCTTCTTCGATTCATCACTTTTTTTTCTCCTTCTTCTTCATCTTCTTCAACAACCATTTTCCAGCAATAGGTTGCCCATGGCGCGTAATCGGGTAACAGTTTCTCGATTTCTTATACTTCCTTATTTTGTTCTCTTCGTGATTTTGTCTAGGTTTTTTTTCCCGAATCAATTCATCAAAATCTCACCTCCTTCAGCATCTGTTTGTTTCTATCAATGTTTCTTTTTTTGCTTAGTTTCGTTCATGTTTTTTCTCCACTCCTTCATGCTTTTTTTTCACTTTTCTCCTAGCTGTTAAAATTGATTTTGACTTCGTTTTATGCATTATCAATCAACATTGGGGTTTAAACATTTGCTAGAGTTATCGTTTACTGTTGATATCTCGTTTAGAATTCCCCAAGTGTTTTGGAGTGATTTATGGTTCGAATTTTTCTTCTCTGCAAAAAATTTCAGTTCATTTGGAAGTTTACTACTTTTCGAGTCTATTTCAGTCTTCCTTTGGAGATACTAATTTAATAACGAATAACGAACTTTTTTTTAATGTTGTGTGTTCTTCGAAAACAGGAGGGTTTGGTTTTGTTGCTCGATGTAGGCCCTGCGATGCATAGTATACTCGATGATGTTGAAAAGACTTGTTCATTGCTTCTGCAAAAGAAGGTCCAACATGTTTCTCATTTCTTCTCAAACTATTGCTCAATTCTTTCAAATCTATCAATCTAATGGAAATGTGAATTTTTGAGCTTTTACTTTCGAAATTTCATTATTGGTTTTGTGGTTTTGGTCTCTGGTTGCAGTTGATTTACAACAAGTTTGATGAAGTCGGAATTGTTGCCTTTGGAACTGAAGGTCTCTGCCTTGGATGTTACATTTTGATTACTAATTTAGGAATTTATCCTCTGCTGTATCAGCTATTTGTTAATCAAGTTTCATGTTGACCTCTGCAGCAACCGATAACGAGCTTGCTAGAGACATACAGGTGGATATGAGAACGTCACCGTTTTAAGAAACATCAGAGTCGTCGACGAAGTCGTGACTGAGAATGTGAAACGTCTCCCTCTAGGAACCGTAGCCGGCGACTGTAACCTCCTTAGCTAATTTCTTGCTGCTTTTGCCATTTTCTTTCGTTTATATATACATCTTTTGTGGTTTCTTTGACTGGCTTCAGTTCTTGATGCGTTAATCGTTGGCATGGACATGCTTATAAAGAAGTAGGGCGCTTTGCAAAAAGGGAAGAAGCCTTTGTGTCTCATCACCAACGCAGCGTGTCCTCTACCAAAGACCTATTCGAAGAAGGTATAAAGATGGAGAGCACTGTCATGAGGTCCAATGTAAGCGGTGGTGGTGATGTTCATGAGAAGATACTAGATAGTAGAGGAGAATGATCATTTGCTGAATTTGTTCTCCAGCAACGCCTTTGCGAAGACAGTGTACGTTGAGAGTCCTCTCTCTCTGCTTGGCTCCTTGAAGACGAGGAGAGTTGCTCCGGTTACTATCTTCAGAGGTTAACACAACAATGAAGCTTAAGGTATCATTTGTGTAATTTTTATCTTTTGCTTGGTGTTGTTCAGGAAAGTTTCTGAGAGATAGTAGTTTTGGGTTTATAAGAAAGTGGCTGAGGAGAGACTTCCCACGCTGAAAATGTATTCTGACAAGGCGCAGAGTCTGCCAAACACGAAGTGAAAATCGACTAGGATTACAAAGTTACCGCAGAGTCTAGTGAGGTTCAAGGGGTTTCGCTATGGACCTCATGTTATCCCTATATCACCAGATGAGATGGAGACACTCTAGTTCAAAACTAAGAAAGGCATGAAGCTTCTCGGATTCACTGAGGCGTCAAACATACTGCGGTAAGCTCAAGATAAAGGTGTGTATATGTATATGTATATGTTTATGGTTTTGTTGTAGCCTGAGAGAATCTTGTTGAATACCTAGAGTTGAAATCAAGATCCGCGGATGCTGCTTTACCTCCAGTAGATGAAGTTTTCAAGAAGATTATGGAGCAAGATCAAGAACTCACTTGCAACAATAAATCCATAATGGACGCGGTTCGTGGAAGCTTTGAAGTGAAGGAGAATCCAAAGGTTTGTTCCTCATGAATCTATCAACAGCTTTTATCATCGTTATTGATTCTTGATTACTTTCACTTGACTTTGATCGCAGTTGAAAAAGAGTTGTAAGAGATATTTACGAGATAAGCCGTCAGTTTCAGATGATGAGGACAACCGTATGATTACTTATAATGCCGATGAGAACAAAGTTGACACAGTTGGAGAAGCAAATCCGATTCAAGATTTTGAAGCCATGATATCTCGTAGAGATCACAGTGACTGGATCGATAAAGCAATCAGTCAGATGAAAGACCGAATAGTGAAAGCTAGTAGAAGATAGTAGTACCGATGAAGGTGATAAAGCGTTGGAATGTTTGCTCGCTCTGCGTAAAGGCTGTGTCTTGGAACAGGTAAGTCTCATCTCCTTTCTCTCTAACTTGAACTTGTGCATTTGCTCTCTAAAGCAAGACCTGGTTTTAAACTCTGTTGTCATGGATTTGTTCTTGCGTATGTGTGTTCAGGAGCCAAAGCAATTCAATGAGTTCTTGAATCATCTATACGAGCTATGCCAAGAAAGAAACTTATCCCATTTTCTGAGACATTTCACGTTGAAGAAAATCACTCTGATTCCCAAATCTGAAGCAGCAGACAGGTTTACAGACAGCATATTTTCATTTGTGTATCTGTGATTTAATGAGTAAATTGTTGTAAATGTTGTTGGTTGGTCGTTTGCTTATACGTGACAGTGATGTTGCGGACGAGGACGCTGGAGATTTTGCCGTCAAACAAGAGCCAAAGCTCGAGAGCTAAACAACTTCTCCATCTCTACTACAATCTCTCTAACGACGCCGGCTTTTGTTTCACCTGTTTAACAACTCAGACAAAGTTGTTATCACCATCCATAACTAGTTTTAGAGACGACCCTTTTGTAATTATTCGAACGAAAGGTGCTTAGTTGGTCAAAATAGTATTATCTTTTTTCTTAATTTCTTACAAATTAAAAGTTGAAACCAAGCTGATATGCAAAATTGTGGAATCTCCTTCTTTGATCCGTTTGGTCAAGGGCCGTTAAATGTACTACATTAATGTCCTTCTTTGATCCGTTCGGTCAAGGGTAATTAAATTCCTGATTAAACTCCAAATACGTTTCTTCAAGGTAATTGATACGTACGTTAGCTTCATCTCTTTCTTCCCATATAAATACTCATCGTTTGTACTAATGTTCATCACTCAAAAACAAACTCGATAAAGACATACTTCTAGAGATTTTTTTCTTTCTTTTTTAATCTTCTTGTGCAATATTTAATCATGTTTATTAGAAATGTGTCTTTTGTTATGGCAGTTCTATGCATTATCATTTCCGTGAATGCTCAACTACCACAGTTTCCGGATCCATTTCCATTCCAACCAATTCCTGGTGTGCCCGACTTAACCAAATGCTGGTCAACAGTACTGATGAATATCCCAGGGTGCATTGCGGAGATCTCTCAATCCATACTCACTGGAAAGTTTGGTAACATTGGTCCTGCTTGTTGCAAGGCATTTTTGGAAGCGGAAGCATTTTTGGAAGCGGAAGCCAATTGCCTGCCAAAAGTTCCACTCAGTTCGTTTCCTCCTATGTTGAAGGAACAATGTTCAAGAATTGCTGCAACCCCCCCTACCCCAAAATAGAGTTTTACTTTTAATATACTGTATGTAGTTTTTCTTCTGTTGTTCAAAAAAAAAAATGCTATTTCTCTTCTATCTATGTTATAAGAAAAGAAGATGATACAATAAAGGTGGCATTTCAAAAGCCATATTTTTCTCAGTCGTCTTTCTAAGGTAAATCATGCCATTAAACAAATTAAAACTAATCTAAACTGTAAAACTAAAACTAAAATATACTATCTGATATAAAATAACCGCATCGGATTTGATGTTTAGAGTCCTTGCAATGAGTTGAATGTTAAGATGTAAATAATACTGTACAAGAAGTTAAAGTTAATGTAACAAAGTGATGAAGACACTCGTATGGGTTCGTTTATGCCAATGACAACAATATTGACACAGTCGGAGGTGCAAACCCAATTCAAGATTTTTGAAGTCATGGTTATATATTTATGGTCCAATTTGTTAGATTCCAAGAGAACGTGAACTATGAACATTAGAGAAGTTGGCAGTGTATGGTAGGTAATATTAGCCAAAAAATTAGGGGTTAGATTTCTTTAGCACACTAATTATACCTCTTTAATTTATAAGTTAGAACGAAGTTGTTTTGGTATATTTTGTGTGTTAAAAAAAAACGAACCCAAAACTTAGCGTTCGACCCTAAACATAATTAGTTTGGATTCCCAATCAAGAAATGTATAAATGATTAAATATGATGTAGAATTGTTGTAGATATATGGAGAAAGAGAGACAATTTGGCATCTCTCAAGAGTGGCTTTCCTAAAGAATTCGTCATTATCCAACATTGCCGAAAACCGAGATACAAGTTTGGTCTTTTATCAAGACCATATTAAAGCAGACGTTGAAAAGGAGCAAGAACACAAAAAAAAAACCTCAGCATCAAAACTTGTTTTATTTGTCAGCTAATTTGAATAAATCATTGGTATAAAGCAGACTGTTTTCTTTTATGATGATTGATGATGATGACGATACATGTATGATGTATCTACAAGAATGTGGAAGAAAAAGAATCAGAAACTCCTTGCTCTTGTAAAAAAAGAATCATTACCGTAATGTTACTTTGGGTGAGTCTTGGAGGTTCATTAAGATGATGATGATGATGATGATGATGATGATTCAACTGGACTTTTTTCAGCTGGTTTAGCCTTAGAACCAGGCTGCTGTTTTAACTGGAAAAGACCGGTTAGGCCGCGAGCCTTAGCAAGTTGTTCAAGCTCCTCTAGTTTGCTCTTGAGATCAGCCATTTCCTTTTCCAGTTCTTCATCTTTTATTCTCAACTCCTGTAAATGCCAAGAGATTCACAAAATTCAACCCCACTCAAAAAAAACAAAAAACAAACCTCAAACATTGTTATTCTATAGCATTTAGAAATCTTGGGCATACACAAGTGTGCCCCGGTTTCTGAACGAGTGCAAATCCTATCTTGTTTAGCTATTTACAAGAATGCTCATATAAAACCAATTCTGCTAGCAGCAAATTTTAGCAAGACTCAGAGTTGGAAATCTGAAAAGCACAAGCACCATTTCCTTAAATCACTTATCTATGCAAGTTGTATATTGAGAATTCTTCCTGAGCATGTCTATATATGCTAATGTGATATGCACATATATGGCTCCCACTCTCATTTCGAAGGACTAACTAAAACAGTATATAACAAAGATAAATCCTGAAGAGGACAAAAAGAAACAAAACTACTCTTCCAGAAAGTGTTGCTGTGTACCTCTAATTCTTGCTTTCGCGCTTCCTCTTTTCTTGCTTCTGACCGCGAACCTCTTTGCACCTCAAATACAACAACACCTCCACCAACCTGCTCATATATCATCTATTAGCTCTACAGAAAAACTGAGAGTTGCATAGAAGAATGACCTTTTAAGACCAGCTAGCTATTTTCTTAATTTATCCCACCTAAACCTAAGTGAGACCCACCAAATTGGTTCGGACATGGAAGAAACTAAACAAACACTTAGTTAACTTATTAGCAAGACCAAGAAAATAGACAACCAACACTAGGGTGACAACAAAATAACAGAGGACAACTGAGTAGGAGGATTAAACCATTTATCAGTCATCAACCATTGAGTAAAAACAGCTAGTTACATTTTTCTCCATCCCTATACAAGGTAAAAAAAGATCCAGTTTCTCAAGGCGACAATTATCCAAAAAACCATTAGCAATGTGTGAAATGCAACTAAGCATTGATAAGCTAGAATGGGTCATTCCCAATATGAAAAGAGGAATAAGAAATGAGAGTACCGCAAAGATGAAGAGCTCTCCAATGAGGTCAACAGCAGCTTGAACAGCCTTTTCCTCATCCAAGGGGCGAATCTCTACATCAGTCGCGTGTCCATATATCCTTCTTTGCATTTGCGTCGTGATCCTGTGGTTTCTCTGTTCACATTCATTTCCCCAACAACACATCAAATTTCCATATCACAGACTTGCAATAAAAATCCTAGATTCCGGAGTTCCATTAACGACGGAACAAATTTCCAAGGAACGCAACGATTCTAAAAGCTAAGCAAGAATCTGGAAGAAGACGAAAGAGAGAAGAGATTCGAATCACCTGAGCGAAGTTGATGATAAATTGTCGAAACTTGGGATGAACCTTAGCTTGGTGCTTGAGCTGACTAGCTAAGGGTTTACTTATCGTTTTGACTAAGAGGGTGCCCAGTTTCATCAATGGTAACACCATTTTTCCTCCAAAACCTCAACAACAGCAAAATTAAACTAGAAGAATCGCAGAGAGAATGCAGGGGGTTCTGGAACTAATCTGGGTGAGCAAAGAATCATGAGATGACATAAATCGCCATTGATAATTCTTTAAAATTTTGGTAGCAAAGAGTGATCGAGGATTTTCGAATTTTTATAGATCGGATTGATTTTGATGTGGAAGAGACGAAAGCAAGAGAAGAGAGAGAGAGAGAGGCCGAGTCGTTTCAACTCTCAAGGTCGTCTTTTAACAACCTTATTGTATTTGTCAAATGGACCCCGCATCTTTCCTTTTCTTCTTTCGCAAGTTCGGGTTATTTTATTTATACTATATTACCCCTTTGCTGACGGAAAGTCGAAACAATGTTTTCTCTGTGTCTTTAAATTTTAAAATATTGGTTTAGTTAAAGGGTTTTGTGCAAAACAACCCTCAAACTAAATTCATTTTGCAAATCAAACCCTCAATTTAAAGTTGTGCAAATCAAACCTCTGAAGTCAAAATAACCCCGCAATATAAGACATCTCTATATTTGTGACAAATTTAAAATGATTTTATGCAAAACAACCCGCAAACTATTTTTTATGTGCAAATCTAACCCTCAACTTAAAAATATGCAAGTCAAACCTGCAAAATCGAAAGTCACTGCTAAAATGGACTTATATGTATTTGTCCTTAACTACAAACGTTGACTCAAAACGTCATGACATTAATAATATTTTAACCATTTTTATTAAAAGTAAATTAAAAAAAAACAAAAACAAAAAACTTTAATCTTTAATTTCCTTTCTCTTTCTCCTCTTATTAATAAATTTATCTCGAGTAATCTTATCGCGAATAAGTTGATTCTTTTCTTCATGATCTCATTAACTAATGACGACGAAGAGACAAAGATAAGAACTAATTTACTTGCAATAGAATTATTCGAGAGAGGCTCATAAAGACATAGGACTTCAGATCTTCCAAGTAACTATATTGTGAGTAAGTTGGTTCGGTTTTGATTTTCTGGATTGGCTACGGTTTAGTTTTTTTGGATTTGGTTAAAAATCCTAACCCTCTCCTTATTGATGGAGAAAAAAGAGAAGAAATATTGAATTATTGTTTTAAGTATTTTTAATAAAAATTGTTAAAATATTATAAAGTCAACGTTTGTAGTTATGGACAAATACATATAAGTTCATTTTAGCAGTGACTTTCGACTTTGCAGGTTTGACTTGCATATTTTTTAAGTTGAAGGTTAGATTTGCACACAAAAAATAGTTCGCGAGTTGTTTTGCATAAAATCATTTTAAATTTTGTCACAAATATAGAGATGTCTTATATTGCGGGGTTATTTTGACTTCAGAGGTTTGATTTGCACAACTTTAAATTGAGGGTTTGATTTGCAAAATGAATTTAGTTTGAGGGTTGTTTTGCACAAAACCCTTAGTTAAACTTGGATTGAGTTGGAAACCATATAAACAAGACGTCTCTAACACATTCTAGATGGTAGCTTTGAATATTTTCACATATTCTTTTCCAACAATCCTGATTCTTGGCACTTTTTGTTGACAATAAACTGTAACTAACCATAGCTTCGTGAGATAATTCTAGGATTTCTCTTTCTTTCCGAAGATTACTATGTCAAGTTGGTTGCCTTCTAAATCGCTTAGGATCGAATCAAATTTGTAATCAGGCCAGGAACTACAAGTTACAGCAACAAATATTAAAATAAAACGGTTTTGTTAGTATAAAATTGATGTTTACGCTGGATTCTGGTATATTATGTGGTTTAAGATGTTAATTTCATATAGTTTGCAGTTAAAAAAAAAAGCTCAGAGTAACAGAATTCAAGAATTTGGAGGTTGGATCGATCGGATAAGAAAAGAAAAATCAGATAACTTCTATGTAATATGTTCCTTTCTGTTTCACCACAAACATAACAAAGTAACATCAAAATATCATCATTCATCTCTAAGATTCAGCAGCAACGGTTTCAGTTTTAGGTCAAGAAGACGAGAACAAATAGAATGATGAACAAGACGAGCAAGAAACATATCATCATCATCTGCCCTTTCGCTCCAGCTTTCTTCATCACCATCCCCACTTTTTTCTGTCACAAAAACCCATTTTTTTCATTCTCAATTTCCATTTTCTTAGCACGCTTAACTTCAAAATAGACGAACAAGAAGACCTTTAGGAGGTTTTACCTGAACAAAGTCCAGCCGGTTCTTCGTACTGTCCATCTCTGTACCCAATTCATCTAAGATTCTCTCCTGAAACACCAAAATCAAAAAAATGAATCTACTGATACTAGTTATTGACTTATTGTTAGAGATCTTCTCCATATTACAAACCTGTGCAACGAGCTCATCGTGTATAGTAAGCCCCACTCCTCCGATTCTCTGTACACTTTTACTCAGCTCATCCAACTCATCGTCTTGTTGCCTGAATTGGCCAAAAAATTCATGTCAAGTCACAACACTACTCTCTTTGAACAAAGCTATGCCACAATCTTTATATAGCAAAGAAGAGATTCCAGAATTATACTTTATCAACAGCATCTGCCTATCTGATTCTGACTGTACAAAACCGTCATCGTCTCTTCCTCCATACTGATCGTATCTGTTTGCTTCACCCGAGTTTGGCATTCTCATCAGCTCTCGGCGTACTTCACTTGCATTACCAGCTCCTGTATTGCCCTTCCCAGCTAAAACACCAGTCTTCACATTCCGCAGCTATAATAATAAAAGAAAAGCATTGCACACAAGTCAAACTAACAGCAAAAACTCATGCCGCTCCTCTCTAAAGACTGTAAAGCAGATTTTCATTTTACCTGTGTCCGAGCATTACTAGTCCATCTCCTCCGTCTTTCAAGCTCAGCTTCATCAATGCCAAACGATGCAGGATCTTTCGCTGCAACGGTAATCGCTTTCTCCAGCTCTTTTACCTTCCTATCAGAAAAAAACAGCTTCAATAACCATGAAAAGGACTCTCCTATACATTCTAACATAGTGTTACTAAATACGAGTACCTGCCACTTGATGCTTTTACAATTAGCAAGAAGCTCCTTGGTCACATGAACTTGATCCCCCATGCCTGGAGAGATACGCTCCCATTTGTGGAATGTAGATAGCAACTTATCAATCTAACAAAGCATCATCATCAATCACCCAAAGAAAAAACCAAACGTTAATACAGTCTTCTTAAGATCTACCAAAAACAATCTCTGGCCAAATTCAGAACAACTTACAGAGTCCTGCGTCTCTTCTTTAACAATGTAGAACGGATCTTGCGCTGAAGACATCCTGGAAATCGACAAACTTTGTGCAACCCTGTACACCAACAACACACAGCTCATTAAGCAGATACAATCAAGCTCCTATTCACAAAGATGACAAAAATTTGAATGTCGAATCATAAGCAGGGACGATTCTGGAGGTGGCGCAAATTCTACGATTGCACAATTAGGTTTTCTTAACTCGCAATGATCAACACGGCGGAGTAATTAGATCCAAACAGTTTCCGATTAAAATCCTGGCTAAATCTATGTTAAAGTTTTCTACAATTGAAGGGGAACAGATTATCAATCTCTGTTACTTTGAGATCGATACAGACCTTAGGAAAATACAGGAAATTAGCGTTTAGAAACGATGACGACAGAGAAAAATGCAAAAGCACAAATTGATGTTAGAGGGAGTCGAAGAAGCTTTTTTAGTTTTTTTTTACCTGGGATGGATGTAATCGAAAAGGCGAGGCGGTGCAGATCGAGGAAGAAGAACAAACGGCGGTGGGGTGAAAGAATTCCGGCGTGAGATTCGTCTCTCTTACATAGCAAAACGCATCACCTGCGGTTGGCTTAGAGACTCGCTCGGTGGAGGAGGTTCGCAGGAAGCTCGACTTTGGGCTTATTGGAGAAGCGTACAAAGCCCATTAACAGATCGTAGAGGCTTTTTTTAGTTTTCTCACTGAACACTAAAATATGAAGAAAGAAAAAATCACGTTTTGTGTCGCACAAGAACGTATTAGGTTGTTTGTCAATTGTCATGTGAACTTGTCGCGTGCATGAGACATTTGTGAAATAAAATTTCCATAAGACAAGCCTTGTGATTGTGAATTTGGAAATATTTTTTCTTTGATTACAACAATGCATTACCAATCAAGTAGATTTAAGAATATTTCACGGTGAAATGCAAGCTTGTTGTCAGTTGTCACATTTAGGTTCAAGCAAAAAAGATAAAATTTTGTTTCAGTGTTAAACAAGTTTAGTATCCCTATCTTGTCACATTTAGGTTCACTGCAAAATGCTTCACGAAATACCGATTGACTATGCTTCACACAATTTGAAAAATCAATTACCTTGTCATTTTTCATAATGAATATTTACAATTTAGCAACAACAAAGAAAGAGAAGTGTTGGAGGGTGAAGGTTAGTGTTAGTTACCAAATTTTAAGCAAGTGCATGTGCATTTCTTTGATTGACTACGAACAATTTTGTTTGCCATACTGTTTAGTTTCCAAACTCTTTTAAAATGATTGATTATCGTTTTACTAAAAGTTATATCGTCGAAAAGATTGTATAGCGGACATGAATATTTTGAACCCCCACACTCTTTTCTATAACGTTTTAGGAAGATGATGGATGTTAAACTTCCAGTGGGACTTGGTGGAACGGTATCATTGGAAAGGCTTTGGACCTGAAGAACTTAAAAGGTTAAATGGTGACGTGACTTAAGAAAGAAATGCGACCGAATAAAATTATAAAGGAAGAAATAGGTGATGATGATTTAAAGAAGAAATGACATAATAAATTAATAATGATAAGTTGGTGACTTGGTGCTGACGTATTATGTATACCGACTTTTCCACCGGCCATGAGAGGACGGTGGTTCTTTGTAGGGATCTTTACCTTTTCTTCTTGTGCATATATATATTAACTATTAAGGTTTCATTTTCAAAAAATATATTTACCGAAGTTACAAATAACTCTGGAAAACATTGTATCATTAAGCCAAATTTGCCATTTCTACTATATAATACTATTAATCGCCCAAAGGGATGCATTTACATAAGTGATGATATGCTCGAATGGAATAGTCCGGTGATTCCGCTTTGTTGGTCGGTATCCAAATAAGCAATCCACTATGTGGTCACATGCAAAATCAGTAATTTTTAAGTACTATAGGCGTCTATATCATAGACTAAAAATTGTCATATTATATGATACAACTGACAACACGTAGAAGAAAACAATATTGAAAACGTGCTGATTTTTTACTAGAATAAAATAAAAATAATCAAAAAGTCAGCGTGAATCATGTGATACGATAAAAAGACACGGTCGTGTATATGACCAAGTCCACTCCTCCTATCCGGTGACGTAAATCAGCATCAGCCACCGTCTTCTGTGAGACTGTGACGTACATCCTCACGTAACCATCGTTGACGCTAGACTTTCTTCTTCCTTCATATATATACATATGACAAACCTTCTCCTTCATAATTAGCATCTTTAAAACACATTTGAAAATGCAAGGAACAGTTTCTTGTGTAAGAACTTACAGTATGATCCCAGCCACGGGATCTCTACCGCTTAAAACGAAGGAAAACGGTGAGAGCGTTCGGACGGTGGTGGAGGAGAACGCGGTGATCGTGATTGGACGGAGAGGATGTTGCATGTGCCTCGTTGTGAAGAGGCTGCTTCATGGACTTGGAGTAAATCCGGCGGTTCTCGAGATCGATGAGGAGAGGGAAGAGGAAGTTATGAGTGAGCTAGAGAAAATTGACATTGAAGGCGGTAGAAAAACGGTGGAATTACCCGCCGTTTACGTAGGAGGGAGATTGTTTGGAGGGTTAGATAGGGTTATGGGCACTCATATCTCCGGTGAGTTGGTTCCAATTCTTAAGGAGGTTGGAGCTTTGTGGTTGTGATTACTTAAGAAATATTTTTTGTTCTTAAATATAGTAAATCTTTATTTGGATCAATGCTTGTTTATGTTTTATGATGAGAAAGTTATTAGAATGTGTATTCATTAAATTGTAAAAAAAAAAATAGTTTTAAATCTAATAAAGACCACTATAATTTTTCTCCGTCGCGACTTGGTGTTCATGGATCTCCAACAAATCAAGTTTTGTTACAGATTGGCAATGGAGATGCTGATCTCAGTCTGCCCGGTCTTAGAGACCTTAATTATGGACATAATGTATTGAGTAAAAATCATCTCAGTCTTCTTTGAGTTTCTCTCTTACCAAATTATAATGCAAACCTACATCTCCTAGTTTAATGGAGGGCAAGGCCCGTTAATAGTTAATACTGTAGATAAGGCTTTTTTGGGCTTAAGATAATGACCTTTCTAACACTATAGAAAATAAAATGTTGGCAATAGAAAAAAAAAAAAAAAACAAAAAAAAACAAACAAAACAAACAAAAGAAGAATAAAACATCTGTTTCACTATATAATCATGTTACTAATATCAAAAGCTTATAAATAAAAAATATTAAAATTATTAATACAGATCCCCGGGTAAAAGTTCAGCTAAGTTATAAAATGTATAGAAAAATTCAGCTAAATTATAAAATCCAACTAAATACATCATCAAATGTATATAAAATGCGGCTACTTGTTGGGCGACAGTAAGAGTGGTACAAACACTCTTAAACATAGTCGTACAAGCACTCTTAAACATTGGAGTTTGTATGCAACAAGAAAGAGATGTCTATACGACATAACGTCAATAAACTAAAATTTGATCCAAAAGAAGGCATTAACAAGAGTAAAAAGGCTCTCAATTTTATGAGAACAACATGAGTTTGTGTGGAAAGTCAATGCCGTTATCATGGATAATTGGTGAATAGAAAATATTCTCATCAAGAAGTAAGTAAATTATATATTTTTTAAGGTATATATTTGGTTATGTAGATAAGTAGTTCTGATCACATCTAATTTGATGTGTTTATCAATTGCTACGGATAGTTTCACAAATCTGATTGAAATGTTGTTGATATATATGGAACAAATTGCTAGGAGACAGACAAACTGTTGTGGCTGTGATAACGTGCAGTATGTGTGCACTGAAAAAGTTTATCATGAACATGATTTATCACAAACTGTTTTATTCTTCCTATCTTAAAAAACTTAAAAGACCACGATCACGACCACAATACTCTACTACAAATCAATAAAAACAACTTAAAATACTTAGAAGACCACGAACACCAACACCAACACCAATTTCTTCGTGCCAATCTCCTTTGGATCTTCTCTTCACCGTTTTTCTCCCACTCAATCACCACACGAAGGATGGGACGATCCCCATGATGTGTCTCCTCAACAGATGGCTTTTTCCCATTCTTCTTCACGGTTCTCTGGGATCGGAAAGCCATGTGTTTTCCGATTTCCTCACCACTCCAATTTTGCGTTTGAGGTAGCTGAACATGGCTGCTGCTTTGCCATTCACTGAGCTGATTGTGGAGCTTCAAGTCCCAACAGTGATGGCATGATCTCCGTGATGAGTTTTAAATCATCTTTGTCCGTCTCTTGTTTATTATTTTATTCTTATTTTCTGAGAAAGTGTAATTTCTCTTGGATCTACTCTTCACTTATAACATATCATATTGATAAGGGCAAGGAAAATAATCGTAGATTAAATTATTGAACACACACACACACACTATAAGAGTAAGAGTTATAAGAGTGGTTTTGTTTAGCTTTTACCATAAAATTAGGAACCGAGCCATTGAGTCACATGTTGCTGTCATTGGTCATCTTAATCCATGAGTACCAGTCTCCTACTCTAATTATTATCTACATCTTTGAGATTCCCTGAAATTTCCCGTGTCTCCAGTTACAGAGGGCTTAATAAATATCTTGCCACCGGCACTTTTAAGCGGTCGATCCTTTTTTTTAACGTACTCCCAACGTGGAAGCTTTGCAGTTTCAAAGTTTGGAACGAACAAAAAATAAAAAATGGCGACCCTAAGAAAAGACATGCTAAGAGAGTTTTTCAAAAAGAACCATAGTTATTTATTATAACAAAAGAGTTGGCTAATCACTCCTTGATGAAAAAAAGTAAGCGAATACAATTCTCATCCATATTTGGCCTTTTCACAGCGACACGTAAGGTATAAGAGAGCTATAAAGATTTTCTATATTTCAACAGTTATAGTTACTTATAATTAATTAACCACACTACATAAGCTTGCTGCTATATATATATATATCAATATCAATGTGTTTGCTTTAGACTCGAGTCACTCAAGAATCACCATGAATAACAACAAGCTAGAAATGTCTTTCTCATTGTAGCCGAGGAAGAAGGGGGATATGTTAAGGACATGAACGGAGACACACTTCAGAGAAAGACCCAATACTCATATCGTACCAGCTTCACACGAAAAAGGGAGCGATCTTGTCCCAGCAAGCATTGACTTAGCCCATTTGTGTCCATGTAACCACTGGTGGTAGGCTGGTAGCTCTAATATGAAAATTAGCTTCTTTTATTTTTCTTAAGTACCGATTTTTTGTCAAAATTAAGCAAACCAATTAATGATGTCGATACGTCAAATCTATTTGCTTGCTTTCACCTATAATTATAAACAGGGTTATGTCATGGTGATTCGTATAAACCTATAAACCTAGAAATGTCTCCTAGCCAAATTTTATACGAATTACTACTCTTAGTATGCAGGAAATAAACCACTAATTTTGTATTTTATTTTCTTTTAATCTGCACACTGTAACACTAGGATTTTAATCCGGATATTGTAACATGGTGTTTACTAATAGAAAATACTGACCAAAAAGATCAGGTTTCCGAATTTCATATACTATTTTATCCTTTTCTTACGCTAAAAATTTGTTTCAGTAGTTGAAAAAAAAAGAGCTATTACAGTATTTTTGACAAAGTTTATTTAGAAACAAAGAAATAGAAACAAAGATCTGTAGTGTGTCGAGGTTAAAGTTACTCCCCAATTTAGTCCCCTGAAAAAAGGTTAAACCCTAAAATCTCTAAAAGCTTAATTTGAGATAATTTACTATGATAGTTACCCAACACCTACACACAAAGAATCTGTGCTCTCTCTCACTCACATCATTCTTTTCCTAATCGTTACTCCACAAAGCACCTGCAATTATATATTCTATATATAGTATGCTTCATTGATTCTTCATGAAGCTTTCTTTACCCTTGCTTGCATCACAAGTAAAACTAAGAAACGAACATGACCCATCACCTTCACGAACCACCAACTCTCGAATCACCTGCGTCGTCTCTTCACTTTTCCCTCCATGCTCATACCCAAAACCGGCCTGAAGCTTCTCATAATTAAACCGGTTTAGGTTTACAAGATTCTTCTTCGGTTTTGTTTCGGTCGAACCTCCGCATTGCCTAGGTTGAGTTTGGTAGAAGACTTTAGAGAGGACTGGTTCGCCGTCTTTTTCATCCTCGCTGTGGCCTAAATGATACTGATGCATCACCCAATTCGTCTTCTCAGGCTTCTTCTGGCGACCATAGTTGGTGTAGAGCACTAGGATCTTCTTGAAACCGACTTCTCCTGATTGGGACATAACGGGTCGGGTCTTTCCCGTTTTGTGCCAACGTGTCTCGTGACCTTCTTCATCTGTGCTCACTTTTCTACGTTTTCGTGTTCCGGTCGTGTAAGCCTTCGACGGCCGGTGGAAGAAGTGCCGTACTTGCCCGTCTTTGCTTACTCCTGTTTGAGGCAAGCGATGTACATAAGTGATTTACTTGACAATCACTATAAAAACATACAGAAACATTGTAGATATACCACGTTATTCGCCATAAATACAGATTTTACTACATTTTTGATCATTTGCTATTTGGAATATTAAAAAAAAAAAAAAAAAAAAACTTAATACTTTAAAATTAGAGGAATTAGCACCACAAAAAGGAATATATATTACCAACTCAATTAAAATCTTTGGATCTCTTTAAATTTCAAAACCTCAAACTATAATACCAACAAAACAAGATAAATATATATATCCAAATTTAGTCACAGAATTCCATATGTAGACAAGTGTTAGTTTTGCTAAAAAAAAAATTTTAAGTCAGTCGTGATAATATATAGTTAACGTATATTTTTTTAAGTCAGTCGTATATTTTTCCCTTTTACAAGGTGTTAATTGCGTTAACGTTTAGCGAAAATATTCTCCTAATTTATTTTTCTTCTACTATAGTTCATGTATTGGCGTTACCAGGAAGTTTCTCAGGATGCGTATAACAAATTCCATTCTCTCCTTCAAGCGTCGGTATAAATTCATCTATCAACGGATGAAGTTTTCGCTTATCGGATGATACCTTCGCCTCCAGATGCATAAGGATCTCTTTATCCGATGGGTCGAATTTGACTCCCGCCGGTAAGCTTGGTAAATCTTTAATGCCGTTAACCTTAAAATCAAATTTTTATTTGTTCACGTTAATATCTATGTCAAAAAATACTAAGTAAATGATGTACAGTAATAATGATACATTTCGGTGAATTACTGGTTAAATTTACTAAACCTTGTCTTCTTGTTGATGGATCTTGTGTCCACAAGAAGGACAATTCATGATGGCTGATTCAACGATATTCTTGGAGTCTGGACCGCTCGTGACACATGATTGAGATTGGTCTTTGAGTTGAGTCGATGGATGATCAATGTTGGAAGCTCTTTCAAGATTGAGGTCGTAGTTATCATCTGAAGCATCACACCAACTCATCTTTCTCCCTCTACTGATCTCTCTCTCTCTCTCTACAATAAAATATACCAAAATCTAACTATCTAGTTTTACAATTAGAACTATCAAAAGATAAAATCATACAAGAGAGAGAGACAGAGAGGAAGAGAAGGAGAGAAAGAGAGCTAAAGATGAGGAGATGATATAGAAAGATGGGCAAGTGAATGTTAAGTTTTGAAAAGAACAAA